TACGTGGACAAAGTTGTCGACATGCTTGATATGGAAAGCTTCGTGGATGCCGTCATCGGCGTGCCCGGCGAGGGTTTGAATGTCGAGCAGCGGAAGCGCCTGACTATCGGAGTCGAACTCGCTGCTCGCCCCAAGCTTCTCCTTTTCCTCGATGAACCCACCTCTGGTCTTGACTCGCAGACGTCCTGGGCCATCTGCCAGCTTATCAAGAAGCTGACGAGAAATGGCCAGGCTGTGCTCTGCACTATCCACCAACCGTCCGCTATTCTCTTTGATCAATTTGACAGGCTTCTGCTCCTTGCCCCCGGCGGTAGGACTGTGTATTTTGGAGAACTAGGGCCTAAATCGAGGATTCTTATCAACTACTTTGAGCGAAACGGTGCACACACATGTCCTCCCGGGGCGAATCAAGCAGAGTGGATGCTCGATATCATCAAACCAAAGAAGGACGGAACTGCTGGCATCGATTGGCACGAAACTTGGAGGCAGTCGCCTGAATTCAAGGAAGTCAAAGCCGAGCTGGGGAACCTGCGAGCACTCGCAACCGGACAGACCCTGATCGCATCCCCCGACGACAGCGAGGCATCTCAACATCGCGAATTCGTCGCTTCATTATGGACCCAGATGTCCCTCGTCTTCTTCCGGACCTGGAGACACTTCTGGCGTTCTCCCACTTACATCTGGTCCAAGATCATCCTCATCGTCATCTCCTCCATCTACATCGGGTTCAGTTTCAACGCAGAGAACACACTTCAGGGGCTTCAGAATCAGCTATATGCCATTTTCATGTTCCTGGTCATGTTCAATAATTTGAATGAGCAGATCATGCCCATGTTCGTCCCCCAACGGTCCCTCTACGAGGCACGCGAAAGGCCCTCCAAAATATACAAATGGAACACATTCGTGCTCTCCAACATCCTTGTCGAGGCCATCTGGAACACGCTCATGGCTGTGCTCATTTACGTGTGCTGGTACTACCCCGTCGGTTTCGTCATCAACACGACCGCAGATGACCAGGCTATACGTGGATTCCTCGTATTCTTGTTCCTCTGGATGTTCATGCTCTTCACGAGCACCTTCTCCCACTTCGCCATCACCTGGATGCCAAGCGCCGAAGTAGCCGGTATCCTCGCCAGTCTGCTGTGGATGTTCTGCCTCGTCTTCTGCGGAGTCGCCGTCGCGCGAGCCGACTTCCCCGAGTTCTGGAAGTGGATGTACCGCGTGTCCCCGGGCACGTACCTCATCGGCGGTGTCATGTCCGCCGCCATCGCCGGCTCCGACGTGACGTGCGCGCAGAACGAGCTGCTCCAGCTCTCGCCGCCTGGTGGGTTGAGCTGTGGCGAGTTCCTGGGCCCGTTTGCCAACTACACTGGCGGTGCTGTTCTGAACCCGGAGGCGACGGATCTGTGCAGCTACTGCACTATTACTACGACTGATCAGTTCCTCGCTCGGTTCGAGATTGATTATGACACGAGGTGGAGGGACTTTGGGTTGCTCTGGGTTTATATTGCTTTCAATGTCGGTGCCGCCTTGGGACTTTACTGGCTCTTCCGTGTTCCTAAGGGGAAGAAGGGACACCGAAGGTCCTAGGAGAGCACGCTCGTGGGGGAGCTGGGTAAAGAAAAATGTAGAGTTTTTCCATTGGCATAGATTTCTTTTTCAAACTTCTTATAGATTGGGCATAGTGTAATCACGGTTGTATTTCATCATTACATTGTTTGTTTTTGGCATTTTAGCACATTTAATATCTGGCTTTCCCCTGATGTTTTGTTGTTATGGTTTAACGTCTATATAGTTCTTCCCTGTGTGAGCAAAGTAGAAAACCTGCAGCTAACCCCTTTGGAAACTGTTCACCTCTGAGTGGAGTATTAGACCTAAGGTACCTACCTAGTAATAATAATATATTATTCCTCCATCATTCTCGTTTTCGCATAAAATCTAACAACGAATCAGAAAAGAGAAGCATAATAATACATGGCCAAATAGGAAAATGATTAAAACCTCCGGTCTCCAATTATTTGCTGTTTCATGCTGCTGCGCTCGCACCCACTCACCCACGTCAATTGCCCAAGATTGATATATCCTATCATACCGTAGGTAGGTATTTATTAGTGAGGGGGAGAGTACTTTAGCACGAGATCCAACACACTTGCTTAACAATGTAACGTTCCTTTCCACCAAGTACATCACGCGTACAATCATCAAGTAACGCTAGGCTACCACAATAAAGAGAAGTTGAGAACGAGGCTAATGTAGCGGAGATCGAGAAACTGCGTACAACCAATCTTGCGCTTCAGCAAGAAATCGCGGCCCTTCAGATCACACAAACTTTCACTCACGGAAGAACACAATGGGTGCGCAACTCTAAATATCATAATATGGAACGGTCCAGAGCTACTTCAGTAGTGGAAACATTGCTTGTAAGAATAGACTTTTGAGAGGCCGATAAATACCTGGCGGAGAAACCGGCTATATTATTGAATAAATTGGTTGGCTGTCAACAAACAGGCGTAATTAGTCTAGTGGTTAGGATTGGTGCCTTCCAAGCACTAGGGCTGGGTTCGATTCCCAGATTACGCATTGGTCTATTCTTTTTGGATTTTTTTTTACTTACATAATTGAGATTTCATCAATCTCTGCTCCCAATCTCCTTGGCCATGTTCTTGGAGTTTTGCGCTTGTGATGTTGCTTGGGAATTGAAAGTGTGAGGCACCGCAAACGCCAAATTTAGAAGTGCTTACCTACGTGCCACAACACACTTCAATTAATCAATCCTCGATGTTTTCGCATGGAATCTAATAAGGATGTTGCAAAAGAAAAAGGTTGTAGCATTGATTAAAAACGCTCAAAAAACAAATGGATGCAAAAAGTAAGTGCATGAGATCCGCCGCTTCGTCTCAGCAAGTAATCGAGCTACCCTGTAGCAGGCTTTTTTTTAGGCGATGTTAGTGAAGCATTTTATTGGCTCCCACCTTCATATTGTCAATCCCGATGAGACTCGGCAGTCCCTAACTAACTCATCAATCTTATTCACAGAGTCATTAATGTTGCACACGACGTCACCAAATTGCTCTCATGCACCAGGCCAAAAAGCTGCTCGTGCTTTGTACCTGTGACGACTACTGAACCTAATGCGTGGGCAGAAGAGTACATGTACTCTATACGCTCATATCGCCGACTCACTTGGATGTTTTTGCGACATGTATCCAATAAGCAATATAACAGCTATGCAGCGCATGTGTGATTTGCTGAAGCTATCCATAAAAAGGCGCAAGACACCGAGAAAGCAACCAACGAGACTGGCGGAGATCATTGCAATCTCAATAAAGAGATCGATGCAAAAAAGCAATTGCGTGGGATGAACACTTCATTCTCAATTGTGTGACTTGATGAGATCACTGATGAGATAAAAACAAAGGGTAGTAAACTTCTGAACGTCACTAAGAGCTTGTATTGCTGTATCTAAAACATACTAAAGACCTATCGCTAATCTAGTAAGCACCCTCTGCATTTTCCTAATATCTATCTCGTGGCCCCAGGCTAATACTCCACAGAATTAGCACTATATGGTGGCTGTATTAAGTTTATAGCCGTATTATCCGAATGGCTGACATTGGCAGCTATGTCAGCTCTTTGAGTATCGCTCCCTGTAGGAAGTCCACGTTCATACGGGCACCTAGTATGAATGTACAGACGCGATAGAGCTTACTGCAGTTCTAGCATATCCCAGTCTGTGCGTTAAACTTGCAATTAGATGTCTAATATTTGATGAGGTAAAGCTTGATCGTAATAATGAGTCTATTGGGGATTGGAGCTTACTGTGTTAAGGGAGAGGCTAATGTCGCAACTCTTCCTCCCGTTCTCCATTTGAGGCCTGACACCAAACCAAGCCTATCTAGTTCAATTCGTGATTCTTGAAATCGTCATAGATTTTCTAGGTATTCTGCTGGGCCGTGTTATCCGGAAGCTATGTCAAACTTTAAGCTGCACTCTCTCTGCTTCCATCTGCTGTTTCAAGAGGGTTTACTGGAGGAACCAGACACTGCAATCGGGCGACCAGGCAGCCAGGCGGTACGTACGATCCCTGTATGGTTTGTTTTAACTGGGGTTGGGGGTGCTGTACCATTGTCTTGGTTGAGTGGGTTTTCTCAGCATGGGAAGGAAGCTTGGTACATATTGACTAAATTTGTATACTCTTTCAACTAAGAGGCGTAATTAGTCTAGTGGTTAGGATTGGTGCCTTCCAAGCACTAGGGCTGGGTTCGATTCCCAGATTACGCAGCTGTATTCTTTTTTCTTTTTCTTTTTTCCATTGTGATTCTTTGATCTTTAGAGAACTGGCTTCTTCCCCCTTCGTATTTTGTAGGCAACAGAATTGGGCAATTCTCACGACACCCTCGCCAAAGCCTTACAGTCTCTATACCTTATCTAACCAGATTTAGCTTCCGCAATGACTAGGGCAGCGCGAGACAAAGATACATTCAGACGCATATAATTTATATGGTGCAACTTCCCAGACCTATTGCTTGGAAGGCACTAATCATAGCCTGAGAAGATCTTAGTATTTAGGAAGTGTGGTGTAATAGTGTTAGGGTACTAACCGTTGGACTAACAACACCGGTTTTGTTGAAAGCAGTGACCGTGACGGGATGTATAAAGAAAGAACAATCCTCGTTTCATATACCATACTTGCCTCGTAGATATATATCACCAAAGCGAACCTGGTCGCCTTGAAGGCAGGTATGTTATTAATCGCGTAATATCTTCCGATGCTTTGATTTATTTTGGCTATGGAATTCTGAGCTTTTTTGTAGTTAATTATGGAATGACTGAGAGGATAGCGCAAAAGGGCCGGGGCTCCAACGGATCAACGATCATTGTTTTGTTTTGTTTGCGGAAGTAATGCCGGGATGTGTCGATATAGGAAACACTAATTGATTGGAGTTTGAGCTGAAGCTATCCACGACCCCTTCTCACGCCTTGTCAACTCAAAGACTTACCTAGGTAGTTGGTTGTAGGTATTTAGCTCTGTCCAGGTCGAATGAGTTCGGGATCATGAGGTTGGGCGGCTCTGCTCCTAGGAGGAGCTTCGTGCACTCTAGGCTCTGCAAGAAAACAATGGCTGAAAAAAAAAAAAACCAGAGTTCCTTGATTAGTTCTGCATTGTGCAAACTCAATTGAAACATGTGCCACGTATAATGCGAACGCGTCCATCTTCCGTGGAAGATCATACACTGATCAAGACGTCATCGTCGGTTCCATCCTTGCCGGTGGCGTTCTTGCCTTTGTCGAAAGTGTCGCCATCACCATTGTCGGGATTGTCGGGAGAGTCTTGGTTCAAGAGATTGACAAGTCTTCCATCCGGTACCGCAGATCGCTGTTCGACTTCACAAGCTACTAGGATGTCCAGTTCCTTCCTTGCTTGTACCCAAATAGCAGGTGGCGAGCAACACCTGCTGGCCCGGAATAGACAACCCATTTTATTTTGGAAGCAGCCTCTGCTAACCTTTCGGTCGCTGAAAGTCTTTCCGGAGCCTGAGGGTTGGCGATATGAAGCTGAGCAAATAAATCGTCCCGTGCATCGTGCAGCTTTCTTCTGTGAGATTTGCTTTCGGCGCTATTCATAGATAGCACCTTTCTCCTGCTCTGCAGCTCTTGCAGGTACTGCTCTTTCAAATGTGCAAGGCGATTATGGAACTCGCTACCAACCCCGGTTTTGTCATTAACGGCCTCGATAACTTGAGCACAGAAACCAGACCTGGGAAGCTTAGAATTTCCCCTTCTCAAAATTTCGCTCAAGGCAAGCCATCCTTTCATAGCTGTCATTATATAGATGCCCTTGGAGAGAGCTGTCAACCCCCCGTGGTGAGCAACCCGGCCTGGATGGAGTATGGAAGGACAATAAAGGCTATCGGGTCATTTTCGGATTCGTTCGGGAACTTGCGCATATAAAGATTACCGACATGATCTAAGAGTTCAAAGGAGTCGTTCTTTATGCTGATCATAGGATCAAAAACTTCGAGGGCAGCAAACGAAAGCTGGCATATCCAATTAGCATCCTTCTCTCGGAATGATAGAGAAAAGCTTACCAAATGGCCATATGTCATAACCACTACAGGTTGAGTGAGTTCAAAATACCGCTTCAAAAATTGCAATGCGTCATTAATGGTAGCGTCATCTGTCTTCGGCCAGTTGAAGAGATTGATGAATGGAAGATGATTGCACGCAACCATGCGAGAGGTGATGGTAGTCTTGTCATCAGCTGGGGTCGTTTCCCACGATCCAAAGTGATCATAAGTGGTTGTGGCAAGATGAGCAGATTTAGAGGATCCTAGGAAAAATGATTTGCTGTCGTGATTACGAAACGCGCTCTGGGTAATCTCGGCGCCGAGTGTTAGGAAGGGTGTCCACCCGTTCCTCAGAGTAGAAAATTCCAAGTTCCGGACAAGTGAGTCAAGTTGTGGCTTGAGAAACGGATACTTTGATGTTCCAGTTTCGTATTGGTGGGTGTTGGCGTAAGCTTGGATCTCCTTAGCAAGTGCTTCAATTTGAAGTTGCTTGTTTGATGAGATGAGATGTGTAAGTTCCTGGTTTCCAATCTGTTGGACAACCCGAGTTGACAGAAGCTTGAAATACCTTTCGTCATTCAACGACGGCTCATGAAGGAATCTGCCACCTGCTTCGGTATTAATCACACCTCCCTATTGCACTGTTAGTTTTCCAGCAAGAAAGCGCTCACAGCTCATAACGTACTTGAAGAAAGGCAATTAGTTCTTGTTCAATCATATCCGCAGCACAATCATCTATCCCGGCGATGCTGTGACTTACGTGGCAAATCTCCTGGACGATTGCGTCGCGCACAACGTCCGGATAGAGCAATAAGGTAGCCTGAAGAAAACGGGTACAAAGCGAGCCTATGGGTGCGACAAGATCCCGCTAGAATCTGTGCCACGGTGAGTAGATCGTTTTGCCAACATAGCGAACATGTAAAGATGCCGTAGGGTCAATCGTTTGCAAAAGTCTAGCCCATGCCTGGAGTATGTGACACTTGTCATGGCCATTGATCGATATGTTGTCGATGACCTTCCGTAGTTCGAATGCCTTGAAGCTGAAAGTCCGAATATAGAAGGAAATATGTCCAGTAGGCCGCTGGGACCGAGTCAGAGGCACACGTTCTAGATTGACGATTTCCCCCAACTGTTCCGGAGACGTGGCCAAGGGCTGTTCGAGAATTTGAATCCAAATGGCGCGGTCGGCGGGCAGAGGCAGACACCAGTTGAGGCGACGAGCAACACAGTGAGCTTCACAAATTTCACTTTCTTGCATCGTGGGGCGGATTGTAGCAAACACATGCTCTTTGAGGTCGGAAGGGGTCGAAGGAGACATTGCTTTAAAGGATTCAGAACATTCACTTGTCTTCCTGATATCCGTGGGGGTCTTTAGCAAGACAATTATCGTGTTTCGCCTCTAGTGGTTCAAAACGCGAAATTTTTCTTAGCCACGCGACTTTCGTATGCTGAACGTATTAATCCATTTCGTGCATGCACTACATATGCACAATTTTTGGCTCATGAATCCCTCTCTCAATCCGAGAATCAAGCCCTTTATCTCTTTTGCATCGATTTACTTTGTTTTTTTTTCATGATTAAGATTTCTCTAATCTCGAAAAACTGGCTCCCGCCACCCTTCACATTTTTGTGACAATAAACATTACAAAAGTGGGATTTCTGGTACGCGCATTTATGGAAAAGCGTAGATTGATCTATGTAGTAACTCGTCGTGATTTTTCATCAAGCTCAAACCGGACCGCTGCCTTCGTGCAAGCCGTCTAGACTCAGAGACTCAATTTCCACCCCATTCATGTTCCAGTCTGGGAACACCCAACCAAAGATGGTCCTCAAATCACCTGAATCAGCCATTGTGAAATCCGAGGGCCCATCAAAGTTCATCGGCGTGGGATAGTTCAAGTAGTCGGTAGGTGATGCGCCCACATGCATATTGTAGTCCTGCAATTGATCCATCGGCACCGAGGTGGGCTTAATGATACCGGTTAGCGGAATCTAGTACGGGCAAACACGGAAATCATCTCACCATCTCTAGAGTAGGGTCAATGGACAACGCTCGTTTCTGTTGCGACTGATCGGAATTCTGGTTCACCACAGGTTGCCGAGGCGGTTGCTCCTCCGCCTTGTGAGCTGCAGGGGCCTTCTGATCCGCCAACTCCTGCTGCGCTTTGGCGTAGTACTCCCTTGCGATTTGGCTAAACTCGGGCATCAAACCTCCTGGGAGAGCCTGATTTGAGGCGATCCCGATGAGGCTAAAGTAGCCGGCTACTTGGTCCATGAGCACCAAGTTTGTTCTCGACTCGCGATGGTGTGGGTTGTGAAGCACAAAGTCAAAGAGGATGAAAAGCGCCGATACAGGGAGGACAGCCAGGATGCTAGAATATAAATGGTTAGTCTGAGATAGCGCAAGAGAGAAAGGGGGTCTTACAAAACTGGTACATAAGGCTGGATTTCAATGTACTTTGTCAATTCTATGATGGTCCGCGCCGTATTCATGAGCCTCTGCTTGCTCAACTGGGACTTGTAGCCTCCATTCTGATCGAGGTGAAGCGTGAGTCGCTCGAGCCCGATGACAATGTTGTAATAGCTAAAGTGTAGCTGCAAAGCAGCCAAACGTGTACTGACGGGTGCCGACTTCGGGAAGTGAGACGAGTCGCCTGGTCTGAACTCGATGGGAATGGACTGGCGCCACTCTTCCAGCATCCGGCGGACCTGGTCCATGGTAGACTGGTATGAGGAGTCCGGCCTCAACGAGGCGCTCACAGAGAAAAGCGACGTGTAAGCAATGGACGTGATACGCTGGATCCGGATAAAGTCGATGAACCAGTCGTAGTCGTCGAATTGTGCTTCCAGAAAGGGCGGGATCATGCATCCAATGTCTTCATCGGCAATTAACTACGCTTGATGTTAGATTTCCTGATCCTGAGCTCGGTTGAGGTGAACTTACCGAAGCTATCCGGCTGTGGCAGGCTCCTTGCTTCTCCAAGGCGTAAATAACCCAAAACACCCTCAATTGCCTGTCCTCAGAACTGATGTGCTTGTGATACCGCAAGGTGAGGACCATGCGAGCAGCATGTGATATCAATACGTCGTCGACTGGAAGCCCGCAGGTGTTCATGGCATAGATGGACTATAGAATTTAAGTATATGCCAGGCAATTGGTGACGGCCGGGAATATCACGGGGAGCAGAAGTCTTACCATTGCAGTCAGCGCCTGGCAAAGTTGAATCGTCAGCTTGGCGTGGCAACCGAGATGGGGTTTAACAAGACAAACCTGGACATGTTCGATGGATTCCCGAGGAAGAAGGACATCTCCCATGTGACCTAAAGATACTTGGAACAGCTCCCAAGACTTTCCCTTGCCAGGCTCGAATGTTCCACCCTGAACAAATTGGCTGCCTAGAGCTAGGATAGCATGATACAGGGCAGAAAATTGGGGGTTGATAGCAAGAACTTCATTAATATTAGGGACAGCAGTCTTAATTTCAAATTCCTCGCGGTCGAGAAAGGGGTATAACGGATGGAGATTCTTGAAGTAAGCTATGCTAACGTTAGAGTCGTTTCGTCGCAGACAATTCTCGGGCTCATCTTACCCTGGATGTACGAATGTGCGATGTCAGCAGAAAGCCATTCATGTTGTTGTGGCTTCTTGAACTGAATGGAAGGCCATGTGCATGATGGAGAATTTGATTGGCGGAGACGGTTTATCACAAGGTCATCAAGCTTCTCAATGAGAGTTCGAAGTCGGTCATGGCCAACCTTGTCCTCCAACGAAGCAACTTTCTGCTCAGAAAAGAAGGCTAGGCCGGAACTTGGAACTGAATATCGGTCGTACAGGTTAAAATAGAGCAAAATGGTTCAAAGTTGAGTGAAAGCATACCCTGTTCGTCTGATATCTTTAGGCCATTAGGTGTTAGACGCAATAGCGATTACAAGAAGTCTCAGGGAGGGTTGAATTATCTCGTACAAAAAAGACACGGTTCTCATCAGCGAGTGCAATACTCTGTGGGCCATGCTGCAGGACTCTGTCTATGAGTATGTCATTGAGAGCCACCTTGCAGTGGGACTGGGTGGCGGCGGGAAGAGCCTCGGGAGCTATTCCGGCATTCAGGTCAATATACAATGGACATAGCCCAAGGACCGTAGTCTGAAAAGACCAAGACTCGGACAGTAGACTCGATTGGGCTTACCCTTGACTCGGACTTTGCGTCTAAAGATACTGAAGTTGCAGGCCTGCCCACGTTTCTAGAAAAAAAACAACCGGGGTCGTCTCAGCATGGAATCCTTCTAGAACGCCCGGCACAAGCCCTAAATGAACTTACCGCACAATATATGCAAGTAGGCGGTGTTCCTGGGGGCGCATCGGGTACTGGCCAAGCAAATCAGATCAGATCAGAACGAACGACTGGTGGCATGACACAGGGCCAGGTCCCCGCATGGTCGAAGCACGGGACGGGGCAGGGCGCATCTGGACTCACCGATGCAGCGGATCTTCCGGTGCCTGCACTGATCGCAGGTCTTGTTCATCTTGACACTGGGCCCGTTGCGCGGGAGGGATGCCATGGTGATTGGTGGGGGGGTGTGAAGGATACTTGGTGAAGGTCAAAATTGCCTGTCTGGCTGTTGTCCCACGTTACCGGCTGGCTGGGCGGACGGGGATAATATTCAGAGGTGGGTTTCGCTGTTCGGTCTACGGACTCTGCAGCGGTTCTCGGACCAAATATTACCCCGAGCCGCGATTAGTCAGACAGATTGAACCAACAGCCTCAATCAGTTGATTTCATTTGAGGCAAGGCGTCCACTCGAAATACCAGCCAGATCCCATTTCGTGGGGGACGGACGCATGTCCCTCCAGTTATAAGCTCAAGTCAGCCCCTGTCCTCGTGTTCCTGCATCTATCCTCCACGTCAGCATGTTTCTCGATGCTAGGCTGTCTCGACCTGCCCCCGTTCAACGTTAGTGCACACATGGCTGTGTCCACTCGCCTCGCTTGAATACAACGAGTTTCAACAAGGGAACGCGTAAACCTCCTGCTAGGCTACAGCCAAGACTGGTCGGCTGTCCATACCGCTCCCAGCTGCAGCCAATATAACAATGAACATGGTCTTGATAGGCTTGGTTCCCTCGAGAAATGAGTATGGCACTAGTCTGGGTTTCATCCATTAAGGGGCATTGCCTCACAAACACACCTAATCGACCCCCGATTTGACCTACTGTTCTCTCAGCGCATGTTGGCGTTAAGGCCTAGATGAGAGAGCGCTGCGGTTTTTGACGACTCCTTGAAGCGTACATAATCCTTTCAACGAGGTCATGGATCTCTTGTAAATCAATTGAAGGTGTCTGCTTTCTTTGAAATTCGCTTCGACTACATAAGTCCATCTAAGGCGAGGCAAACTCCACATTCACGTAGGACGCAAGACAATTACACTCGGAAAGAAACCAGTTGATGTAACTCGCACAGCATGCTGAGTTTGTGGATACTACTCAGGAAATGTCCGATGGCAACAAGGATATATGTCATGATCGGGGCTTCGGCGATATCGATCAATGCGCCTCGTGCTACCAGTCGGTGATGCTTCTCCGGAGGCGCCACAGCCCCGAGCCGGTGAATTCGAATAGCCGATGTCGTCATCTTACTTGCCATTAACAATGTCTCTAGGAACCTAAGGCCTCCATCTCTCAAGATAGTAATGAATGGGACCAAGGAAAGTCTTCTACAAATAACACACACCCTCGTCATAAGTCATGTTCACTATCAACGATAAGCACTGAGCAAACAACCAATATTCATATCTGAAGGAAATTAATGTGATTTATTTGATAAAAATGACCGATATAAACTCCAAGCTTGAACGTGAAAACGCGAGCAAGGTGTGGAAGTCTCTTATCCAAGAATGCCTACCAGATCGGAACCGCGACCTGGATTATTGGTGGGGACTTACAGGCTTTCACCTTGCTAGTATGGTTGACAACGCCAACTACTCAATAGAAAAGCAATATCAGGCGCTTTTGTTTCATTACCACATGATCGTAAGTAGTTCTACGTCTTCTGAAGACGCGAGCCATCTGACTAGGCCACAGACCCCATACTTGGGCCCAGCTCCTGGGCTTGATGGTAGTACCATTTGGAAGTCTCTCATGGGAATTGACGGATCATCCATGGAGTATTCGTGGAAGTGGAACACCAGTCCTGAGGACAAACCTGAGATCCGCTATGTCGTAGAGACTATCAATGAGCGCTCAGGTACAGCGACCGATCCTCTGAATCAGCAGCCAGGCCGTGATTTCATGCATCAAGCCCTCAAAATCGTTCCTACCGCGGACTTTGGTTGGACTCACCATTTTCTAGCCCACTTGTTCGACCATGACATCGCCAAGTTCGCCGCTGAAAACAATGCCGGCGTTCCCGCTGTGGGCACCTTAGCTCACGCAGTTGAGTACAGTCCCAAAGGTTTGGGTATCAAGTCGTACATTTCCTCACGTACACTTGGTAGCCGAGGTGGTCGTGCGAGCCTTGATTTCTGGAACGACGCTATTAGGAAGCTGAACCCAGACAATGCAAATCTCGATATTTTGATGGAATTCATTCGGAAAAACTCCTACGGCCGACATCTTGTGCCCTTGTAAGTCACCTCCATGAATACACGACGAGTTTATTTGGGTATTTCTAACAAACCCGAGGATAGCCTTCTGTCAACGGACGACACGGATCCCAGCAAGGCTCGACTCAAGTTCTATTTCAACTCGCCCTCCACAAGCTTCCTCTCTGTGCGCAACATCATGACTCTTGGTGGGGTTATTGAAGTCCCTGAGGGAAAGCTCCTGGAGCTCCGATCTTTAGTCTTGACTCTGCTTGGACTTCCAGAAGATTACCCCGACGCAGAAAATATCCCCGGTAAGCCATGGACACCTCCTACACAGGAGATATTCTCTCAACAACCAGAGCTCAAAGGAGGCTACATATTCTACTTTGACGTGGCGCCAGGTGCGGTGAGCACCATCTCAGATGTCAAATTCTATCTTCCAGTGCGGCAGTATGGTCCTGATGACGGTACGATTGCGCAATCCCTCGTACAGTGGTTGGGATCACGAGGTCGTGGTGCCTACTCGACGGGGTTTCTCCGTGTGCTTGAGAGTTTGGCTGAACGCCGCCGTCTGGATCAGGGAAAGGGTCTCCAAACATACGTTGGGTTCATCTTCAAGAAGAATGGCGATTTTGAGATCACGTCCTACCTGGGGCCCGAATTTTATCATCCCAATCGGTTTCAGTGAGAGCCAAGTGATTGTGGTCCCACGCCATTGATTATCTCTTTTTGCATGTCGAACTTATGTTTTAGCTAGTAGTATAGGCACTGTGAGGATGATTTAGCTTTGTTAGTGGTGAAGAAAGTGGCGTGAGAACGGAATAGCCCCAGGGACAAATTTTTTGAATGCCAGTGAATTGATCTCTGTTTAGAATAGATAAGAATCACCTTGTGTATATTAGTAACCCTCCAGCGCCTCCCATTTCTCGCTCTTTGCCTGACTATGGATCCAGTTCATCGCTTTGGCTTCTGACCGGTTCGCGTGCTGCAAATTGGGCTATCACCTGATTCAACGAATTGGATGGCATGGTCGCTTAACTCAGTTGGTTAGAGTGCCGTACTAATATATCATCCGATATGTGTAGTAATGCGGACGTCGCCAGTTCGATCCTGGTAGTGACCATCTACTTTTGCCATTGTGGCTTGGGGACAAACTTTTTAGCTAGCTTTTCACGCAAATAGAGGGGCATGTCCTAAAGTTGCGAGACGAATTTGCCTTAGTAGTTGTTTGACCTAGTGACCGCCGGGGAGAAGGGAGGAAAGGTTTTTAATAAGATCTTTTTCTCGCCATGTGTTCGTTCCTATGCGCCTATTCAGTAGACTACAGACTATTTTTCCTGTCTAAAATTGCTAGGTTTAATTTTGAAAAAGGGTTGGAAATGTGTTGGTTCTCTCTCAGAATTGAGAACTAGGAAGGCGCTGGTGCTGATTCATTGGAGAGCGTACAGACAACAGTTTAATTATTCTCATCACCTAAAAGGAGGCATCATCGCTAATTTCTACCGAGCTACATATTTCACTACAGTCTTGAAGCTTCCGTTGGAGGATATTCTGTTGGTAGCACATGACTGTATGCAAATGCATTCTGGGAATCCCACTTCTTCTTCAAAGCAGCCAATCGAGGCAGATTCTCTCTGCCAAAGACTTGCTCCAAACTTTCATCGCCATGTGAATAACTGACGTAGGCAGATAATTGGTGATATTCCGAAGTCTTGGCAAAGGCGTCTTGAAAGCTCTGGCCAAGCAAGGTCGACACTTCTAAGGCATCTGTATCTAAGCCATGGCCATTAGTCTTCTCCCACTGAAAGAGGAAAATCCTAGAATAGCGGCACAGTTAGCACACATTTTTCTCCTCCCAGGCTTGAGAGTTCCTCATATTTGACCTACATGTGGCCCCGAGCGTCTCTCCACGGATATGCAGTTGCATCCGAACCCTGAGCCATGGCAGCCTGATTAGGGAACATCTCCAAACTCAAGCTGCTTGCTCTGGCACTGGGATATTCGGCGTATAATTTTTCCATCTTCTCGAACGCCGTCTTGGAGGTTGAGGCTGGAAAGCGTCGTACACTCGCCGAATAGAGGCTTCGCGTCTTGTTGTTCTGGCAGAACATAGTATCGATAACACCCAGCCCCTGGGAAGATAATATCTTATTCCACGGGACCATGGAGATGGAAGACATGGATGGCTGCAATTCAAGTAAGGGCTTGATAGCGTCAAGGCCTTCTTCTTCTGGGCCAAGGTAAACCCAATTTGCCAGAATTTGAGCCTAGCATTAGGCAATCAGCTAGGGAAAGATGAATCAAACGGAGAAAATATCGCGCGTACAGCATTCGTCTTTTCATCATAGATGATCATAGAGACAATGGCAAGGCTCTCAGGCATCGATCTATCATAAGATTCCAAAAGGTCGAAGTATGAGTGGCTCATGTCGAGATTGAAGACAAAGTCAGCATTCATCACAAGATTCTGTCCATCTACCTTCCGTAGCTTGTACGTGGCCTGAGTGATGATGCCAAAATTGGCGCCAGCACCACGTATGCCCCAAAATAGGTCCGGGTCTAAGGTCTCTGAGACTTCAACAAGTCGCCCATCTGCAGTGACCACATTTGCCGAGATCAATGAATCGCTGATCATGCCATATCGTCCTGAGTAGCGCCCGATACCACCACCTATTGTTGTCCCCACAACTCCTGTGCAAGAGCAGGAGCCAGTTGCTACGAGTCTTGTTATTATGCGAGGGTCACATATATATTTTAAACACGGACTCACGCATTTCGAAACCTGCCTCGTAGACAGGATCTAATATCGAGCTCCATCGAGTGCCTCCGCCGACGACCAAAGTACCATTACCTGTAAACACCTCGACTGAGTTCAGCAGGCTAAGATCAATTGCCAGGCCCTGAACCAGCTTCCCGAATGTGGTTGAATATCCGTGATGACCACCAGTAGCGAGAAAGGGAATATCATGCGCTGTTGCGAACTTGACCTAAGTCTCGTCAGCAATCTATCGTCTTTAAGACAGTGGTATGCCATGAACAGCTAACAATTTCTACCACGTCCGCCTCAGTTGCCGGAGTGACAATCATTGAGAACTTTGGCTGACAGAAATTGGACCATCTTTCCGAACGCTGCCTCTTTTGTCAGTGCGTCTGGAACTGCACATGCATTATTCCTCTCGACGTACTTTGGCAAAATCCGGATGTTCCGGGAATATGATATTGGTGTTCACATGCCATTCATTGCTTTTGTGGCGGAGAAGACGTCTGATATTCTGATCAACGTCCCAGTCTCGCCAGATGGAATACGCTAGCCAGCCACAAATTGGCAGGAGAGATAGCGTGAAAATCGACAGCCGTTGCCTATACATGATTTCTTCTTGAGCCAATGATGAAGGGCTCCTGTACCAACACGCGGTCTTTCAAATGTTTCCTCCCTTCTTGTGATGAAATGTTTAAATAGCACTCGAGTTTTGTTCAAAGTTCCGCTGCACAAGATTGAACAAAGTCCAGCCGTCATATTCGGCCTTATCCTCCTGATTCATTGGACTCATGTAAGTGTAGGAACTGGGTGTCATGTTGGATGTAATGTTGCACGGGCAGAGGATCGCCGAGGCCAGTCATAGGTGACGCCTCCTCGGCGATAGAAGGTCGCTTTCATCATAGACTTCACTCTTTTGGATGGCGGCTTATCCCCGAAGTGTGGATAAGCAATTTCTCTTTCGTCCGCACATATACTTAAATACGTATCTTCTTACTTCTCATGAAATGATTTCCACCCTTAACTAGAGAGTAAGAGATGGGACTAAAATATTGAATTGTTCTTGAATACGGCTTCCGGGGGAATTCATTTGTCTTTTTTTCTCAGAATAGCTAGGAATAGTAACACACAGGAAAATTCTCAGCGTTTGCTATCGTTGTTTGGCAATCTTCAAGAGACGATTGATAATCTGTTGAGTTTTAACCGCGTGGGCCAAGGGCTCAAGGATACTTCGTAGGTAGAGGATTGGTGTATCGGAAGGCATTTCTTGGATCCCACTTTCTCTTGAGTGAAGCCAGCCTGGGAAGCTTATCCTTCCCAAACTTCTGCTCAAGCGTCTCGTTGCCGCTGGCGTAGTTGACGTAGACGGAAACATCGGGGTATCCCGACGTAGCCACGAAGTCGCGCAGAAGCTCGTTGCCCATCCTGATGCACTCCTCACGAGCCTCTGCGGTTTGCCAACTCCACTCGTACATGGTGTAGCCGATGGTGTCACGCCAGGGGTAGGCCGTCTCGTCCCTCGGCACGCGCTTGGCGGCATCAGTGTTGAAGATTTCGAGCTCGATGCTGCTTGCGCGGGCGGCAGGAACCCTCTTATAAAAGTTGTTCATTTTCTCAAACATTGTTTTGAACGTCTTGGCATCGAGCCGACGCACGTTGGTCGAAATCTGCGTGAACTGCGTGTTGCTTGGTTGGCAGTACAGGCCGTCTATCCCAAACCCAGCCGCGCCCACAAGGTCCTTCCAAGCAACCATCTTTATCTCACTACGCACAGGATTAAGTCGAAAAATTGGATCGATTAGTTTCATGCCCTGCTCCCGTGGACCAGTGTAGACCCAGTTGGCAAGAATCTGGGGCTAGACGAGTGATCCGGTTAGCCATTACTTTCTAGTGTTTTCTGGAGGATGCGGCGGCAACAAACCTGGCTGATGGTCTCATTCCATAAGACAAAAGAGATCGTAGCAAGCTCAGGGGGCATATTCTCAAGGGTCTGAAGTAGGTCCATATACGAGCTGTTGGAGGCTGCAGGGATGATGAAATCAGCGTTGAGCACTTGCCCACCGTTCGGTGCCTTGTTGAGCTTAAATACTGCCGAGGTCACAATACCAAAGTTCGCGCCAGCACCGCGGATAGCCCAGAAAAGATCAGGGTTTTGCGACTTGGAGACGTCGACGACCTTTCCCTCGGCCGTAACCAGGCGGGCTGAAAGCAGATTATCAAGCACGAGGCCGAACATGCCTTGGTATCGTCCCACACCAGCACCCAGGGCAACGCCCATGACGCCGGGACAAGAACCTGAACCAGTTTCTATGATATTTTATGAGTTTACTCGCTGTGTAACTAACTGATGGGATTCAACTTATAAGGAAAGACTTACGAAGGTGGAAACCAGCATCACCCACAGGTCCAAAGACATCTCTAAATCGGGCCCCGCCACCAATATGAGCAGTAGCAGCACGCCTGTTTACGGAGACGAAATTCATCTTTGAGAGATCGATTGCCAGTCCGTTTCTCAGAGTGTTTAGCTGCGCGGCGATTCCATGACGTCCCCCTTGTGCGAGGAAGGGAATTCCCGCATTACTGGCAAGTTTCACCTATCATTCAATTGTCAATGTTAGCTATTCTGACATTCCCGAATCTCGGTATTCCTCTTCATAACCTACGGCTTTGGCTACATCAGCCTCGTTAGCTGGAGAAATGGCGGCAAAATACGTCGGGTTGGCAGAGGGGGTCCAGCGGAGCGTGGCATTATTGAACGCAGGAGATCCAGGGAATGACAGGACAGTGTCCCGATGCCATGCGTTGTCAGGGTTGGTAAACAACTCGTACAAATTCTGCTGTTGCGGCAAGGCTGATGCCACCATGGCGCCAAGTGCGGCACTCAAGAAAGGAGCGAATCTCATGATTGCTTAAGTCTTGGAGTATTGCTTCTAACCGTCTGAGATGTCATGGGATTGAGTCTGTCTGATAGAATCTATTCTATGGCCTGCTCAAGACCCTTTATATATGTAGTCAGTCCACGTTTTCATCAGCATCTACATAATCACGGTAGAGCTGAAAATGATCCATACTAGACCTCAGGTCTCAGCTCTTCACGATACAAGTTTTCAGGGAGGATTCACAGAACGAAGGATCAGGATCCTACTTCATGGCAGTTCTGGTCAGGTGGCATTTTCCGCGAAGCTCGTAATCCCAATTGTCTGGACGCCTCCAAACCACGAATCAAACATCAAACATCGAGTTTAAGGTCTGTCTCTGCCTCAGCTTAGGTCCACTGAGAGAAGTTCAATCTCGCGGAGTAATATAGGAGGAGCGTCTGAGATAATACCGCTCACTTTCCTCGGTTTTTGGAGCCCAGTTATTATCAGCCAAGGGCCAGAATGGGCGAATAAACGTTCTCAACGGCCAAGAGATGGAAAGCGCCACGCGTTTCAGGGACAGGCGAGGGTAAATACGGTGCACGGTCGCCTATAAAAGCGGTTCTCGTGACCTCTTCATCCATAAGATGGGAATGTGGCGTCTTGACTGTGCTTACGAGGCGTCTACAGTCTGGTTACACATCATCAATATTACCACCCTTTTCAAGTCTTTGAAGCAGAATATGATCAAACTAATGGTACCTACTTCTTACCACTATCCGGATGACCGATGTGATGGCTTGTTCGTCACGTGAGAGCTTCACTCAAAGGTCCGGGTGTTGGAGGCATCAATTCTGGCGGGAGATTAACTCCTGCTATCTAAAGGGCCGTTGATGACTAGGTATCTTCGATGCCATCTAGCATTCAGTCCCCTCCCCAAATAGCCCCATAATATCATTTGCTATCCTTTTAGATATTATCTGAAACTCCAATCATGAAACAAACTGTTTTCTGTGTTCAATATCAAGCCAAAATTCCCAATGAACAAGGAGTGCCAGATTTTCTTGCCGCCAAATCTTTTTCTCATCTGGATACTTAATCGAAGGACGGAATAGACGAAAAAACTTAAACAAATCAAGTCAGTCAGTATAATGTCATAATAATGGGACCACAATTGGAATTTACCTGAATCAGGAGCTTGTATGTCTCGAGCAGAGCAATGTTCTTACCCAGACAAACACGAGGGCCATACCCCCAGGTAAGGATACATTTGTCCATTTCTCGTGCAGTATCGGGGTCTCGAAGCCAGCGTTCGGGGTTGAAACAGTCGGCATCCTCGCCAAACACTTCCTTATTCCTGTGGACCACGTATGGGTTGGCTCCAATCTCGGTGCCGGCTGGGACATGGCGGCCATACAGCTCGAGGCCACCGTCGCTGACATAGCGAGGGATGATCATTGGTGTCGATGGTTGGTAGCGCAGCGTCTCACGATGGCATGCTTCAAAGTACGGCAGGGCCTTGATCTCCTCGAAGGTAGGCACGGGATCCGAGAGGAGGCCCCGTGCTTGGAAGTCGTCAATCTCCGCCATTAACTTGTCGTATACGCCAGGTGTCTGAAGAACATAGCGCACAAAGCCACAGAAGAAGGCCGCAGTGGTGTCTGAGGCCGCCACCATGAGGACAAAGCACTCGGTCTTCACTTCTTCAATGGTGATGGGGGTGCCATCCTCGTTCTTGGCTGCTATGATATTATCCAAGAAGCTTCCGTCATGATGACGGTCTGGATCACGCAGCCTGTCCTTCAATAGAGCGTCCCGGAACTAAAGTTCGCATTAACAAGGCAAGGCAAACATTGAAATGGAGGGAAGCAGTTCTCATTGAGGGTCTGCGAGGCGGTTAAGAAGACTCACTGCCATAATCTTGCCGGTACCGGAGCTATCACCTGGCCGCGGCATGAACAACCATTTAGTGATGGGGCTCTGCAAAACAGGTGCACAAAGCCAGGGTAGAGCCCCTACGACGGCAGCAAAGGGGGCCATGTCATGGAAGTTCTTGATGAGGTTGAACACATCACGAGCTTCGCGGACAAAACCCAGCGGCTCACCAAAGGATAGCTGGCAGATGGTGTCGTATGCAAACCACTGCGACCAAGCGGCAAAATCCATGCTCTTGCTCGTGTCCGCGAAGCGAGAGGCCAGCGCTCCTGTCCACTCCATGATGCGGGCATCTACCTGCCCCTCGAGCTTCACTAGATTACTGAGCAGGAAGGATGAGGCTACGCGTTTGCGCTTTCGAGCATGGTCTTTCCAGTCAAGTGTCTGGAAAGGGGGAGCCAAGTCACCCAGCACGCCCGTGGTGTAGACATCAGTCTTGTTTGCGCGGCGATGGTATATTGTCGGCAGCAGCCGAGGGTCATCCACAGCAAGGAGGTTGGGGGCAGCTCTCACCACTGGCCCGTAACGGGCGTGATACTTGATGCCTAGCGTATGAGCTTGCTTGGTGTGTAGGATCCAAAGCTTGAAAAAGTCGGTAGCTGCAGCCCAGCGTGGGCCCGGCCAATCACGTAAAGGGTGGAAGAAGATATTGTAGACAACCCGGTATATAGCGTAGCTGACGAGGGCAGTCAGGAAGAAACCAATGATTATGACCAGAAAAGGGGTAAAATCGCGTAGATCCATTCTAGGGGGGCTCAATATAGGGCACAGCACACTTTCAAGCTTTTGGATGCCTTGGAGAATACAGGAATGGTTGAACAGTTAAATGAAGGTCAGATTGATTTATCTCCGTCTTTTTGAAAGCGTGATAGCGGAACGAATGCCGCGCTTTCCATCAACAAATGCCAAAGGTATCATCAATATCACCCAAGGACTACTAATCCCGTCCAATAGATACAGGGCGGGATAATAATGAGGCCGATCTTGCTTACCTGGTGAAGAGGCTTGGTGTGATGCACGATAATACGGCAACGTAAATGCACGTGAAGCTAACGTGGCAATGGTTGCTTGCTGACATACACGGCAGGTGATGAGGTAGGACTTGGAGAACCCGAAAGAATTCCCAATTGGCCCAGCATAGAGTAAACCGTAGCCATGTGCAACTTGATATGGTTTCAGGTGCCCCTTTTTGGAAACGGTACCTGCCATGTTGTCATTGCGGCTGACCTTGCTTCACGCCATCAAGTAGCCAGGGTTGATCTCCTGAATAAACTGAGTTGCCAAAGCCCAGAATCTTTCCAGCTTGTGTTACAGCCAAAGAACAATAAGCGACTTATCTCTTCTCGCAGGCGGCCGCTCACTTTATGTGATTGGCCGCTGACTGTGATGCTGGCGGGGCAATGCATGTTGACGGCTACGATTTAGAACGCCACATCAAACAACGTAGCATGTATGTGATAGGGTAATAGATGCATATCCTGGGATCTAAGGTTACAATCCTTCAAGAATAGAAGACTGGGGATGTTCTCGGCCCTCATTTCTGACAAGACGAAGGACCCATCTCTTTCTAGGCAGAGTCGTATAACAGGGGGGCGGATCCCATTTCTCCTGGCAAACACCGAAATCCAGCCTTCAAGGCAGCATCGGATCCCACAATGACCAGTAACAACATCAACAGCGAGGAAAACACGGAGACGGCCAATCTCAAACTCCGTGCGTCCTGCAACGCGTGCCATGAGTCCAAGGTGCGCTGTACTCAGACAAAGCCGACCTGTGTCCGCTGTGAGCGAAACGGCGTTGCCTGTGTCTACGGGCTTTCACGAAGAAGTCACAAAGACGCGCCGCGGATCTTAACCCCGTCTCGGCGATCTCTAAGCACAGGCAGCCGTTGTCTATCGACACATCTGCAGCAAAAGGGGGCCAAGGAATGCCCAATGACTTCAAGCTTGTTGGAAATGCCGCCCATCATCAGCTTCTTTGGAGACCAAACGCTATTCAATTGTGCATCAGAACCGCTAGCTCACTCAGAGATTTTGGGTGCACACCATGATCGTGGAAACGACAGTTTTATGGGCTTAGCCTTGGCTACGAACAGGTCGGAACATGGTACACAGGAAGCAGAGTGGGCCGCAGACGGTGTTGGCAACCAGTTCTTCACCGGTCGTATTACCGAGAACCACTGGGTAGGCCTCGACCTCGACGCCTCCCTGATACAGACATCCCCGGACATGCGGGAACAGGTTCCGCAACAACATCAGCAAGACCAGGATCAGCAAATGGCGGAGCCGCCCATCGGATATGATGAACCCGAATGCAGTTGCAGTCCGGAAGCGGTTCCAGAACTTGCACGCACATCCCCCCTTTTCAATCGTGGAAAGAACCAGCGCCTCTCCCTTGACATAGAGCTATCTCAGATCAAGAGGGCCATCATCGGCTGTGAAGCCTCGGTTAACTGTCAATCGCACGCTGCTGACCCCAACATGGCCATGTTGATGGGTGTCATGATCGGCGGCATTATCGACGGCTTTGAGAAGCTTCTCGCCAACGACGACCCGCCTGCTGCCGATGACCGCGACCTTCAAAGTACCTCCTGTACGCCTGTGGCCGCACAGTCAGCTGATGGTCATATTCAGGTAGCGGCAGGGAACAGCGGAAAGTCCAAGAGCGCCGATCAAGACAGCACCATGGCCGAGCCGCGCCTGACCTGGGGTGTACTGCAGCTTGAGGACGATTATGAGGCGGACCTACGGCTCCGGCTGTGTGATTTGTACTTTCGCCGCCTCGAGGTACTGCTCAAGCACTTTAGCCAGTCGGTGCGGTTCTTCCGAGACGGGCAGGATGACCAGGCAGCAAGTGTACGCAGCTCGGCCGCCCAGGTCATGGCGTGCGACTACATGCGCATCTGGTTGGAACAGAAGGCCGAGACTGTGAGACTGTGTCTGTCGAAGCGTCACGCAGTGTAGTATAATTGGGCTCGTGCGATGAGGGACATGTCACAAGGAAGGGATGTGAAGCGAGCTGACGTGTGAACAGCTGAGGTTTTGGCTGATGATGCGAGCATTTAGACTAGGATGCCCTGACTCCTGTTAGGAATATTCATGAACACATGTGTGACGATCTTGAGGTCGCCGAAGCGACCAAACCGATAGATTGCGTGTGACAACCCCTCCAGGTCCGCCCGGCTCAGCCCTTTCCCGCCATGAGATTGGCGTTTGGTCCTAGCTCAGGATCCAGATGGATCCCGGTTTCTTTTCAAAGACAGATTAGCACTTACCAAATACTGGTCCATGTTAATCAAGCGAGACAGTTGTGTTTACGTGCGTTACAATGAGGAAGAACTTAGGCACTCCGCCCACATAAGGTCGGTAGCATGCGAGACGGGAAAGGGGGGGAATGTGTTGACGTAGGTCTAATGTACCAACTTTCTTGTTCTCTGACGCCCTATTCAAGAATAGTGATGCGAAGCTGTTGATGCCGACTGCCCTCCATGCTTGTATGTGCCCAGGATAACCATTATGTTAGAGAAGACCAAGCCACCAGCCTACATCGTAGATAGTGGACAAACCTTGCGCCAAAGGCCATGAAATATATTAAGACCTAGAAGACATAACAAGTAGTTGTTTGGTTTTCATCAATTCAATCTTGTTGGACCAAATGAGTTCATGGACATTATTGGTTCAAATTCAAAGTTATTAATGCTCAAAAATTTGGAAAATCCCATCTTGACAGCCGGACATTTTCATTTGTAAGATTCGACTACTTTTATACGGGTTCATCCTAGCAATCAAGCGGGATCCGACTTTCCATCCTTACTTTAAATTGTCTACCAAGTGTTTCATCAGTGAAATAAGGCCGCAAAGGGCCAGATAGTAGCAAGCTGATATATATCAAAACAGACAAAAAAGAATCTATTAAGTAGTCATTTCGACGAGTAATGCTAATACTAAGTATAATCAGAATTTGTCAAGACACATGACACCTCGCTAAGCGACAACAAAACCAAATCACCCTGAACCAGCCAACTGCTCAAGGTAGCTTACAGCTTCAGTGAGTCGAGCCGGGCCTTCTCCGCAGCGTCTCCCTGCGCAACGTAGTTCACAGTCCAATCCCACAGATCATCCTGCTTGGCTGTGACATAGCTATCTTCGCTCGACTTGATCTCGCGCAGACTTTCAAAGTACTTTCCGGTGATACCCTCGACGTCGCGACCAGTCGCCAGCCTGGCCAGGGCGGCACCAGACTCAGCAGGCGAGTGAACATTGGGATGGACGAGGAGACGGAGAAGGCCAATGGTTCGAGGAAGGACATGGTACCAGAGGAACTTCTCGACCTTGCTCGCCTCGCGCGCCAGGTCAGTGCCAGGCATCAGGCCGGGATCCATGGACGTGACGGTGATTCTACGCTCAGGGGCGCGCTCGGCCAGACGCTTAGCCAGCGCATAACCCCAAAGCACGTTGCAAAGCTTGGCGGTCGAGTACCTCTTGCGGCCGGGGATGTCCACCATGCTCTTGGGTGGGTAGGCGAGATCCTGAGCTGTGTTGTACTGGGCGTCGGGCAGGCCAGATTTCTGGGCGGGGTCGTGGGTGCCGCTCGAGGTAAGGACCACGCGACCACCTGTGGCAAGTTGAGGGTAGAGTAGGTGAAACAACATGGCATGGCCGACGTGAGCGATGGCAAAGGTCTTCTCCATGCCTTCGGGGGTGAGGGTCAAGGTAGTAGGGAACTGGAGACCGGCGTTGAACATGAGGACCTGCAGTGGGGGTTTGGAGGCGTCTCCAACCCATTGTTGGGCGAAGCGGCGGACGCTGTCTGGGTCGCTGAGATCGAGCTTCATCCATTGAGTATTGCTCTGTCCCAGCTTCTGGTTGATTCTCTCTGCTGCCTTTTCCTTGTCGGATCGCGAGGCCACGACGATGAGGTAGTCTGGGTGGTCTTTGGCCAGCTTGAGGGCCGCCTCATAGCCCAGGCCATGGGTGCCACCTGTCAACAAAATGGATCGCTTGTACGACATTGTGTGCGTGTGAAGATTTGTGTGTGTGTGTGGGTGGGAGTTGGTAGGTAAGATTGATACTGAATAAGCTCGATGAGAGGAAGTGAGGTTGAATGATGGGATTTTGTAGGTTGGGAAGGCCAAGGAAACAGTTGATTAAATACAGGTAGGAACAATGGGCAAAGCTATTCATGTGATATCCATCATCACAAACTTAAACTCCATTCCGCTTCGTCATGCGGCGTGATTTGTGAAAGATTGGTTGCCAGATCGGGGGTGGAGATTCTTTCCCGAATTGGGACATAGATTGTTTTCCCAATCGGGAAGTGACGATGGTGGGTCCCGGCAGTGAGGCGCGTCTATTGGCGGGTTCGTTCGAGCCTGCGGTGGCTAGAAGCCTCCCAGAAGTGACGCTGTTTGATGGGCGAGCAGTGCTTAACCTGACCCATATCGCAATGGCCAGGCACGTCTATTGGTTGGTTCGTTTGATCTTTATCATGTAGATCGACCAGTACAGCCCTACGAAGTGGCCCTTGTAGCTGAACCCATGCCCACGGGCACATCCAAGGAAAATGTGACCGTCTACCCAGTATAGCATTTGGAGACAATTCAGCTTGTAGCGTGAGATTCAACGTAAGAATTAAAATTTGTACAATACGCTCAACCAACAAAAACACTCATTAGACGCTCGCTTCCTTACAGTATTGAAGCCCTGGCTATCTTCGCATATTCTTGATTTGTAACACAGTATAGGGTAGCGTCAACATACGCTGGCCGTCTTTTGGCTACCTCGGCAAAAGACCCATAGTTTTGACTTGGCGGCTGGAGACGCTAGTCTGAAAGCGGGAAACAGTCTCGATGGCACCACTCCTCCGTGTTTTTATCGCCGCCTCTCCTCAGCCCAATTTACTCCCGGTCACGCGTCTAGGCCATGTTCTTCTTCTGGGCGTGGCAACATGCGGATTCCAATGCTACCTGGGCACTTTACCTCTCGCAGCCATGTTAGACTGTTTGCCTATCCTAGTGAAACATCTCGGGCGTAAATGCCCTATTGCCGTAGAGCTGATATTGACGGTACACACACCGACTGATTACTCAATCTCATAGGGCACATCTCCGCTTCGCACAAATGGACTCAAGTCCGCGGGCAGCCCCTTGTCAGCTTTATCCTCGATCTCGCTTCTCCCCGAGCCCCCCAGGAACGCCCACATGTTGCCCTGATCTCCGTAGCGTATCTTGTAATCCTCCCAGCGCGGGCTGCGAAGCGTCTTCATCATGTGCAGCATACTTCCGCACCACAGCATCACCTCTCCGTCAGCACGGCCCCCATTCTTGTACCACGAGCGACAGCCATCAGCCCAGTGGCTAAAAGACGCGTGCCAGGCTGCGTTGTGCACCATGTACTGGTCTGTAGGCCCGTCCTTGGGCTCGACGGAGTGCAGCTGCTCTCTAGACATTTTGAGACAGGCTTGTATCGCATATTCAGCCTGGACCTCATGCTGTGGAATCATCGTTAGCTCAGCTCGGTCGTTCTGCATCCCGATTGGCCCCTTAACGACCCCTTTCATCGCTCTTGGTTCGTGCTCACCGATGCCAAGACACAGCCCGATCCCCAGTTCCCTGTTGGTCCGCCAATATGGAAAAAATTGGGAAACCCAGGCGTTGCGACCGTCAGGTAGATTCGTGGTCTCTCCGCCCACTGTTCTCTCATCAGTACTCCTCCCCGACCCTTCACTGGGCTACAATAAAAGAATCAGCAAACTCTCGCTCATTCACCTCGCATGTACAACCAAACTTACAAGTGTGGCGTGTAGGCGACATCAAACCCTGTACAGCACACAATTATGTCGAAATCGTGCTGATGCCCACCGTCTGTGACCAGCCCCGTCTCGGTAAAGGCTGCAATCCCTTCCCTGATGGTGTTTACATTTGGCTGGGTAAGCGCCTCAATGAAACCCTCCGCGGGCTATGCAACACAGTGAGCATCCTGGTCGCACGGAATATTGGGCCATTCACCTACTGTATTGCGCCTACATCCGGGCCCAAAATCCGGCACAAAGCTCTCAGCCAGCTCCTGGTTTTCGGGGCCGAAACGGGCGCGGATTCCTTCAGCCATGACCTGCATCGCGCCAGATGACAGCGTAGAGTCTCGCAGAAATACACCGAACCAGCGCTGGAGCTCCATGTCGACCTCCTTGCGGTATTGCAGCAGCGCTTCGGGGTTGTCTCTCATTGCCTGCTTTTCCACATCGGTGTAGAGGTGCTTTCCCAGCGGACCGGGCAGACGAGCTTGGTTGGCCTCAACGCCTGGAACGGTGATCTCCTGGAGGCCCAAAGGAGGTGTAAGCCATTGGATTGACCGCGCAAAGAGTGTTAATGACTTGGAACCTATAGTTGTTTAGCTGGGAGTCAGCATTTCGCTCTATGATCTAACCATTTTATTTCGTAGACTGACCTTTTACAAGCTGAGGCACAATCTGGACGCCGCTCGCTCCAGATCCAATCACTGCCACTTGTTTGCCTGTCCAATCGATGCTTGGATCCCAGCTCGATGAGTGGCATAACTTTCCTTTGTATTTTTCTCTCCCAGGGATACCCGGCACTGTCTGCTGTTATCACAACTGCTCGACTCTTCATCTTGCGTGGAAGACAGAATTTCATCACACATACGTTTCCATTTGTTTAGTGGCCCCGAGCCGTTGATAAGCACATGGCATCGGTCGGTGAATCGCGATCCATCCTTTCGCTGCAACTCTACTATCCCTGTTGGCTCATATAAATCGTGTGTGCATACTTGACAGAGCGGGTTGCTTGAACGTACATTCCCCAGCGGGTTCATCCCATTCCGCACTCACCACAGTTGTCTCGAGCTGAATGAAGTCACGCAGCTTGTGCTTCTCAACAAAATTCTCCATATACGCTAGGATTTCTGCTGCCCCGACATAAAACCCGCTCCAGTCCGGGTTGGGCTCGAATGTGAAGGAGTAGGAATGGGCAGGGACATCGCACCCGCAGCCTGGGTAGCGGTTTTCGTACCATGTACCTCCCACGCCAGCATTCTTCTCATAGCAGACCAGGGAGAAGTTCCGGAGAAGCTTCTTGGCCTTGTAGGCAGTCAGAATGCCCGCAGCGCCGGCGCCCACGTGGATGATGCGGATTGGCGACTGCTGCGAGTGGTATTGCTGGAGGAACTGCATATTGTTGAACTCGTTGTGGTCAAAGGGGATTGGATATCGAACCAAGCAATTACAACGGTCAATTGGTGATATCTTTTAAAGTGAGCTAAGATACTTTCTTAATTCGAATGGCTAATGGACGGATCTCATTCAATCAGATGAACTATGCTCAAAGATTCCTTCCTCGGCGTTGACCGGCGTTTCTTTAGGTGCCGCATCACCGGTTTTCATCCAACTGCGGTGCACTCCCACCTTCTGCAGCCATAAATACCTACATGTCTTGACAATTAGACGGACTGCGATGATCATGGACCTGGTATCTTCAACCTATCATAGTAATTTCATAAAACCAGCAAGAATTAGCCCTCGACCATGGACATTACAGGCTTTGCCTTGGTTGTTGGCGGAGGTAAGCAGCCTCGTCCCGGCGCTCAGCTCTTAAACCTGTAACTAGTGGCTTACTCGGAATTGCCGCGTAGGAAGTGGCATCGGTCGGGAATGTGCCCTTGCCTTCGCCGAGGAGGGCGCCTCGGGCCTCATCGTGGCAGACCTCGACTTGCCGTCGGCGACCAAAGTGGCTGCCGAGGCCAACGCCCGCGCCGCCGCGAAAAACCCAGGCTTCAGAGCCACGCCCTTCAAAGTCGACGTCACCAACGAGGACTCGGTCAACCGACTCATGGCTTGTGTCAAAGCCACCTCGGGGCGGCTGGATTACTGCGTCAACTGCGCGGGCATCGGCGTCGAGAGGGCGGCTCCCATCACCGAGGCGAGCTTGGCAGAGTTCAACCGTTTTCTTGACGTAAATGTCTCGGGCACGTTTCTGGTAACCCGCGCGGCGTCGTCGATGATGGCAGCTCAGGAACCAATCAAGAACTCGCCATCGCCGGTCCGTGGCGCGATCGTCAACATGGGATCTGCGGCGTCGTTCGTCTCTACGCCACAGATGGTGCAGTACACCACGTCCAAGCACGCCATCCTTGGCCTGACTAAGAATGCCGGTATGGAATCAGTATTTTCGTTTACAATGTGGACTGCCAGCTAATACTTGCCGTGCTAGCTTTGGACAATGCGGCGTTGGGCATCCGAGTCAACTGCATCTGCGCGTCTTGGGTGGACACGCCCATGGTTCGCAAGGCGATTGATCAAGTCCCCGATCTCGAGAAACTTATCCAGTCGGCGGTCCCCATGGGCCGAATGGCGCATGCCAAAGAAATTGCCGACTCGGTCATGTTTCTATGCAGCCAGCGCTCCAGCTTCATCACAGGCTGCGGGCTTATCGTGGATGGGGGGACCACGTTGACAACCAAGGTCTAGATTTGATACCCTTGTGTATTTCCTGTCTAGGAATTAATAATCACCGAAGAATCCTCTTGTGTCGTCTTATTACGGCCTTGGTAGCTTGAATATTATCGTCTGAATATTTGAATTGATGAATCTCTGTGCATGTTCCACCTTCGCCCGCTCTCTTCTCTATAGACATCCACCCCTTTTCAGACGACTACAGTATTCTATTAAATGGCCGCTAATAATGACGGAGGCCCGCCGAAAGGTGCTGAGGGCTACATCACCAATGGTTTCCCAGCTGCCGGCCTGCCTCGAACGCAGCGCCACATCACAGGCCATGACACTGAAGGCAAGTCTGTGTTTCTGGTTACCGACTGTGGCTCTCACCATCGTAATATGGGTGACAACCAGGCCGTCGCAAATATCCTGTACTCAACCAAAGAGACACCCATTGAGTGTAATGGCGATGCCGACATCAAGTTCGCTCAAGAGACCGAGGCGAGTTACACCCCATCCGTTTCTATGCATTGTATATGGTCTAATACCAGCAGCCTCCACTCCATTACCCCAATGGCTCCGTCGTCCGTATGATTGATTTTGGACCTGGAATCGAGTCTCCACTTCACCGAGCTATCTCGGTCGACTATGGTGTTGTCATCGAAGGAGTTTTTGAGCTCACCCTTGACTCTGGAGAGTCACGTATCATGCGCCCAGGGGATGTCAGCATCCAGCGAGCTACCTCGCATAAATGGAAGAACATCACAGGAAATGGCACAATGCCTGGTAGAATGCTTTGGGTACTTCTTCCATGCAATGACGTAGTCGTTGGTGGGAAGAAGATGGAGGGATTCTTGGGGCATCTGGCAAAGGAATATGAAAGGGGTTGATTAGGTTTAGACACTGTATGCCAAGGAATCTTCGAGAATAGTCTATAACGAAATACTGACTATGATTCCATTTTTATGATGTACGATATTGAAGAAACCTCCCTCCATTAACGAGAGGCATAAACATCTCAGCTGCCCATACAGTCGCTCTATAACATGTCAATCCTTCCTTCCGCCCATTGAAGTACTACCTTTTACTTAGGTTTCATGCATGGGGCTTTAATTATCAACCAGTATTTTATTCTTTGATACCCTATGCTAGGATCTGTTAGAGTGAATATCATGGATAAATGTATTCTCATCAACACTTCGACTCGTCTTAGGTCTGGTACAACGTCATAAGCTGCCGAGCGGGAAAATTGATGCAATTACACAAGAAGACTAACAATAGCATATGAGCTTCAATGAAAATTATGTGATTATCTAAATAGTGACATGGACAATAAATTCATTCTTCAAGTACTTCGTGGCATCGCTTGAGCTAAATCGTGCGTCCTCTTCAACTTCCCAAAATCGAACATTCTCCAAAGTAGAGAGTCCTAAGCATGTTAGATAAATGAACTCTTTCCATTTTCCATTTAATTGACATGATATACTTACCCAAATGGTGCGCCAGAAGAAGGTATCTAAGAATCGTACGAGCCAAGTTGTTTTTCCATACCAAAACCAAGCAGCAGGCGACGGCTGCAGACTCTGCGACACGACCTTTGAGGCATAATCAAAGCGATCTGTTGTAACTAAAAAGAGTGGTCAAGAACTATTTCTCGCCTAGTACCATTTTGAATCGTATCTGAAAATTTCTCATTACCTGGAACTCTCGTTATATGTTTTTTAAATTCCTCTTTTAATGGGTGAAAGTATGAGTCTTAACCATCCAAGTTAGTGAGTACACCAAATGTCATTTGCGTCTCATTGCATTCTATGCCGGTCTTTCTCTGATAGGAAGACTCACTTGGAGGAATCTCTCTATTTTCCTTCTGATCGCATTTTAGAATATTCGTCCCAATGTTCCCGGATATCACCTGAGCGAGACATTGGAAGTCAGCCGGATTTCAAGTATACACCATTGGCCATAACGCAAGCGAGATTTGCATACTGTCATTACTTTAACGCTAAAATTGCTATTAGCCGGCAACAGGACTGTAGGGTATTGCATGAAGTTCAACATACCGTAGTGGTGCCATCTCCACACGTAAAGTATCACTCCAGTGGTGAAGTGCAGCCTTGGTTGCATTATACGATGCTGAACGGTTCGGGATCAGTTAAACCGAAACGGTTTTGGAGTTCCATTTCTCTGTTGCTGTTTAACTCACATCCATAAACGTAAGGAACTATACCGCCAACTGAGCCGATGTTCACGATAGTGCCAGAGGAGGTTATGAGTAGGTCGTGGAAATGATGAACCATTCGCATCGGCCCTAGAACGTTTACGTCAAACATCCTTGATGCCGCACCCACGTCAGTATCGATTGCCGTCATGGTATAGCCTAGACACAGGTTCAGCTATGTTTATGTTAGGTGTCCCATTTTTCATACATATTCCTCTTCGAAGCTTGGTCAGTATGGAACCAATTAAGGATTTTAAGCGATGAGGAGACTAAATGAAAACCTACGCATTGTTGACAAGTATATCAAGCCGCCCTCCTGTAAGTCCCACTACACGGTGCTTCAGGTCTTGGATAGAGTCCTCCTTGGTGACATCTAATGTGAAGAATGTAATTCCAGCTTCTGCAAGATGATCACTGGGTTCGAACGGTAGAAGCGTAGCGATAGGGTGAAGCCCTTGCTCCGCATATGTCTTTACAAGAGCCTCACCGATACCCCCTTGACCACATCTAAGTCATCAGCAAGGGTATCGAATCAATCAGAAATCAACGGCTTACCCCGTAACAAGGACAAAATTTTTGAGTGGTGACATCTAAACTTTTCGTTCAACGTGGTCTACTGAGGTAAAGAAGTTATTGAAACACGGCCTAAAGAGACGATACTATAACAATTCCCGTAATGCGTGCAAGTGGAGCCTTAATTGATTGATGATTTGTCTTCGCCTTTTCGAAGAAAATCTGTAGAGTTGTTCACCTTGATTCTCTCTGCTTCTCCGACCTTAGCATTCACATCCCTGATATCCGGACATTGGCAGTTAAGCTCGGAATCCCCGAACCCGATCAATGCATCGGCGAGCTGAATCGGCATTGCACCATACGAGGGTAATCACCGAGAGCGCCGTGCTTGAGGAAGTGTAGTAAGATAAGCCAATCAGCTGTTCTGTATGACAGGAAAATAATCTGTGGCATCGGCCTAGCCTAGGCTCAATATTCGGGACAAAAATCCACATCAGTAAGGTAACTATACGCTTTTTTTGCATAATGAAATTATTTACGGAAAGGTGCAATGCCAGGGATGACAGCTTATGCCCGAGAGCTGAAGAAACTCATACTCAAGTAGTACCAGGCTGATGGCTGATGGAAACCAAATACAACCTGTTTGAAAACACTTTACTTAAGAAATCGTCAACTATACCTAGAATATATCATAGTTTCCACTTCCTCTTCGAAGAATAGCAGAAAAACCCTCAAGTTTTCCAGGAGAAGAGACTGAACGTCCATCTATCCTATCAGAGCCCTTACTTTACCAACATGCCAACCACCATCTTAACACCGCTCGGTGTTGTTGAACCCATACAATCTACCAAAACATCACCCATTGAGGTGAAAACCCTCGAAGTCGAACTTAGCACTGGTGAAAGCTCAGATGCATGCTCGCTTTCTATTGGAGATGGAATCGCTTCTTACGCTGAATCGACTTCAGGAGAGTCGAAGCTAGGATCAAGTGGGTACGATGACTTGGCTTGCATTGTCGGCATAGGTAAGTTCGAAATTTATTTCTCAACTTAACGGGTAACTGACAAGAATCTAGGCTGTCGCCTGCCTGGTGGTATCCGTTCCCCCTCGGATCTCTGGGACCTCCTTGCAGCCAAAAAGACGACCCAAGGACGAGTGCCTGCGGAAAGATTCAACATCGCCGGTTACTACCATCCAGATGGTAAGACGGCTGGTGCCATGGACGCCGATGGCGGCTACTTCCTTGATGAGGACGTTCGGCAGTTCGATAATAGCGTCTTTGGTATCAACAACCTCGAAGCAACTTACATGGATCCTCAACAGCGGAAGTTGCTGGAAGTGACGTACGAATGCTTAGAGAGTGCTGGACTATCTATGGAGGACGTCTCAGGCACTGATACAGCCGTCTATATTGGAAACTTCACCGTTGATTATCAAACGATGCAAACAAGAGACCCAGACTACCTCCACCGGTATAGCGCGACGGGTTCAGGGACTGCCATAATGGCTAACCGCATAAGCCATGTCTTCAACCTAACTGGGCCGAGTTTCACTCTTGACACAGCCTGCTCGTCGTCTATCTATGGCCTTCATAACGCGGTTATGGCACTTAGGAATGGCGATTGTAGTGCTGCTATCGTGGCAGGAGCCAACCTCATTACGTCTATCGAGCAGCATCTAGGCACTATGAAGGGCGGGGTGCTCTCTCCCACATCAACTTGTCATACTTTTGACGCATCCGCTGATGGCTATGGGCGAGGGGAAGCAGTTAATGCTGTGTTTATTAAGCCCCTGTCACGAGCAATACGTGATGGGGACAATATTCGCGCCATCATTCGGGGTACTGCTAGTAAGTTGAAAATCACTGAGCACCAAGCCTGGAAACTACAAGAGTGCTGAACATATGACTGAATAGTCAATGCCAATGGCCGGACCAACGGCATTACGCAACCCAGTGCCCGTTTTCAAGAAGCTGTCATTCGCAAAGCTTACGCCAACGCGAGATTAAACATGGCAGAGACTGATTACGTGGAATGCCATGGAACCGGCACCGCTGTCGGGGACCCCGTCGAAGTTGAGGGCATCGGTCGGTGTTTCTCGCCGCGTTATGGTCCGCCGTTGATGATCGGCGCGGTATGTCTGATCAATATCCAAGGATTACATGTACCATCACTAACACGTACCCCAAACCCTAGATTAAAACAAATGTCGGCCACAGTGAAGCTGCAAGTGGCTTGTCGGCCGTGATCAAGACGGTCCTGGCCTTTGAGAAAGGTCAAATTCCACCTACATATGGAATCACCAAACTAAACCCCAAGCGTAAGAATTGACCTGTAATAGAACGTCTCGAAGGTTCAAAGGCTTACGATGTTTTAGTGCAACTTGATAAGTACAACTTAAAGGTCGTCGATGAACTATCGGAATGGCCACGGGAGTTACGGAGGGCCAGTATCAACTCGTTTGGTTACGGCGGTGCCAACGCCCACGTGATTCTTGAAGACCCGAAGAGCTTTCTCAAAAGCAGCAGTCATATCGGATCATTCGGAGAATTAGACACAGCGACTGAAGAGCGAAACAGCCAGCAGCCTAATGATGTTTATCTGCTTCTAGTTTCTGCTAGATCCAAATGGTCGTTGGAGAAACGCATCGGCCAGGTGAACGAATATGTCACTGCTGCGTCTAAAACAAATGAGCTGCCATCAATAGCGTTCACGTTGGGTGAGCGCCGGGCTCATCTCAGCCACAGGGCCTTTATCATCGCTAATCACGGCCACACTGAGGACGTTATGGCGTCTGGCAAAGATAATGATGCGCTACCAGTGGCATTTGTATTCACAGGGCAGGGCGCTCAGTATCCCGGTATGGGCAAAGAGCTCCTAAAGAAAGAGCCCGTATTTCGAGATTCAATAAAAGAGCTCGACGCAGTGCTACAAGCGATCCCCTGGCGTGATCAGAGACCATCCTGGACGCTGAAACAAACAATCTTGGATCCCCCTGAGACTAGCATGATCCACGATGTCACACGCAGCCAACCTGTCTGCACGGCGATTCAAATTGCTCTTGTAGACCTTCTCGACTCTTGGGGGATTCAAGCAGAGTCAGTCGTTGGCCACTCGTCCGGTGAAATCGCCGCTGCCTATGCAGCCGGCCACCTCAGTGCTGCACAGGCTATTCAAGTAGCATATTTCAGGGGCGCTGCTGTTGCAAAGCTTGAAAACCAAGGTGCTATGCTCGCAGCTGGTTTGACCCTTGATGCGGCCCATGAGTTGATCCAAGAGTTGGGCTTGGCAGGCCGTGCTTGTGTTGCATGTGTCAACGCACCCGAAAGTATCACTCTCAGCGGTGAATTCACCGCCATAGAGTTAGTGAAGACAACACTGGAAAAACGTGGTGCGTTTTCTAGAACTTTGCAGACCGGCGGAAGAGCCTATCACTCGCATATGATGACGGAGGTGGGCGCACTGTACGAGAAGATGCTCGAAATCATGTTCAGTGTCCAAAAGAAAGACTCCACACATCCGTATAAAGCCAAGATGTATTCATCTGTAGGCCATAACAAGGATGAGTTGGCTGTGTTTGATGCGGATAGTGGCAGTAAAACTTGCACGGCTCGTTACTGGCGTCAGAACCTCGAGTCAACGGTGCAATTCAGCGGTGCCCTCAGCAGTCTGACTGCGAACAGGAAGACGCATCTCATTGAGATCGGTCCCCATGCTGCTCTGAAAGGTCCAATTGAAATGATCCGAAAAATGACAGGCCATCACTTTCGCTACTCGCCGAGTCTCTTACGCGACCAGGACTCTGACAAATGCTGCAAGAAACTCGCGGGCGATTTATTCATACATGGGTACTCTCTCGAATGGACCCAAATTAACAGCATTCCGGGTGGTTTCAAAACTCCTCTCTCTACGTTGCCTCCCTACCCGTGGGATTACTCTGGGCCGGTTTTATGGAGTGAGCCACGAGCCAGCATTGAGCAGCGAAACCGTAAACATCTGCGCCATGAGCTTCTTGGAGTATTGCACACAGCCGGCAACGAAATCGATTGGGCGTGGCGGAATCTGCTTCAGCTATCTGAGGTACCTTGGATGCGTGATCATAAGCTTGATTCCCAGATTGTCTTCCCAGCCACTAGCTACCTAGGTCTCATAATAGAAGCGGTATCTCAGGTGTGTGATACAACTCCTTCGACTCCTGGCACGGCCTTCGAGTTTCAAAATGTCAGTATCGGCGCTGCTATGGTGATACCGGAGGAAACCAACAGTCAACTAGAGATTCATACTTCTTTATCAGCGCAAAAACTTTCCACGGTCAATCAATCCACCATTTGGTACGACTTTGCAGTATCCTCATGGGATGATGGCAAACCGACCTTGCATTGCTCAGGCAGGATTAGACTACTCGCCGGCGACAACCTTCAAGCCCCATCTGACATTGTGGCCGTCGATGATACACAAGGATATGAATCATGGCATATGCGGAAGTGGTACAGCAAGCTGGCAGATGAAGGCCTTTGTTTTGGAGAAAAGTTTCAGTCGATCACGGGTATGAAAACGGATGGCAACAGAATACGGCCAGAGGCCATCTCTACCACTAAAGTATTCCAGAACGTCGGCGAGGATTCAAAAGGTGGAACCAAATACACCTTGCACCCTCTTGTCGCGGATGCTCTACTCCAGGCCGGAATTTTCGGTGGGACAGCCGGTGATGTAAGATCTCTTCGCGCATACCTGCCTGTATTCATCGAGTCCTGCAGAATCTACACGCCCAACGTTGGTGAAACTGAGGCTACCATTCACTCACGGACTCGCACGACTGGATTTGCTACTAAGCAGGTAGACGGTACCCTTAGAGGCGGTATTAGTGGGGAATGTCTTGTTGATATGAGGAATGTTCGCTTGACTCTTTATAATGGAAAGACGTCTTCTGATACCGCACTATATGCAGAGAGGGACTCAATGAAGCGCCAGCCCTGCCTCGACATACAATGGAAACCTGACATTATACGATTGCTCCCCGAATCTGTCGATGAAATCCGGCAATACATTGAGCAAAAGGTTAACGCGATGCCTGACGACTTGAGAGACCACCCCAGCATGGCAGCCATTGTCGCGCTTGTTGACCTCGCAAGCTTTAAGAATCCTAAGATGCGGGTCATAGAACTTGCTCAAGACAGTCAATGTCGAGTTAAGCGATGGCTTGAAACCCTTGAGGCAGAAACGTCATTTCCCCGTTGTCGATCTTGGGCTGGGGGCCAGTTCGATGCGAATGGAGACCTTCAACACACGGGTGGAAATGATGGCTGTTTCGACACTCTCATCATTCCTGAGGTAAGTCTCATTTTATCACTAGGTCCTAAAATGTATTTCATATCTGACACGCTTTTAATTTCTGGCTCTAGTTGTCTGCATCGATATCCTACTTAGAGGATGAGGTAACATGGCTCAGTTCCATCTTCAAAACCAGTCTAGGAGGAGTCGTGATTACACGCAAAACAAGGACTAGCCTTGACATCCTTCGGTCGTTAGGCTTCACAGCGATGGATGTTGGTCAAGATGTAATCTTGGCAGTACAACCTCCTCCTGTACAGAGCCTATCAGGTCGAGAGGTTGTCCTTATCACTCCATTCGTGCCCAGCTTGTTGACCCAACAATTGAGCCAGAGACTGGCCCAGCATCTCAATGAAATACCTATGTTTGATAGGGATATCAAGATAGCGACACTTGAAGAGTTGGAGAGCTCGGATATATCTTCGACATCCATTTACATTTCCTTTCTCGAGCTAGAAAACGAGTTCCTCGCTACCATGAGCCCTGAAAAGATGGACTTTCTGCGTCGAATCACCGACATCGCTAACGATTTGGTTTGGTTGACCGGCGCAGGGATGCTGAGCTCATCACCAGATCCGAACCTTACGCTCTCGCAAGGTCTCTCCAGAGCTCTTGTGCTCGAACAACCTTCGCTGCGATTCACTGTGATTGATATTGGAGACCTTGCATCTAAGAACAGTAACTGTATGAAGTCGTTTTCGTTGAATTTGATACAAGGTCTTGCCTCCGTATCAGACATGGATGACAAAGAGTTCATTGAGAAAGATGGCATCCTGTATATCAGCCGCTTCATCGCAAAGAATGAGTTCAACAGCCTGTTCCGTCGTCGCCTAGACAGCAAGGAACCCATAGCCAAGCTCTCTCTTGATAAAATAGGCCCTGCACGCTTGGGTATTGGTTCAGTTGGGCAGATGGATACGCTCCATCTCGTTCAAGAAACTCAGCCCCTTTCCAAGCCCCCACCTGGATTTGTCGATATCCGGACCAAGGCGGTAAGCTTGAACGCGAAGGACGTGTACACTGCCAGTGGCCGAGTAGAGACGCGCACGGGTACCGCTGCGATCGAGTTCTCCGGGATTGTAGTTGCTGTCGGTGACGATGTGTCGCATCTGAAGCCAGGAGATCATGCTGTGGTGCTGGCACCGAACCGGTTTGCCACCGTTGAGCGCGTGCCAGCCTGGGCAGCACATAAGATGCTGCCATCCGAAGACTTTTGCGTCATGCCAACACTCCCCGTGATCTATGGCACAGCACTGTATGCGCTGCACGATCGGGCTCATTTGCGTGCTGGCGAGTCAATCCTCATTCACAGCGGTGCCGGCGCATTTGGAATGGCTACAATCGCACTCGCCCAGCACATTGGGGCAGTTGTGTATACAACGGTGGGATCAGCTGCGAAGAAGAACTACCTCATGCGTGAGCTGGCTTTGCCGGCAGATCATATTTTCAACTCCAGGGACTCGTCCTTTGTCGACGGTGTCCGAGCTGCCACGAATGGCCGAGGTGTTGATGTCATTATAAACTCTCTTGTGGGCGACCTCATGCACGATAGCTGGGAATGCATAGCCGACTTTGGCCGGTTCGTAGAGGTAGGGAAGAGGGAGCTCGTTGACGCTGGAAGGCTCAACATGCGCGTCTTCCTACGCAACTGTACCTTTACAGCCTTTGACCTAACCGAATTGTTCTTCCACGAGGACCAATTTTATAGAGATATTTGGATTAAGTAATATTGCTGCGCAATCGTCTCTCTGGGGACTCTAGCTAACAATGATCTAGTAAAACGAAAGAAGCCCTGGAACTTTATCGCAGTGGACAAGTGAAACCTGTCCCTATTTCCACCTTTGATATTTCCAAGATTTCACAGGCCTACCGGTTCTTTTCAGGGAGAGATCGAATTGGAAAAGTCGTTATATCTTTGGAAAACCCACAGAGTCTTATCCCGGTCAGTCCTACTTCCCTCAGCATACTATATCTCACTAGCGACCATGCCTTGACTGATGGGGATTTCTTTACAGGTCATGCCATCTCGATACAGCACCATCCTAAGCCCAGAGAAGACTTACCTTTTGATTGGTTGTCTAGGCGGTCTTGGGCGCAGCCTAAGTCGATGGATGATGAGCCGTGGCGCGAGAAACTTTGTCTTCCTCGGGCGGTCGGGCTGCGATCGGCCTGAAGCACAGGAGCTGGTATCTCGTCTTCAAGGCGCCGGTGCCAACGTTGAGGTTGTCCGTGGCGATGTGTCCAACCAGGAAGATGTTAATGCCGCCGTTAATGTATGTGCCGGCCGACCTATTGGTGGTGTTGTTCAAGCTGCTATGGGTCTGAGTGAAGCTTTGTTTACACGCATGTCCCATGCGGCTTGGCACAAGGGTATCCAACCCAAATGGCGCGGCTCCTGGAATCTCCACCGTGCCCTGGAACTTAACGGTCACGATGCTGATCTTGATTTCTTCTTACTGACATCATCCGTGAGTGGTAGTGTTGGTACTGCTACTGAGAGCAACTACTGTGCGGCCAATGGTTTCTTGGATTCCTTTGCACGCTATCGCCAGAGCCAAGGAAAGCCAGCTGTCTCCGTTGGGCTAGGCATGATCTCAGAAGTCGGTTATCTGCATGAGAATCCCGACATCGAGGCGTTACTGCTTCGCAAAGGCATCCAGCCCTTGAACGAAGACGAGTTCTTACAAGTCATTGATATGGCACTAGCAGCAGAGACCCGAGTCCCTCACATTCTTACAGGCCTTGAACCCTTCGGCCTGCGTGAGCTCATCAAGAAAGGCTTTGAGGTGGAAAATGGCACAACGCAAGATCCCAGAGCTGGATTTCTAGCCGCCGAACTACTCGCCAGTCAAGAGACGAATAACGGATCTTCCGCCCCCGCCACAGATATGGCCATGGCTTCTCCATGGTTCAAGGCCCTGCGTTTAAATTCATCTGAGACGACCAGAGCACTGGCGTCAGAGGCAGATGCGCCAACCCTACATGAAGCCATCTTGAGGTTAGCTCGAAAGCGCTTCTCGAATTTGATATTGCTGCCGCAGGATCAGATAGACAACCACAAGGCACTGCCACATTATGGGGTGGATAGCATGATAGCTGCCGAGTACCGAACGTGGTTCTGGTCTGTGTTCAAGGTCGACGTGCCGTTCTTGGATATAGCCAGTCCAAAGAAGTCCTTGGATTCGTTTGCAACTTTCATTGAAGAAAGGTTATTTGATGCTGGCTCTGGAGAGGACAACGTGTAAATTAATACTTACATTTGTATGAAATCAGTTATCTGGGCTCAACTCAATCCTGAGATCCTTTATAAATGTGATGCCACGAGTATGTCAACCAGCCAAATAAGTGACAGGGAATGTCCTTCAGTCTTGCTTCATGAGCTCCTCTCCTTTTATCTTCCCATAATCCGAGATGCTGCAGCTGTGGCCATTATAGAGATCAAGATGGTACCCTGTCTTTTCCATCGCAAGTTAAAGCATAGCTGGAATTCATATGCTGCGCGGGGAAATCAAAATAGCTTTTCGCCAGGAAGCCAGGTAGTGTGAGGCTAGCAAAGTATACCGGTGTTTGGGTCGCCATGAGTCTAACTTGATACTGCTTCTGGATACGTTGAAAGCTGCCGTTCTATCCCGCCTCACTGTATTGATTGGCTGTGGATAGGTAATCAATCATTGGGTAGGTAAGACTCAACAACTCTTCTGGGAGGGTTAAAATTGCTGTGCTCCTCGTTGTTTGTCACAGATTAGGCCAAACTAGCTAAAAGGAGAATTCCTTGCCTACCTAGTCTTCCACGGTTACGCTTATATAGCGCAAAATATGATCATCGAGCACAGCAATTTTAACCTCCCCAGAAGAGTTGTTATGCAAGTCTTGCCCCAATCATTAACCACAGCCATCCGGGCCTTTATTAGATCAGTGTTCTTTGCGATACGATGCCAGCCAATTGAACCACTTCTTCTCCGCATCTTCTGATTCTTGGGAGCTTAGCAGCCGTGATTTTAATAACCGGCTTTCAGTTGTGATAATTTCTAAGAGATACTCTAGCGTTGTTAGCCTAAAATTTATGGGCTAAATTGTTATAATTTTAAGTTTATGTAGAAATTCTTCGTACTTGAATCATTAATCTCTGGATCCTACAATTTTTGAATGGTATTTCTATGTCCCTCTATGACGTTCACTTGGTAATTAGACTAGCTGGCACCGCATCGCATCCAAAGGAATGAACATAGAAAGGCTTCAAACAGTTTCTCATTGTAGAATCTATAAAATTAACGCGGATGAGTGGCGTGGCCGGTAACGCTATCGTGATTTACCTCTTTGCTAAATATGACTTAACACCAAAAGAAAGATACAAGCGACACATTCATTCAAATTGCTTCTGTAGAGCTCGAGCCAATATTCTCTTGTTGAACAACCATCTGATCCGTTTGCTCTAACGACTGAAGCTTCACAAGCTCGTAATAACGTCCCCCCAGCGTCATCAGCTCCGAGTGTGTGCCAGACTCTAATACGCGTCCTTGATCGATAAAGAGAATGTTGTCAGCGTGCTGGATGGTGCTGAGACGGTGCGCAACCGTTATCGTCGTTCTGCCCTTTGCCGCCCTGTCAAGAGCGACCTGGACGACCTGTTCCGACTCCGAATCTAATGCCGACGTGGCCTCATCGAGGAGAAGGATCTTGGGTGACCGAACCAGTGCTCGAGCGATGGCAATACGTTGTTTTTGTCCCGTCGACAATAAGCCACCACGGCTCCCGACGATGGTCTCAAAGCCATCCGGTAAGGAAACAACGAAGTCATAAATGTTGGCTTCCCTGCATGCGATCTCAATTGACTCTTTGGACACATCTTCGGTAAGGCTTCCCATGGAAATGTTCTCCCTGATAGAGCCCTGGAATAACGAAGGCTCCTGACTAACTACGGAAATATGCGACCGGTAATCGTTGATGTTGATTTCAGAGATGTCCTTTCCATCAATAAGAATTTGGCCGAGCACGGGATCGTAAAAGCGCTCAAGCAGAGAAATAGTTGTACTCTTGCCGCAACCCGAGGAGCCTACCAGAGCAATATGCTGACCTGGTTCTGCGGTGAAGTTCAATCCTCGCAGAACAGGAATCTCTGGACGCGTGGGATAGCGAAAGTACACGTCTCGGAATTGAATATGGCCTCCGGTTTGAGGGAGGTTCTCTCCATGATGGCCCCAGGTGTCAATTAACGGTTTCGTGTCAATGAGCGCTTTCAACTCTGCAGCCGACTTCTTGGCCTTGCTCAAGTCCGGGGCCAGCGAAAAGAAGGTGCCAGCCGCGGTTGCTCCAAGGATCATGGACATGTAGCACACGAAGAACTCGAACATGCCATATTCAAGTTTGGCGATGAGCGTGCTTCCATACCAGAAGCCAAGGCCGTAGCAGAGATATTGGATAGATTGAGCCGCGGCAAAGATGACGCTTGACTTGGCGACGGACACGACGCTCTTCTTCTGCTGCTCTTCAAGATCTACGCGGTACCTCTCCGCGACTTGGCTCTCGCGTGTGAGAGACGCGACAGTCTTGATCGCGGAGATGTTCTCGGCCGCGAAGCCGGCCGAGTCGGCATACACGGTGGCAATGCGAGCTTGGTGCCGAGCCAGCACCCACCATCTGAAGAAGCCGCAGCCAATCGCCAACGGCACGGCGGCAAAGCAGACCAATGCAAGCTTCCACCCAATGGCAAGGGAAAGGGCCAAGCTCCCAACCAGGTTTGTGATGGAGGTGACGACTGTGCCGAGGGCGACACCGCTGAAGCCAGACACTTGGGTGGTTTCAACCGCAAGGAAGGCCGTCAAGGCTCCGGCGTTGTGCTTATCGTCGTCAAAGAATGAGATATCCTGGCGCATGAGAGTGGAAAATGTCCGTGTGCGGATGCGGCGGAGCAGCACCTCGGCGGCATATCCCAAGATGCAGAGCTGGATCATGTGGGCGATGAACTGAGCGCCGCCGAGCATCAGGTACATGAGGGACCAGAAGTTGGACTGTGAGTGAAGCATCCATCTGTCTATACCTGGGATCGCCATGAAGGACAGAACCACTACCTGCTTGCCGAAGAACACTGGGGCGTGATTAGTTAGCACGGATTGGACGAGAAAGGGATGAATGTTGTCAACGGAGACACTTACCAGCTTGGACGGGAGTGGCTGCACCACAAATAAGGCAGAAGAAGAAGGCGATGATGAGATAGATGCGCTCTGACCTGTTGAAGCTTGCAACGAACTTGATGAGCTCCCACCAGGAATACTTGGTCTTGCTCGCGATGGTGGCGCCGGCCGTTTCTTCAACGTCATCTGCGGATGATTCAGCCACCACATCATCCTTTTCAGAGGACTCGGCGGCAGCGACATTGGTCTCTTTCTGCAGAGACATTTTGCGGATCACAAGATCCTCCATCGAACTGACTCGATCATCAATATCCACGGCAGTCGACTTCTTCTCGTCTTCAAGCTGTTGCGCTTCCACGAGGGCGTGGTATGCGCCCTGCTTCTCGATAAGAGCGTCGTGGTTGCCCTGCTCCACAACAGCTCCCTTGTTCATCACGATGATATTATGTGCATTTCGGATCGTCGAGAGTCGGTGGGCGATAACGATTGTGGTGCGACCGGCCGCGGCTTTGTCGAGCGCTGCTTGGACAACACCTTCGGACTTGGTGTCGAGGGCAGAGGTAGCTTCGTCGAGGAGTAGGACTACGGCAGCGGTTAGTTTATGGTGACCGACAGGAAGTTGGAGAGGTTATAGTAAGAAAAAAGACGGTAGGAGACTTACCTTTTGGGTTGGATACAATGGCGCGAGCGATGGCGATGCGCTGTTTTTGACCGCCGGACAGTAGGAACCCTCTCTGTCCGACATTGGTCTCGTATCCTTCAGGCAGCTGGGTGATGAACTCATGGGCATTCGCCTGACGGGCGGCATCCTCGACGAGCTGCCGCTGCTTCTCCTCGTCGGCCGTCTCATGGTCGGTTCCAATAAGCCCAAATCGAATATTGTCGTAAATCGAGACGGCGAAAAGCGTAGGCTCTTGGCTAACGAGGGACATTTGCTGGCGGAGCCACCTCAGGCTCAGCGTGTTGATGTTGCGATCATCAAGGAAGACGGCGCCTCCGACCGGCTCGTAGAATCTCTCAACGAGACCAACGATGGTACTCTTGCCGCATCCCGAGCTGCCGACCAGGGCAGTGACTTTGCCGGCAGGGACATCAATTGACACGCCATCCATGACGGTGACGTTGGGGCGGGAAGGGTAGATGTGCTTGATGTTTTCCAGCCGGATGTGGCCCTGGAGGTCTGGGATCTTGTCACCCTCGTCAGTCGACGGGTCGAGGGGAGACTGGCGATCAATCGTCCTGAACATGTCCTTTGCAGCGGAGACGGCACCAATAAAGGACTGGAAGTAGGGTCCCATGGCGCTCATGTTGAAGGCACCCATCATGACAGCCATCATGACAGTAATCATCTTGGAGATTGTCAGGTCGCCTCGAGCAAGAAAGGCGGACCCTTGCCAGAAGCCAAGGCCGTAGTTCCAATACGTGATGGCCATTGACACGGCCGTCATGACGGAAATGGTGTACTTGACCTTGGTGCCCCATTTCTGGACCGGCTCCAGCTTCTTGCCGTATTGCTCGGTCAAGCGGCCTTGCGTGCCAAAGGCGATGGCGATCCGTACGGATGAAAAGACCTCTTCGACGAACGTGCCACTCTCGGAGAAGGCAGACATCATGGGCTCGCTATGTTTTACCATGAATGTAGTTGCGATGCCCGCATTGAAAACCAGCGCAAAGAGGGTCGCAGACAGAATAAGCGTAAGCTTCCACGAGAAAACGAAGCCAATGGCGAACCCGGTTACGAATGTCGAGATAGCACCGATGAAGAGGCCGAATTTCTCGGAGATGCCATCCTGCACGGTCGTAGCATCAGCAGTGATCTTTGTGGTGAACTCTCCCGTGCCGAATTTATCAAAGTAGCCAATGTTCTGCCGCAGACAGCTCGCCAGGTACTCATAACGGATCTTGTCGGTGATGCGCTCGCCGGTATAGATGAAGCCGACGGTGGAGATGTAGGACGCGACAAAGGTGCCGATGGCGATGTAAACAAAGTACAGCACATATCCGCCGATGGCAGCTTCGAAGCCGCCCAGATCCAATGTTCCAACGGAGAGATAAGCGGCGAAGACGCCCTGCAGACCGCCAAAGATGATGGTCATGAGCGGCAGGGCGGCGCCAACGGCGGCAGCACACACGGCCGAGATGATCATGATGAAGACGTCCATCCTGGTGGCGTAGCGGAAGAACGTCGAGACGCCATAGCTCTGGTTCGATATGTCAATCTGGCGTTTCAGAATGGCAACTTCATCATCGGGGAGGCCATCAAACGGGTCAGGTGGCTCGGCTTCGTCTGCGTTTGAAGAACCTGGAGGACCTTGAACACTCTGGACGGGGCTGTCTGCTGTCGGGGAAGGCATGTTCGCAGGTTGATCGCCCATTTTCTCTCCGTCGCCAGAGACAAAGGCCTTGTTTTCGCAGCTAGTGACAACAACAGGTCCAGGCTGAATGTCTGTCGGCGAGGAAGGCCCTGTGCCCGTGGTCTTCTTAACTTCATCATCTGCCATACTGGTCCTCGATGTGATTGACCGTTCTTGAGAAACTGAAGGGCCAATTGCTGTCGGCACAGGAAGAGCCGCCGGACTCTCTGATTTGATGCTGGGTTCTGATTTACCCAAGTCATCTCGGCCAATAACGCCTACGTCTTGGCCACTGGCCAGATCGGCGCCGCCATCGTGTCTGTCGGGCGTTATGGCTTGCTTGGGCTCGGCGCTGGCGTTACACCTCAAGTCCACTGGCTTAGGCTCGGCAGTGGGTTCGTCGTGATCCTCCATGGGGTGAGTCAAAGGTGCCTTTCCAATGTCGTGTTGAGTCGTCGGGCCGACGAGAGCATTGTCAACGTTCTCCTCGACGCCAGTAGCTCGTCTGTTCGCCTCCGACACCATGTTGCCTCAATCCAATGCCGGCAAACTCCTTCCGCCAAAGTCGAGCTCGGCCAGGTGGTTCTCTGTGGGACTGGGCGGGATTTGGAAAAGAACTGTCTCAGTGTGATGGGAAGGCAGGACAAACCTGGTTTCACAAATTTCCCTCGGAGGGAATAATTTCATGGACCTAGAATCGTTTAGGTCGATGCGGAGCTCATCCTGTACAGATAGCTCGACGCACAACGGTCAAGACATGTTCTTCATTGTGCAGGTGAGAACACTGGGGCAAAGCGCCAGGTGAGCGGACCGTAAGACAGGGGGCACCGTCCTGACTGGACAGGGGCTGACTGGTAAGCATTCCCCGGGGATCTGTGGGCAGACTAGGTCCCCTCGTTCAGGCAAGGCTCTGTCGACTTGCCATTACGGCACGCTTCCGACCCGTCGCACACCATGTGGCCTGCTTTGGGGCCCTCGCAGTGGACAACAGCAGCTGGATGTACATCAAGTGGCAAGGCGTGTCCATCAAAAAGTTCTTGCCCATCATGTGGCCCCTGCTCCGAGACTCTGCTCCGAGGAGAGACATGAAAAAACCACCCGAATCACTTTTGGATTCGCCGACAGACAGAAATATGACGGCCGCATGTTGCCCAACTGCCAGTATTCCGTTCTCGACCTGCATGAGCAGCTACGGGAACGAATGTATCCCCATGCCTTCCGTTGCATATTAGGGAGTACTGTGGTAGGTAGATGGCATACTTTTACATTTCTTGTGTCACTCGAGGTAAACTTCCATCAATCTCTCTGCGAAGTATCATCCCTGTCTGTTGGGCCGCACTACTTGAGCCATAGATGCCGGATATAGCTATGATCTGCACACACGGGGAGGCGAGAAGTACATCGGTAGTTGACACACAAAGGAAGCTACCGATTGTTATCACTCTGCATACATGGCGTGAGTGAAGAACAATAACTGATTCACCGGCTGAGTCCCTGCTACTGCAGCACGCAGACGCTCAAAAGTTCGCCTCTCGTAGTAGTCTGTACGTAACAACTGAGACCTCCTACCAGTTTCAGCCTCGAGTTCACTCCCGATTACCGCCCGGCACCAACTTCACCCGTCTTACACGCGCCAGGGCAGGGATCAGCGCGTGGCCGTTCGAGCTGTTATTATCCAGCCTTCCAAACAACCACACAGGCGTTTTTGTGAATGTTACACGCATTTCCCTCCCTGTTTCATTTCCCATAGCCTTGATGCTCAGGAGTGGCCAATGGATGTCGACACTGTGTTGTGACGAGTAATCAAGAGTACTTCTTTTGCACACCTGTTTGTATGCTTGCTTATGTATCTTTGATTATCTATTTTTGTCTAGCTAACCTGTCAAAAATTAAAATGGAGAGGACGGCCAAAACGGCACGAAATTCAGGTCATGAACGCCGCAATCTGTCTTTGCAAATACGTAAACTGCCGCCTTTCTCACGCATTCACCTTAGTTTAGTAGTGATTACCATTTCGTATGCTATAATGGTCATCTCAATGACCGAAATAGACATAAGCACTGGACGATACCACGGTGCTTATGACAATTCCCAGGGACGATTGAAGGGCACAGGACCTGTATAGGGTAGGCCCTCTGCCGAGCTGAAGAGGAGCAGGGATCAGGCCAACAGATCCATGATCATCCATCCCAACGCTTAGGCGCGGCGGACGAAAAACAGCCCGTCGAGAAGATCGCCCGTTGCTCCACTCAGGAACAGGCAGCTTCCGGGGTTTAATGCCATCATCCCAGCTCGTGTCGGAAGCGGAGGGACAGCTCGCCCACCCATCCCGCTGCTTCTGACCTCATTCTTATTTCGGCGGCAGCGTTGGGCTCTTGGCATGCCGCTGGAATGTTTGTTCGTGTCCCGCGTTCCATCCTAGAGTGCCAATACGAGCTCAGACAGACATGCCTAGCCTATGTCAAGAGGCCTCTGGCACAATGATCAGCCTGAGGGCGGAGAGTTGAGACAGCGTGTGGAGGACCTGTCCCGAACCAACGCACGCCCCGCCGTGGCTAGATCAGGATGTCGCTGGTTTTCCCTACGGACCTCGCTCGTGCCAAAGGGAGGAGGCGTTTGTCCGTGGTTCAGGTTCGTTGGGCAGCTCGCCCAGCCTGAACTGGACCCCTGGGCTCTCTTACTCCCTCAGAGGTTCGGACACAGGCGGAAGGTCAGATCGCAGGTTACATTTACGGTAAGATCTTGGCACTCACCGTCGCATTGCAGCGTCAGGGTCGGAATAAGACGAGGAAATTTGCACTTGATTACTTACCTACTTGTGACCTCCTGGAGCCTCCGGCAGCTGGCTCGTCTGATCTCCATGCCGTCATTTGAAGCTCGCCTAAGTAATAAGCTCGGCCGGAGGAATACACACACATTGCTTATAGGACCGCTGTGGCAAGGTCCACATTTCTGGTAGAACGGTTGGGCAACTGGCACGGGTTATCCGCACGAGGCGAGCTGAAAGAGAACACTGGCGTCCACCGCATGCGGTGGCTGGTGTTGTGTGATGCCTCTGGTCTGAAACTAGGTAGCTCGTGCCGAATTCTGCGTAGAGGAATGGTGGGAAGAGGAGGGACGATGTTCGCCGTGCAAGGGTCCAGGGGCGTTGTGGCTGGCTCTCCCGCGTCGAAGGGCCGATCATCATGCATGTCTGACCGAGTTGCTCCAATACTCGGAGCATCGGAAGTTATGTCGAGCCTTGATGGTACACCACATTGTCATTGACGGGTGTGCCTGTTGTGGTACTCTATGCTGTATGCTGTGCGAAAGCCTGTCTTTCAGCTACAGTCTCTCCAGCCCATTGAAGGCCCGATCTTACCCTGCTCCCGGGATTGTGCATTCTCATGTACCTGCTGTGACTATGCCAGGATGAGCCACCTGCCCGAGCTTTGAATCATACGGCCGGGCTTGATTGATCATCATAGAGATTCCGACCCTGTCTCATGCTTCTTTGTCTCCTGTCCTCCTACCCAGTCTACCTTATGCAACGATAACAGCGTAGATGCACAAGGAAGCAGTACTTTCCCGACACGCCTTTTCTTGCCTTATTGAGCCTTTCTCATTAACGCTCTAGCATAGCCAAGGGAAGAAAACGAAAAATATCGACTTAGATAAAACTTACAAACGTGAGGCTTCTCCCGACGAGGCTTACACTTTTTGCCGCCAACGGCAACCAGCATAACCGAAACGCATTGGAACACACCAGAAGCCAGAAAAGAACGCCCAAAGAAATCAAGATGGGTGTCACCGAGCTCATTGAGGCTCAGAAGTACTGGCGCACCCACCTCGAGGGCGCAAAGGTGGCTGCATTCCCTCCCCAAGACCTGCCATGTGAGACTGGTGGGCGATCCTACAGCCACGACATCGGGCTCTCACTCAAGGAAAATGAACTCTACAGTAGAAATGCGGTGCTCCGAGCCGCCTGGGCTGTAGTTATCGGACGGTACTCTGAATCGGAGGACTTTACTGTTGGTATTTCGGCCTGCTCCTCGGGCGATGCCATTCCCATGCGCTTCAGATGGCGGAAAGATGATGCCGTGTCTGATCTCCTGAGAGACATTCAATTGGATATGGATCAAATGGCCCAGTATGAGCAGTATGGACTCGAGAGCATCGCGCAGGTGAGCAAGGATGCGCAGAGCGCCTGCGACTTCACCAGTTTGATGGCCATCCAGACCGGGGATGTCCAGGCCAAGGAGGAATCTAATCTCAAGTACGCGCTGGAAGCTCGAATTAAAGTATACGAGGACCATGCCACTATCACGTTGACATCTGGGGTCCTTTCCGAAGTGACGATTGAGGCGCTTGCACATCAATTCAGCCACACCGTTGATGCCATCTTGTCCAGTCCGGACGCCAAGCTGAGTGAGATTTCAATTGCCGGTCCTTGGGATCTGGCCAAGGCCAAAGAATGGAATCCTCACCCGGCTCCATCGGTACAAGGCTGCGTACATGACTTCATCTCGGACAGAGCAGCCAAAATACCCAATCACGAGGCCGTATACTCCTCGGAAGGGAGCTTGACATACAAGGAACTGGAGGATCTGTCTACCTGTCTCAGCCACCACCTGAAGTCCCTCGGTGTGGGAGCAGAGAGCATTGTACCCTATTGTTTTGAGAAGTCAATGTGGGCTGTTGTCGCCATGCTCGGCATCTTGAAGGCGGGAGGCGCCTTTGTTCCCCTGGATCCCTCACACCCTCCCAGCCGGCGGAGAGCGATCATTGAGGAGACCGGCGCTCAAACGGTCATCACGTCGCCCGCCTCCGCAGCCACGTGTCGAGGGATGGCCCCGGTACTCGTCGAGCTGGACCAGGTACTCCTCGACGGCCTGCGCGATAGGGATGTTTCAGATGAACTTCCCCAGGTTTCCCCACGTGGCGCAGCATACATCCTTTTCACATCTGGCTCTACAGGCAAGCAGAAAGCCATTGTCGTGGAGCACTCCGCGCTCTCCGGAAGCCTGCTCGGCTTCAACCGGGCCTACGGCCTGGATGGGGAGTCGCGTGTGCTTCAGTTTTCAAGTTTCGCTTTCGACGTGAGCTTGAGCGAGGTGTTTGAGACTCTGGTTTTTGGAGGGACTGTTTGCATGCCATCGGATAGACAGAGAATAGAGTCTCTCCCCCAATTTATTCAAGATGCTAAAGTGAACACGGCCATGCTCACGTCGTCATACCTCAAGGCCTTGAAGCCATCAGAAGTGCCCTCCCTTCGCATGTTGATGCTCGTCGGCGAGGCTCCCACAAGAGACACCATCCAGACGTGGTTCCCGCACACACGGCTCATTAATGCATATGGCCCGTCTGAAGTGTCAATCTTTATCGGCTCATATGAGTATCAATCCCCTGATGACCAACCGACCAACGTCGGCCGAGGCTTCAGTGGCAACATGTGGATCGTGGAGCCTGACAATCACAATATGATCGCTCCTGTTGGTTGCATTGGCGAGATTCTGATTGAGCGCGACATGGCTCGTGGATATCTGAACAACAAGGAACGAACAGACGCCGCTTTTATTCGTCAAGTGGACTTCCTGGACGTGGCATCGATGGATGCGGCAGTCAAGTTCCACAAGTCCGGTGATCTGGCACGGTATAACCCTGATGGAACGATTGAGTACCTCGGCCGTCGTGATACTCAGACCAAATTAAGAGGATATCGCATTGAGCTAGGAGAGATTGAGTATAATATTCAACGCTGCCTCGGAAACGTTGAGTACGTGGCTGCTGATGTAGTCACAATGGGCTCACAGCCCACTCTTGTTGCGTTCATGAGCTTCGCGGACGTGGGTGACAACGTCGAAACTGAAGGTCACAACCTTCCCGAGAACTTTGATATCCCATCCGAGAGTCTCAAGGAGCGGTTCGCCGCTTTGACCGGCGAACTGAAGGATGTGTTACCTCATTATATGGTTCCCACGGTGTTCTTCCCTCTCAACAAGATGCCATTGAATAACTCTCTCAAGCTTGATCGTGGTAGGCTGAAGAGCCTCTTTTCGGAATTGAATCAAGAGCAGTTGGGTCTCTTTTCGCTCAGCAAAAGGGCAAAGCACGAGCCAACCACTGCCATGGAATACAGACTTCGATCTCTCTGGGCGCAGGTATTTACGATTGAAGAGGAGCAGATCGCCAAGACGGATGACTTCTTCCAGCTTGGTGGAAATTCACTCCTTGCAATTGAACTCATGTCTTTAGCCCAAAAGCAGAATCTTTCTCTGTCGGTGGCGGATGTGTTCAAGCACTCGAGGCTGGACGAGCTCGCATCGACCACTGTTGAGCAAGCCATGGACACATATGATGCTCCGCCATTCAATATGCTCTCTCTTCCCAAAGCAGACCTACTATCAGAGACACAGAAGTACGATCTAAGTGATATGGCCGTGGTTGAGGATGCTTTCCCTGCCACTCCAATTCAGGAGGCCTTGATGGCACTTACTGTCCGCCAGCCTGGCTCATACCTGGATCATCTTCTCTTCGAGATCAGTGATGCTACGGACATTGCTAAGTTCAAGGCCGCCTGGGATCAAACGGCCCAGATGTGCGGCAATCTGCGAACCAGAATCTTTCACCATCACGGCGAAACCATGCAAGTCGTCGTGCAGAACGATAAAACCTGGGACTTGGCCACGGGAGCTTCAATGCGGGAGTTTAGAAAGAGCATTGAGAGACAGCCCATGGGATATGGCACTAGGCTGTGTCGTTATGCTGTTGTGAAGGAATCAGGAAAGCACTACTTCGCCCTCGCCATCCACCATGCCGTGTACGATGGCTGGACCATGAACGTGATGCTCCGAACGTTGGTTCAGAACTACTTCGGACATGCCACTTCTGTCCAGCCATATTCCAGGTTTGTTAAGTACACCATGGCTGTTGGCGAGGAGACCCAGCGTAGCTACTGGGAGAAGTATCTTTCGGGCGTGTCACACACCCCTTTCCCTCAAAACAGTACATCGACAGAGTGCAGTACGCGCACGAGTGTCAAGGCCCTTAGATTTTCAAGGTCAACCGGCAGTACAGTCACCGTGGCTACCATAATACGTGCTGCCTGGGCCATTGTTATCGGAAGACACTGCGACGCAGACGACGTTGTGTTTGGCATGACAGTGTCCGGCCGGCAAGCGCCTGTTCCTGGTATCGGTGACATTCCAGGTGTAGCTATTGCTACTCTTCCCATCCGTACCCGCCTTGATAGGACTAGACCAGTCTCTCAGTATCTTCGTGATCTTCAGGCTGAAGGCTCCGAGATGATTCCGTTTGAGCAGTATGGTCTCCAAAAGATTGCCAGAATCAACTCCGAGACGGAGGAGGCTAGCAAGTTCCAGAATCTGCTCGTAATTCAACCGTTTTCGGTCTTGGATGCTCTCTCGGAATCATCTGAGGGCATTCTACGACCCATTGAGCGCATTGGAGATACAGAGTATGCCACCATGGAAGGCTACTTCAATTTCCCACTTGTTGTGCAATGCTACATCTCCGATCGCGAGTCGCATCTCCATGTGACTTACGACTCGAGAGTTATTTCCTCCACCAAGGTCGATGCCCTTACTGAGCAGTTGAACCACGTTATCCATCAATTATTGCCGGAGAATAAGTCCTTGGGAGCGAACGAGATTACGCTTGGTGACATCTCGGTCAGCGGCCGATGGGATCTTGAACGCGCGTTGGAAGCCAACTCTGTTACGCCAACTGTAATCGAGAAGTGCGCTCATGAAATCATCGAGGAGCAAGCCCAGGCGACTCCTGACGCGCTTGCCATTGTGGCCTGGGATGAGAAGTTTACCTACGGGGAATTTGACAAAGCAGCCAACAGACTGGCTCATCATCTTATTGATGTCATGGGTGTGAAGACCGGTGACTTTGTCCATACCTGCTTTGAACACTCCGCTTGGCATTTCATTTCGTTCCTAGCCATCAACAAGGCTGGCGCTGCATGGGTTCCTCTTGACCCGGCTCACCCCAAGGCCCGTCTAGCTCAGATCATCTCTCAGACTGGCGCCACTCTCGCACTGGCATCTGAGACGAACCAGGCGATCTGTAACCAAGTCATCGATCAAACCCTTGTTATATCGAGGGACTTCCATAATGAGCTTAAATCCACGCATGATGACAAGCTGGGTAAGCCCAAGGTGGAAGTGTCACCCAGCCATCCAGCTTATGTTCTCTTCACATCTGGAAGCACGGGTACTCCGAAGGGCTTCGTGATTGAACACCGGTCGCTCTCTAGCGGCCAAACCAGGGCTGGTAAGTGGCTTGGAGTCACACCCAACGTCCGCATTCTCCAGTTTGCGTCGCTGGTCTTTGATTTGTCGATTGGGGAGATCTTTACGGCTCTGTTCCATGGTGCTTCCATTGCCGTACCTTCTGAGGAGACTCGGATGAATAACATAAAGGACTTCATTCGAGACTACGATGTCACATGGGCATACCTCACGCCATCGTTCACCCGGTTTCTCAGCGCGGAAGAGCTACCCAACCTTGAGCTGCTGATGCTCGCTGGTGAGGCTATCCCTCGCGACGTGTTTGAGAATTGGGTTGGCAAGCTCCGCTTAATAAATGCCTGGGGCCCTGCGGAGGCCTGCTGCTTTGCATCCTTCCATGAATGGACGTCATCGGATGAGTCGTCTTTGACGATTGGCCGACCTGTTGGTACAAATTGCTGGATTGTTGACCCTGACGATCCTCAGCGTCTTGCACCATTCGGAAGCGCTGGCGAAGTCATGATCCAAAGTCCCCAGCTCTTGAGGGAATATCTATCAGATCCTGTCAAAACAAATGCTGCTACAGTGACTGAGCTGCCCCAGTGGGCACCGATGCGGGATCTGCCCTACCTCAACCGCTTCTTCAAGACAGGCGATCTTTGCTCTTATAACCCTGACGGCACACTCGAATTTATCTCGCGAAAGGATACTCAGATCAAGATTCGCGGCCTTCGAGTAGAGCTGGGAGAGGTTGAGCACCATGTACAGGAGAAGCTCTCCGTGGCCCGGCAGTCGGCTGTGGATGTTTTCAAAGGAGAGAAGGGCTCGAGCCTGGTTGCATATTTCTCTCTCACTAACGACACTAGCCCAGCAACTGATGATGAGGATATCTTTTTACCTCTCACACAGGAATTGCAAGGACATATCGTCTCCTTGATCAGCCAGCTAAGCATTGAATTGCCCAGCTATATGATCCCAGATCTTTTCATTCATTGCACCAAGTTGCCGTCGAATATCTCAACCAAATTGGACAGGAAGGCACTGAAGAAGAGAACGGCTGCCTTAACAAAGGACCAGTTGGCTCACTATGCCCTTGTCGACAGCAACAAACGGCCTCCTGAGACAGAGGTTGAATCTAATCTCCAGTTGATCTGGGCAGAGCTACTCAACCTGGACCGGGAGGCAATTGGTCGCGACGATAGCTTCCTCCGCATTGGCGGTGATTCGATCATGGCAGTGTATCTTGTGGCTGCAGCGCGCGATATTGGCCTGCATCTCACTGTGAAGACTATTTTCAGCGATCCTCGTCTTTCGAGCGTGGCTGCCAACTGTGAAGTGATGGACCCATCCAGTATGCCTGACTGGAGTGATGTGAAGCCATTCTCACTTATCGAGCCTGCTACCCGTGAGGAAGTTGTTGCTTCTGTCAGGACACAGAGTGATTTGTCGCCAGAGCAGGAAGTCGAAGATGTCTACCCCTGTACACCCTTGCAACAAGGTCTGATGGCCTTGTCCGCAAAGCAGCCCGGGTCATATATTGCGAAATGGGTTCACCGGCTGTCTGATGATGTTAATGTCGCATCCTTCAAGACTGCCTGGGAGAAAACGGTTGAGCAATGTCCCAACCTGCGTACACGTATGATAAATGCTTTGGATACTACCCTCCAAGCGATTGTGACCAAGGACATTTCATGGGAATCCACATCTGGGATGGATCTCGGTGCATTTATGAAGTTTGCTGGGCAAACGGAAATGACGTTTGGATCTAGACTGCACAGATACGCCTTGGTGGAGGAAGACAATGGCGATCGCTATTTTGTCTGGGTTGCGCACCATGCTATTTACGATGGATGGACTATGCGCTTGATCTTCAGCATGCTCGCCGACAACTATATGGGCATGGACTCACTGAAAATCAACCCGTACTCATCCTTCATCAAGTACACTCAAAGCCTAGACGTCGATTCCGCCAAAACGTTCTGGGGCTCTCAATTGGAGGGTGCGAAACATGCACCCTACCCGCAGGTTCCTGTCTCGAGGAGCTCTGACTCTGAGAGAACCTTCCGGCTCTTGCGGAAGAACATGGAATTTCCGTCGCTTACCGACACTTCGATTACGAAAGCCACTATTCTTCGCGCTGCTTGGGCTGTGGTCTTGGGACGCTATTGCGATACTGAAGATATTTGCTTTGGAACGACCGTGTCTGGTCGCCACGCTCCTGTGCCCGGCGTGGGTGAAATGCCCGGACCGATGATTTCTACACTTCCAGTGCATATAGCCATGGACAGCGAGAAATCTATATCCTCATTCCTTTACGATGTTCAGAATCAGGCGGCCGAAATGGTTGCGTATGAGCAGTTCGGCTTGCAAAACATTGGCAAACTGGATATTTCTATTCAAGAAGCCTGCAACTTTTCTAGTCTTCTCGTTATTCAACCTTTCGAACAAATGGCTGCCATTGGAACCAACTCGGATAGAATTCTTCAGCTCGATGCTTCCGCAAAACATGGAACCGAGGACACCTTGCAAGGCTACTTCAGTTACCCGCTGGTTGTTCAGTGCGAGCCATACGAAGATCAGTTGGATCTTATCTTGACATTCGATTCAAACATCGTGAAGCAAGAAGACATGGAGCGTCTCTCGAATCATTTCCAACATGTGGTGAAACAGCTACTGGCACAGGATAACCGAAGACTTGGTGATATTTCTGTCTCATCGCCGTGGGACCTTTACCAGGCTGTTATGTTCAACGGAGAGGCTCCTCAAGTAGTAGAGAATACACTGCACGAGATGATCGAACATCAGGTCCGAATTAGACCACACGAGCCTGCTATCGTGGCCTGGGATCGGCAATTGACATATTCAGAGCTTGATGTTCTAGCGAACAAACTGGCTCGAATGCTCAGAGACAGCTACAAGGTTCAAATCGGAGACTTCGTCCCGGTTTGCTTTGAAAAGTCTGTCTGGCACTTTGTTTCCATTCTTGCAATAATGAAGTGCGGAGCTGCTTGGGTGCCTCTTGATCCTGGCTATCCTCTGGAGCGTATGAGGAACATTATGCATCAAACGAAAGCAAAGATTATTCTAGCTTCGCCTTTTAACTTGGCAACTTGTAATGAGCTTGTTGGAAAAGTTCTCGAAGTATCTGCCAACCTGGAGACGACTTTCCAAGAGCTTGAGCTCTCTGGCAAGGCACTGAATGTCGAAGTTCTCCCTGACCATGCCGCATATGTGCTCTTCACATCAGGAAGTACAGGCGTACCAAAGGGACTCGTAATGCAACATGCAGCAGTATGCAGTGCCCAACGAGCGATTGCAGAGAGACTTGGACTGGAGCCAGCCGTGAAGATGCTTCAATTTGCTTCATTCGTTTTTGATCTGTCGATTGGTGAGATCTTTGCTCCCCTGATAACAGGGGCTTGTCTTTGCATTCCCTCAGAGCACGACCGGCTCAATGACCTGGCTGGCTTCATCTCTAGGACAGAAGTTACCTGGAGTTTCCTTACACCATCTTTTGCAAGAACCCTCAAGCCAGAGACGGTGCCATCTTTGGAACTTCTTTTATTTGCAGGAGAAGCCGTTCCGCGAGACGTTTTTGAACTGTGGGTAGGGAAGGTCAGGCTCTGCAATGGATGGGGACCAGCTGAGACGTGCTGTTTCAGTACGCTTCATGAGTGGCATTCTGATAAGGAATCTCCTCTTACAATAGGCCACCCGGTTGGGTCTTTCTGCTGGATAGTTGATCCTGAGAACCCACATAGGTTAGCTCCTCTGGGCACTGTAGGCGAAGTGGTCATTCAAGGCCCTACACTGCTACGGGAGTACCTCGCAGACAAAGCCAAGACTGATTCGACTACTGTCCGTTCGCTACCTGCCTGGGCTCCTTCCTCTGATGCTCCTCGCTTCGATAGATTCTTCAAGTCCGGAGATTTGTGCTTCTATAACGACGACGGTACCATTGAGTTTTTGACTCGAAAAGACACACAAGTCAAGATCAGGGGGCTTAGGGTTGAGCTGAGCGAAGTCGAGCACCAGATCAAGTCGCATCTCTCAGATGCCTCGCAGGTTGCGGTTGACGTCTTCCAAGGAGCAGCGGGCGCGAGCCTCGTGGCCTATCTCTGCTTTACGAATGCAACTCGCACAGCTGAGCTTTCTAGTGAGAACATGTTCGTCCCTATCCAGCCTAGCATACAACAACAGATCTCGATTATGCTCAGCAAGCTTGCTGTTACTCTTCCACGATATATGGTTCCGACAATGGCTATAACTTGTGACTATATGCCGTTTGTGACGTCTTCAAAGCTTGACAGGAAGAGGCTACGAGAAGAAACGGCCAAGCTTAATATTGAGCAGTTGAATCACTACTCACTGCTTGATGCAGAGAAGCGGGAACCCCAGACACCAACTGAAGTCCGGCTCCAGGCGATGTGGGCGAAGACCTTGAGGATCCCGACTGAATCAATCGGTCGGGATGACAGCTTCCTTCGTATTGGCGGTGACTCAATTTCGGCCATCCTATTCGCCGGCGCTGCACGAGAGAATGGAATGATGATTCAGGTGAAGGATATTTTTGAAGACCCGAGGCTGTGCGTTGTGGCAGAGAAGGTTGTTGAAATCCAAGCGACAGATAACTCTCGACCGCCTGCACCTTTCAGCCTACTTGGCATTTCGAAGGAATTGATTGATGAAGTTATTCTCAAAATTAATGATCTCCCCGCCTCTGCGAGCATTTCCGACGCTTACCCTTGTACTGCTTTGCAGGCAGGCTTGATCGCACTCTCACTCACGCAGCCTATGTCCTATGTCGCTCGATACGTGCACCGCATCCCGGATTCAGTGAACATATCGCAGCTTCGAGAGGCTTGGGAGAAGACAGTTGGAATTTGCCATAATCTAAGAACGCGTATCGTTCTCGTCTCAGGAATGAGTATTCAGGTCGTGGTTGAAAACGATTCGATTTGGGAGTCGGAAACCACAACTAGCCTTGACTCGTTCATGGCCCAGAGCAAGCAAACGACTATGACATACGGTTCTAAGCTCTGCCGTGCAGCTCTTATCCAGCAGGCGAATGGAGAAAATTATTTTGCCTGGGCTGTTCATCACTCAGTATCGGACGGTTTCACACTCAGAATGGTCATGGAAACCTTTTATTCCTTGTACAGCAAGACCCCAGGACCACAGTTGAGACCGTATTCGTCCTTCATCCAGCATGTTTCTAGCATTGACCATGAGGTCGCTGTTAGATACTGGAAAGACCAACTTGAAGGTGTGAGGCCGCCCTCTTTCCCTGCCAAGCAGAAGCCTTCAGGACATAAGACAACCAGAATCCTGTATAAGGATGTCAACTTCACGCGATCCGACTTGTCTGTGACGCAGGCTACGCTTATTCGTGCCGCATGGGCTATCGTGCTCAGCAGATATAGTGACACACCTGATATTTGCTTTGGAGCGACTCTTTCAGGGCGCCAGGCACCCGTAGATGGTATTACCGACATGCCTGGCCTCGCCATTGCGACGGTTCCTGTCCGTGTTCAGGTCGACAACGATATACAAATCAATGACTTCCTTCAAACCGTTCAAAGGCAAGCCGCCGATATGACTTCTTTTGAGCAATTTGGATTGCAAAACATCTCAAAGTTGGGGCGAGATGCACAGGAGGCTTGCGATTTCACAAGTCTCCTTGTCATCCAGCCCCATGAGCAGATGTTTGGTAACATGAGCAACGAGTTCATTTTTGGACCTGAGAATGAGGTCTACAGCACTGAGGACGACATGGAAGGATATTTCAACTATCCTCTCGTAACGATTGCAAATATCATGCCTGACAACATCAAACTGCAGTTAGTATATGATGCAGAAGTCATCAGTCCAGAACAGATGGACGCTCTCTCACAGCACTTTGATCATGTAACCCAGCAGATTCTTCAGCCCGGTACAAAGAGTCTTGGCTCTGTCTCCGTTTCTGGACCGTGGGATCTCCAAAGAGCGAAGGAGTGGAATTCAAACCAACCACGATCAATTCAAGCTTGCATTCATCACCTTATTTCTCAATGTGCTTCACACGACCCCACTCAAGAAGCCATCTACTCATCAGAGGGCAGCCTCACATTTGGAGAGCTCGAGAGCCTTTCCAATACTTTCGCTCGCTATCTCGTCTCACAAGGCGTGAAGCTGGAGACTATCGTTGCATTCTGCTTTGAGAAATCTATTTGGACTATTATCGCAATGTTGGGTATCCTGAAAGCCGGCGGTACATTTGTGGCTCTCGACCCTGCTCAGCCGGAACAGCGCAGGAGAACCATCATTCAGGAGACAGGCTCTCAGTACATTGTGACCTCACCTAAGCTAGCTCGTATTTCCTCAGACATGGTGCCGAATGTTATCGAGCTTTCGCTTTCTTTCCTCGAAAGACTTCCTAGGCCCACAGACACAACCAAGAAGATTGCATTGCCCCAGTCTTCCCCTGATAACACCGCATACATCATCTTCACGTCTGGTTCAACAGGAACCCCCAAGGGGATCATCGTGAAACACTCGTCTGTGTGCACCTATGTATTGGGCGCTGATCGCATATACGCATTAGACAACAACACACGCATGCTGCAGTTCTCCAATTACGTGTTTGATGTGAGCATGGGAGAAATCCTCGAGACTTTGGCTATGGGCGGGACAATCTGCACTCCCTCGGAACAGGAGCGTATGGAGTCTCTCCCTCGATTCATGGAAAAGGCCAAGGTAAACACAGCCATGCTTACGCCATCATATATCAAGACAATGGAGCCGGCAGACGTACCTTCTCTCAAGCTCCTAGTCACTACCGGAGAGCCATCAACTAGGGATATTGTGAAGAAATGGCAGCCTCATGTGAGACTCATCAATTCGTATGGGCCCGCAGAGGTGACTATCAATGTTGGTGCTTATGAGTACCAGTCCCCCGAGGACCAAGTCACCAACATAGGCCGCGCTTGGGGTGGTCATATGTGGGTTGTTGAACCGGACAATCATAACAGAATTGCTCCAATTGGTTGTATCGGTGAGATTCTGATTCAGCGAGATATCTCACAGGGCTATCTTAACAACGCGGAGAAGACGAAACAAAACTACATCAAAGCTGTTGACTTCCTATCAGTGGAGGACCCATCCGTCAAGTTCTATAAATCTGGGGACTTGGGGCGATATAATATGGATGGAACGGTTGAGATCATTGGCCGTCGCGATACTCAGGCCAAGCTTCGTGGTCAGCGTCTGGAACTTGGCGAGATTGAGTATTACATCAGACAACAGTTTGATGACATTGAACTTGTGGCCGCTGACGTGATGCCTGTTCGATCCCGTGCAACCCTGGTTGCATTCATAAGTTTCAAGCCAGGATTTGATTCGTTCCAGCCATCAGAGCTTCCTCTGCCGTTCATGCAGCCAAGCGAAAGCTTGATGCATAGATTGAACGTCCTTGTTGAGAGTCTGCGAGCTATTCTCCCGGGATACATGGTTCCTTCTTTTTTCATGACTCTTGATTCAATGCCCCTGAACACATCGTCGAAACTGGATCGCAAGCGGGTAAAAATGCTCGCATCGGCCTTGAACCAGGAGCAAATGGGCGTTTACTCTCTCGACAGTGCCGAGAAGATACAAGCAACCACGAGAAGAGAATTGCTGCTGCGGGATTTGTGGTCCCAAATTCTGGAAGTAGACGAAGAGAGCATTGGAAAGAGGGACAACTTCTTCCAAAATGGAGGTAGCTCCATCTTGGCTATTCAACTGATGTCTCTTGCTCAAAAGCATGGTATCTCATTGTCTGTTGCCAATATTTTCGCACACCCAAGCCTTGAAGACATGGCATTAAGCATGAATGAGGAAACAGTGGAGGCTGCTACCATTCCACCATTCAGTATGCTACCATTAGCTGAGGAGACTGTGAAGAGTGAAGTCCAAAGCCAAAGTGAGATATCTTCACTTATCGAATTTGAAGACATGATGCCAACCACCTCGCTACAAGAAGGGCTTATGGCACTCAACCTCAAGCAATTCTCCTCTTACACTGCATATATTCCTTTCCGGATTGCTGAATCAGTCAACATCGACAGGCTCAAAGCTGCATGGGAACAAACTGTGCAGACCTGCACTAATCTACGGACAAGGATCTTTCATGTTCAAGGACACACTCTTCAAGCCATTGTCAAGGAGCAGGCGATCTGGGAAGAATTTGACGATTTGTCCCTACGAGGGTTCAAGAAACATATCGAATCTAAGCCTATGGGCTACGGATCAAGACTTTGCAGATATGCTATTGTCAATGACAACGGACATTCCTATTTCGTGCTGGCCATCCATCATGCTGTGTATGATGGCTGGAGCTTAGGTTTAGTTCTACGGACCATTCTGAGCCGTTATCTTGGAACTGAGGCCCCAACGATTCAGCCATACTCTGGCTTCATTTCGTACATCAGCCAGCTGGATGAGGATAGCATGTATAATTACTGGAGAGACTACCTCCAGGGCTCGGTGCAAACCTCATTCCCAGTCAAAAAAGCCAACGGACCAAGTGAGTCTCGCACCTGTATTAAACCAATCACGTTCCCTGAATCAACGGACAATACGATCACGAAGGCCACAATCATACGAGCCGCATGGGCCATAATACTTAGCAAGTATTGTGAAACTGATGACGTTACGTTCGGAATGACACTTTCGGGGCGTCAGGCCACAGTTCCTGGTGTAATAGAAATGGCTGGTTTGACTATCGCTACAGTCCCTATCCGGGTCCAAATTGAGAAAAAGGGACGCGTCTCCGAATTCCTACACCATCTCCAGACTGAAGCTTCAGCTATGATTCCATACGAACAATATGGACTACAGAGAATTTCAAAGACAAGCCCAGAAGCTCAGCAGGCTTGCGATTTCCGAAGTCTGCTTGTTGTTCAGCCCTTCTCAGCGCTTGATGCGATGGATGAAACTTCAGAAGAGATCCTAGAGCAATTAAGCGACCCTGATCTTGAGGACTTTTTCAACTACCCTCTTGTCATTCAATGTGAGATGTCTGAATCCAAAACCGAGTTGCACATCACACACGATTCCCAAGTTATTGATAGTGGTCGGATTGATGCCCTCTCTGTCCATTTCCAGAATGTCGTCAACCAGTTGTTGCCAGAGAGTCAAAAGGAAATTGAAGAGGTAGAGCTTACTTCTTCTTGGGACTTTGAGAAAGCTCTGGAATGGAATGGGCAGCCGGAAAAAACGGCACACACGTGCTGGCATGAAGTCTTCCGGGCCAATGCCAGAGCCTATCCTCACGATGTTGCTGTCAATGCATGGGATGGCACTCTAACGTACCAACAGTTGGATGAGACAACCGATAGGCTTGCATATCATCTGATTCACTTACAGCATATCCAACAAGGAGACATGGTGGTTGTGTGTTACGAGAAGTCACTTTGGTATACTGTCTGCATTTTGGCTGTTAGTAAAGCTGGAGCTACTTGGGTTCCAATTGACCCGTCTCACCCTAGACAACGTCACGAGTCTATCATCAACCAAGCAGATGCCAGAATTGCTCTTTCTTCATCGATGCATTTGGAATATTGCCAGAAAATTATCGGGACCGTGCTGGAGGTTACGCCTGAGCTTGATGTCCAGCTGCAACAGAAGCTCGCTTCTGAAGATGTTTCGCTCCCTCAGGTATCCCCAAAGAGCGTCGCTTATGTGCTGTTCACATCTGGAAGTACTGGTACTCCAAAAGGGTTCGCAATTGAACATTGCTCCGTTGCGACTAGCCAGCTGACTCTATGGGAAAAACTGTCTGTGCCACACGACGCCCGGGTCTTACAGTTTGCATCCCATGTTTTTGATTTTGCGATCTGTGAAATAATCGGCTCCCTAATGGAAGGAGTTGCTATATTTGTCCCATCGGACCAAGACCGAATGAGCAAGTTAGTCGACTTCATTAACTCAAATGGAATTGACTCGTTGTTCTTGACGCCATCATTCGCTCGCACTCTGCCCATATCGGAGCTTCCTCGCGTCAACCTTTTGTTCCTTGCAGGCGAGACTGTTACCAAGGATATTTTGGACACATGGTTTGAGCAAGCCCGTATCTTCAACGCATGGGGCCCGGCAGAAACCGTTGTTTGCAACACCGTTCATCAATATCGCTCAGTTTACGACTCACCAGCCAACATTGGTAAGTCAACTGGCGGATTCTGTTGGCTTGTAGACCCCCAGAACCCGCATAAACTAGCACCAATCGGAACCATTGGTGAAGTAGTAATTCAAGGTCCAACTATCATGCGTCATTATGTTGGCGATGAGGTGAAAACAAACAACACAATAATGCCAGCCCCTGAATGGGCACCGTTCCATGACGTTCCTGGATGGGATCGAATTTTCAAGACTGGAGACCTTTGCTATTATAACTCGGACGGAACTATGGACTTCTTGTCTCGAAAGGATACCCAAGTGAAGATTCGGGGTCTCCGCGTCGAACTTGGCGAGATCGAGTATCACATCCGGCATTCTCTTCCTGATATTGTTCAGGTGGCTGTTGACGTAATTAGTTACGCCAAATCGTCGCAGCTAGTGGCTTACATGTGTTTCACGGACGAGACACGCTTGGACTACAATTCAGCTGATGTTTTCCACTCACTCTCATCGGATCTCCATGACCAAATGGTTGAGCTCCTCGGAAAGCTTGGCTCGCTTCTCCCTACCTATATGCTGCCATCAATCTTTATTCCTTGCAACTTCATGCCTTCGATAACATCTACCAAGTTAGACAGAAAGACATTAAAAGATTTAGCCACATCTCTCAGTCAGTCACAGCTTTCGCACTATTCCCTGGTCAATGCAACAAAGCGAAAGCCTGACACCCCAATGGAACGTCGTCTCCAACACATCTGGGCCAATGTACTCAGTCTTCCCGAGGATGCTATTGGCAAGGATGACAGCTTTATCCGTATTGGTGGAGATTCTGTAACTGCAATATATCTGTGCAGCGCGGCGAGAAAATTCGGAATCGACCTCCAGGTCAAAGACATCTTTGACGATCCCCGCCTCTGTGCGGTTGCCGAAAAGGCTGTCATGGTTGGATCGATGACGGAAACAAGCGACGAAATTAAGCCTTTTGAGTTGTTGGATTTCGATATTTCCTCACACCAGGATAAGATACGTCAAACCTGTGGCCTGAGAGACGACCAGGTTATCGAGAATGCTATGCCTGTCACTCCACTCCAGGAGGGTTTCATCGCTTTGTCAGTGAAACAGCCTGGATCTTATATCGGAAGATGGATCTATCGCCTAGGTGACAACGTAAACATTCACCGCTTCAAAGAGGCCTGGGAAGCAACTATTCGACGCTGCAACAATACACGGAGTAGAATGGCTGCTGTCGCTGGCCGGACGATACAGGTCTACATCAAAGATGACATCCAATGGGAGGATACCTCGAGGTTGAATCTAGAGGAATTCCTTGAGAAATCTAGAAGTATTGAAATGACTCTTGGGAGCCGCCTGAATCGGTATGCTCTTATCCAAGAATCATCGGGTGACAACTTCTTTGTCTTTCTTGCTCATCATTCGATTTACGATGGGTGGACAATGCGTATTATTCTCGATACCGTGTCCAAACAGTATGAGTCTGTGTCTACAATCATACAACCATTTGACAATTTCATCAAGTATGTCAGTGCTATCGACCAAAAGGCTGCCGGGGATTACTGGCGCACGCAGCTCCAAGGTGCGAAGCGTGCTGGATTCCCACGTACCGCAAAGACCCTTGGGGTTAGCAAGGTGATGAACAGAGTCGTCAACTTGAAAGACACAAGCATGTCTGTGACAAAAGCCACACTGGTTCGAGCGGCATGGGCACTGGTTCTGGCTAGATATGCTGATACGGAGGATATATGCTTTGGAACCTCCGTTTCTGGCCGCCAAGCTGCTGTCCCCGGGATTGGTGATATGGCTGGTCCGGCGGTTGCAACAATTCCTATCCGTGTTCGCTTGGACAAGGAAACTCGTGTTTCTGAGTTTTTAAATAAGATCCAAGTCCAGGCTACCGACATGATATCATTTGAGCAAACGGGCATTCAAAATATTGCAAAGCTAAGTGATGAAATTAGAGAGGCTTGCGACTTTTCGAGCCTGCTCGTCATTCAGCCTGTTGAAGCTATGGGACAAGTCGGAAAGGATTCTGAGAGCCTTTTAATAACTGTGAACGATGATTACGAGGGCACAAGTCAATCGATGAATGGCTACTTCACCATGCCTCTTGTCATGCAAGCACTACTTTCGGAAACCGAGCTGTGTCTTGATGTCACCTATGACACCGCAGTAATTTCTGAAGTCCAAGCTACAGCCCTCGTCAATCAGATGGAGCATGTCATGAACGCACTTCTTACACATCAGGAAGAGTCACTTGCAAATCTGGCCGTTGCCGGGGAATGGGACCTCGCCCAGGCTATAGCATTCAATAGAAACATGCCCGAGGTCATAGAGTCGACTTTCCACCAAATAGTGGAGAGACATTCAGCAAGTAATCCAGAGTCTATTGCCGTCGACGCTTGGGATGGATCATTCACATACAGGGAATTGAATGACAGAGCCAACCGCCTGGCGAGTTATCTAAACGTACGTAACCTTGTGAAGCCGAGAGATCTTGTCCATGTTTGTTTTGAGAAATCAGCTTGGTATCTGGTGGCTATCCTGGCTATCAACAAGGCCGGTGCGGCATGGGTACCGCTAGACCCATCCCATCCTGAACATAGGAGAAAGCAAGTTGTTTTACAGACGGGTGCTACTTTGATTCTTGCCTCACCAAGCAACGCTGAAGCGGCCGAAGACATGGTTGAGACTGTTATCCAGGTGTCACCTGAGCTGGATAGCGAGTTGATCAATCGCAAGGATGTATTAACATCAGGAGTCTCCCTCAATGTGTCACCGTCTGACGCTTGCTATGTTCTCTTCACGTCTGGATCAACTGGTGCACCTAAGGGTTTTGTCATCGAGCATATGTCGCTGTGTACTACTCAAAAAGCATTTTCAAACCGTCTTAGGATGACTTCTGAGGCCAGGGTCCTTGCAACCGCATCCCATGTATTCGATATGTCTATTGGGGAGATAGCCTTTGGTCTCCTGGCTGGGGCTACAGTGTGTGTGCCATCTGAATCAGACAGGATGAATGATTTAGCGGCCTTCATTACCAATCGCCGTGTCACCTGGACGTGGCAAACACCGGCATTTGTTCGCACTATGAGACCAGAGACGATGCCATCGTTGGAAGTCATGGTGCTAGCTGGTGAATCCGTCGGTCGCGATATCTTCGAGAGCTGGTTTGGTAAAGTCCGACTGATAAATGGCTGGGGGCCGGCCGAGACTTGCTGCCTTAGCTCTCTGCATGAGTGGACATCTCCAACAGAGTCACTATCGTCAATTGGAACTCCCTTGGCGGAGTTCTGCTGGATTGTGGAAGCTGGCAATCCGAACAGGCTTGCCCCAATTGGCACTGTTGGAGAGGTAGTAATCCAAGGTCCGACATTGCTTCGAGAGTATCTGAACAATCCCGAACAATCTGCGAGGTCAATAATCACGGACCTGCCAGAATGGGTGCCAAATAGACAACAGTGGAACCGATTCTATCTTACTGGTGACCTGTGTTCATACAATGACCAGGGTTCTCTGGAGTTTGTTAGCCGCAAAGACAACCAGGTCAAAATCCGGGGCATGCGTATTGAGCTAGGGGAAGTGGAGCACCAAATTCAATCTCTGTTGCCGCCTGATTGCCAAGTTGCGGTAGACATTTTCAAAGGCACTGCTGGGTCTACACTGGTGGCATATATATGTTTCACTCAGGCAGCTAGATATGCTGGTTCCAGTGATGACTGGACTGATTTGTTTTCTCAGACAGATTCTCCCGTACCACAGATGGTTTCTGGTATTCTTCACGAACTAGAAATGGCACTTCCTGGGTATATGATCCCATCGATATTTGTGCCATGCCAGTACATGCCCTTTATCACATCAACGAAACTTGCGAGGCGGGTTTTGCTCGAAGAGACGGCGAATCTTTCCCCAGATCAGTTAAATCAATTCTCTCTCTCAAACATTGACAAGCATACACCAGAGACGGCTACTGAAATCCAACTGCAGCCTATCTGGGCACAAGTGTTGAGCATTCCGGCCGACAGCATTGGCCGCGACGATAGCTTTCTACGCATTGGTGGAGATTCAATCACTTGCATCATGCTTTGCAACGCTATGCGAGAGAATGGCCTCTCGATTGAAGTTAGAGATGTTTTTGAGGATCCTCGTCTTCACGCTGTTGCGCGCAAGGCCATCCCAGCTGAACCCTCAACGGGTCTCAGCCACCCAGAGCCGTTCAGTCTCCTTACTGCACCACATGATGATCTCGAAGCTTCTATACGTCGTGAAATGAAGCTGCCAGCTGGAGTTGATATTTCTGATATGTATCCTTGTACGCCACTTCAGGAAGGATTGCTGGCCCTGTCAGTTACCCAGCCAAAATCGTACATTGCTCGCCATGTGTATAGAATTCCTGTTGGGGTTGACATTTCTCGCCTCAAGGGAGCATGGGAGCGAACTGTGACCCTCTGTGTAAACCTTCGAACGCGAATATTATTGAACAAGGGCACAGCAATCCAGTGTCTCCTAGAAAATGAGCCTGTTTGGGAGAGTCAAACGACAGACAGTCTTCTAGCCTTCCTGGAGCAGAGCCGACAGATTCGAATGACATATGGATCTCGACTGAATCAATTTGCCATCATTGAAGAGCCTACCGGCTCCAAATACTTTGTTTCAATTACGCACCATTCTGTCACTGATGGCTGGACACTTCGACTAGTGATGGACACGTTCCATGCGCTCTACACGGAAGAAACTGGATTCAACTTGCAGCCATACTCCAGCTTTGTTAACTACATTATGAAGCTTGATCAAAGTGCTTCTGGTGAATACTGGAAAACGCAGCTTTCCGGATCCAGGAAATTATCTTTCCCTCCAACCACAAAGAGTAGCCACAGTGTCCGATCGGACGTGTTGTATCATGATGTTAACTTATGCAAACCCGAAGATGAGGTCATTACTCAGGCTACAGTCGTAAGAGCAGCTTGGGCTATTCTTCTAGGGCGGTACAGCGATACAAGCGATGTTTGTTTCGGTACTACTGTGTCCGGGCGCCAAGCAGCTCTCCCTGGCATCACCAATATCCCTGGGATCACACTTGCAACTGTTCCCGTTCGCATCCAACTCAACCCAAATCTTACGGTTGGAGATTTCCTGACAGATATCCAAAACCAAGCTTCGGAGATGACGAGATACGAACAATTCGGCATCCAGAATATTGCAGGCCTCAGCCAGGATATAAAAGAGGCGATAGACTTCACAAGTCTACTCGTTATCCAACCAATCGACCAAATGTTCAATACTGAATCCGACAACACATTCATTGAGCCCATTGATGACTCTACATACAATGTCGATAGTGATATGGATGGATACTTCAGCTATCCCCTAGTTGTAATGGCTAATTTGTATTCTGATAAGGTTCAATTACAGATTGTCTACGATGCGGACCTCCTGAACCGCCATGCGATTGAAGCCTTTGCGAATCAATTTAGGCAAATTTTCCAACAGCTTATTGAACATACTACAAGCTCCTTGGAGTCAATTTCCGTGGCTGGTCCATGGGATATCAAAAAAGCCGAAGAGTGGAACTTGTCTGCACCAAAACCTGTTCAGAAATGCGTGCACAACTTAATCTCCGAGAAGGCTGCGGAGCTTCCCGACCAAGAAGCCATTTTTACATCTGATGGTAGCTTGACTTACAGCGAGCTTGATATGCTGTCCAGTAAGCTAGCCCTGTATCTAATGTCACTTGGGATCGGTCCAGAGACCCTTGTTCCATTCTGCTTCGAGAAGTCCAAGTTCGCGATTGTTTCTATGCTTGGTATTCTGAAAGCAGGCGGTGTATTTGTTCCACTTGATCCTTCGCATCCAAGAAGCCGTCGACAAGCTGTGGTTGATGAGACAGGCTGCGAATTCATTTTAAGCTCTCCAGAATCAGCCTCAGCTTGCGGCTCGATGACCCCTAAAATCATCGAGATTTCTGACGTCTTCTTTGAACGAATGCGGGATCTCACGAGCTTCAACCCAGAAAAGGCTCCACGAGCAGGTCCTCAGAATGCTGCATATGTATTGTTCACCTCGGGTTCTACCGGGAAGCCAAAGGCCATTATAGTTGAACATTCCGCGCTGTGTGGCAGCCTTCTAGGAGAAGGTAGAGTTTACCATCTCGGTAGCCAATCTCGGGTTTTGCAGTTTTCCAATTATGCTTTTGACGTCAGCCTTTGTGAAATTTTGGAAACTCTTGTCTTCGGAGGCACTGTATGCATACCTTCAGACAAACAGAGGCTGGAATCGCTGCCTCGTTTCATGGAAGACGCTCAGGTCAATACAGCCATGTTGACCTCATCTTATCTGAGGACGTTGAACCCAGCCGACGTCCCATCTTTGCGTATGTTGATGTTGGTTGGTGAAGCTCCCAGTCAAGACATAATTACCACGTGGCAGCCACGAGTCAGGCTGATTAATGCTTATGGTCCATCGGAAGTCTCCATCTTCATTGGGTCACACGAGTATAAATCTATCGATGATCAGGCCACGAATGTTGGCACAGCCTTTGGTGGAAATATGTGGATTGTCGAGCCAGATGATTTTAACAAACTTTCACCGATTGGATGTGTCGGTGAGATTCTCATCCAAAGGGATATGGCCCGTGGGTATCTCAACGATGAGCAGAGAACCAATGCCGCATTCATCAAGCAGGTCGGATTTCTGGGTGCTACCGAATTCCCGATTAAGTTTCACAAATCTGGAGATCTTGCGCGATACAATCCAGATGGTACTATTCAATACCTTGGTCGCCGGGATACTCAGACTAAGCTTCGTGGTTATCGGATCGAACTGGGAGAAGTGGAATATAACATCCAAAATCTGCTTCCAAATGTAGAGCACGTTGCCGCAGATGTCGTCTCAGTCGGTTCACGAGAGACTCTTGTTGCGTTCTTGAGCTTTAAGAACCCATCAGATGAAACAGATTTTGCAGTCGACGTATCTGCCACAAATCCATTTATGGTTCACTCAGACAAGATGAAGCAGAAATTACAGAAACTGCTTGACGATCTTTACACTGTTCTTGCAAGTTATATGGTTCCATCAGCTTTCCTCCCACTTCGGGAGATGCCTCTCAACAACTCATTGAAGCTAGATCGAGGTAGACTTCGAGCTTTGGCTTCAAGTCTTACGCAAGAGAAATTAGGCCTATTTTCCGTCGATACTGGAGAAAAGATTGAGCCAGTCACGGAAATGGAGATCAAACTACGTTCTCTGTGGTCTGAAGTACTAGAGGCTGACGTTGCTACTATCGGGAGATCTGACAACTTTTTCCAGGTGGGAGGTAACTCTCTCGTGGCAATTCAACTTATGAGCATTGCGCAGGAGCGAAATATTTCGCTCACTGTAGCTGACATCTTCGCGCATCCCCGGTTGGAGGCCATGGCTCTGGCGGTATCCGGAACACATATTGAAGTTCAGGACGTTGCGCCACTGAGCATGTTATCTATTTCGCGTGAAGACCTCGACTTGCAGCTTCTAGAGCAGTCCGATATTCTAGTCACGTCAATCCTTGAAGACGCTCTTCCCACCTCACCCCTTCAGCAAGGCCTCATGGCCTTGTCTGCTAAGGAAGCTGAATCATACATCGCATTCGCCGATTTTGAAATCTCCCCCTCTATTGACATTGATCGGTTCAAAAAGGCGTGGGATCAGACAGTTCAGATTTGCAGCAGCTTACGGACCAGGATGCTTCACATTCACGATCAGACTGTTCAAGTCATCCTCAAACAGTCTTCCACTTGGGACCTTGCTGATGGCATTTCCATGTCCTCGTTCAAAGAATTTGTGAAAGGAAAGTCCATGACCTATGGGTCCAAGCTTTGCTACACCGCGATCACCGAAGACAATAATCGCCGGTTCTTTGCTCTTGCTATTCATCACGCAGTTTACGATGGTTGGACCATGGGATTAGTGTTACGCACTCTCCACTCGATTTACACGGGAGGCACGCCGCCTGTCATCCAGCCTTATGCACGATTTATCAAGTATACGCAGGACATTCTGGATGATACAGCTCGTCAATACTGGCAAAACTACTTGAAGGATGCAACCTCGGGTTCGTTCCCCCGCGCTGCAAAGAGTTCGACAGAGAGCGTGACTTCCACCGTCGTCCGCACTATCAAGTTCCCTTCTTCTAGCAAAACCTCCATTACCAAAGCTACCATCATCAGGGCCGCCTGGGCTATTATCCTCTCCAGGTACTGTGATTCTGGCGATGTCACGTTTGGTATGACCCTATCTGGACGCCAAGCTCCTGTTCCTGGGTTGGCTGATATGACTGGTCCTGCAATTGCTACTGTTCCTATCCGTGTCAATCTCAAGAAGCTAGGTTCAACCGTTGCCGAATTTCTTCAAAATTTGCAAAATGAAGCTTCCGAAATGATTGCTCATGAACAATATGGTCTGCAAAATATAGCCAAGACCGGGCCTGATGCGCAGGAGGCCTGTAACTTCCAGAGTCTCCTTGTGATTCAGCCATTCTCCCCATTGGAAGACATTTCCAACGGTCCCGATGCCATGTTCTTGCCTACTTCAATCCATGAAGATGCGGATGCTTCCGCATTCCAAGGATTCCTAAGCTATCCCCTTGTTATTAATAGTCATATATCTGATGAGGAGGCACACCTTCAGCTGATATTTGATGCTGCTTCAATCCCTCGCATCCGGATTGATGCCCTTTGTGAACACTTCAATCATATTATTCAGCAACTTGTTGTTGATACAGATAAACCTCTTCAAGACCTTGAAGTTTCTTCAGCCTGGGATCTCAAACAGGCAATCTCATGGAACGGAAAAGCTCCCGACTCGATCAACGGATGCTGGCATGAAGTTGTCGAAGTCAACGCAGCAAGTCAGCCCCATTCCCTGGCTGTGAGTGCGTGGGATGGAAACCTTACCTACAAAGGTCTTAATGACGCCGCCGATCGGCTTGCTCGCCACCTGGTCCACGTTAGGAACGTTAAGGAAGGGGATAATATCTTGGTCTGCTTCGAGAAGTCTTTGTGGCACACAGTTTGCATATTGGCTATCAGCAAGGCGGGAGCTACTTACGTGCCCCTCGAGCCTTCATACCCAACGCAACGCAAAGAATATATTATGAAGCAGACGAAGAGCAAGCTCGCACTATCTTCACCGACCAATTCTCAACTCTGCTGGGACCTGATCGGCAATGTTTTGGAGGTATCAGGGGCTTTAGAAGCACAACTTATCAAACAGGGCTCGCCCAAGTCTCTTCTCAAGGTCTCGCCTGAAACAGCTGCGTACATTATTTTCACCTCTGGCAGTACAGGAACGCCTAAAGGCGTCGTCATCGAGCAGCGATCTTTGGTGACTGGTCAAGCTACAATGTTTAACAATCTCGGGTTGCCAGAAGACGTAAGAATGCTTCAATTCGCTTCATATGCGTTCGATTATTCCATCTGCGAGATCATTGGCACGTTGATGCATGGCGGTTCTATCCACGTACCCTCCGAAGACACTAGGATGAATAACCTTGCATACTTCATCAATGAGAACAACATCAACACTGTCGGCATCACCCCTACTTTTGCACGAACCTTATACCCTAGAGATATTCCTTCTGTCAAGTGTGTCATTCTCGGGGGCGAGGCCGTTTCTCAAGACCTAGTTACAACTTGGTTTGATAAAGTACGACTATTGAACGCCTGGGGCCCTACTGAAGCAACAATCTGCAGTGCCTTCCATGAATACAGTTCCATCAATGAGTCCCCTCTTACAATTGGTCGCCCCACGGGCTGCTTCTGCTGGATTGTTGACCCAAATAACCCTCATCGCTTGGCGCCAATCGGCACTACCGGAGAGATTGTTATCCAGGGACCAACTTTGTTACGTGAATACATCGGAGATGAAGAAAGGACCAGTCAGAGTGTTATTTATCCTGTTCCTGAATGGGCTCCCTACAGAAATGTATCTGGATGGGATCGTATGTACAAAACCGGCGATCTCTGCCATTACAACGACGATGGGACAATTGAATTTGTTTCTCGAAAGGACACCCAAATCAAAATCAGAGGTCTCCGTGTGGAGTTGGGAGAAATTGAACATCATATTCGGCAAGCTCTTCATGGTGTTGCTCAAGTAGCGGTTGACATTCTCACCACTGACTCAGGATCAGCCATCGTATCCTTCTTCTCTTACAATGAAGAGATGCGAGTGAACCATGACTTGAAGAACATCTTCTCTCGCCTGACACCAGGTCTTCACGATCGGGTTTCAGAGATGCTTGGCAGGCTCAACCTTATCCTTCCGGCATATATGGTCCCCACTGTCTTCATCCCCTGTGACTTCATGCCGGCGATTACATCTGGCAAACTTGATAGGAAAATGCTACATAACCTTGCCGGAACTCTAAGCAAGGACGAATTAGCAACTTATTCACTTGTCAGTTCCATGAAAAGACAGCCTGAAACCGAGATGGAATCAAGAATGCAAGTCATGTGGGCAGAGCTCCTCAACCTGCCACTGGAATCAATTGGGAGAGATGATAGCTTTTTACGCGTCGGCGGTGACTCGGTGATGGCAATTACCTTGGTCAGCGCCTCTAGGGCATCTGGCATTCTATTTTCGGTCAAAGACATATTTGATGACCCTCGCCTTTTCGCTGTAGCTGCCCGGGCTATTGAACAAGAGCCTGGAGCTGATGATATTACTGAGATCGAGCCTTTCGAATTGCTGGATGGTAAGACTCGCTCTGAGGTCCTTGGCCCGTCTGTTCGCGAGGTTTGCGGTTTGCAAGACAGCCTTCGCATAGAAAATGCAATGCCCGTAACCGCACTTCAAGAAGGATTCATTGCCTTGGCCATGAAACAACCAGGGAGTTACATTGCTCAGTGGGTTTATCAGCTTGCAGAAAATGTTGACGTTAATCGTTTTGCGGCAGCTTGGGAAGAGACAGTCAGGGTTTGTTCCAATCTTCGAACAAGAATTGTACGAATTTCTAATTCCACGACTCAAATCTCGGTCAAGGACGATATTTCTTGGGAGGACACCACCGGGCTGACCTTGGCTGAGGCTTTGGACAAGACGGGCTCCATAGAAATGACTCTCGGTTCACGATTGAGTCGCTATGCACTGGTCAATGAACCTGGATCTAGCAAGACACATTTCGTATTCCTTGTTCACCACGCCGTTTACGACGGGTGGACAATGCGTATTATCATGAGCACTTTGACTAGTGTCTACAACGACTACCCAGCGCCAGACCTCATGCCCTTTGACCACTTCATTAAGTATGTCCAGGCCCTCGACCGGGACTCTGCGAAGACATACTGGCAAGAGCAGCTCCAAGATGCAAAACGAGCTGCGTTCCCTCGTATCTCGAAAAATCAAAACACCGGTATAACCAAGCTTGTCACAAGGAATGTACAGCTTCCTGCTACTGATACATCCATCACCAAGGCAACGCTCATCCGAGCAGCGTGGGCGATCGTTTTAGCAAGGTATTCGGAAACCAAAGATATTTGCTTTGGCACGTCTCTCTCAGGAAGACAAGCTCCCGTACCGGGGCTGGGCGAAATGGCCGGCCCGGCAGTTGCCACCGTGCCCGTGCGCATTAAACTTGATGAGAATCCTCTTGTCTCTGATTTCCTTAACAAAGTGCAGGCACAAGCATCCGACATGATCCCCTATGAGCAATTTGGCCTTCAAAATATCGCCAAGATTTCTCTGGATGTTCAAGAAGCATGTAACTTTTCGAGTCTTCTGGTGGTTCAGCCATTTGAGAGGATGGATCAGCTCGCAGAAGCTGCGGATTCTATCCTGCAATTAACTGAAATGGAAGAGGATTTCGCGGAGAGAAACCTTGAAGGTTATTTCAATATGCCTTTGGTTCTCCAAGTCCTTGTCTCTGAGGAGGAACTTAGCATGAGTATGTCCTACGACGTTCAAGTTTCAGACGAGAATCAGGTCTCCGCCATGTTGCATCATATGGAGCATGTGATCGTTGAGCTCCTTGGGGAGGACAAAAAGCTGCATGACGTGTCTATTACAGGAAGGTGGGACTTGGAGCAAGCTCTCACGGTCAATAGCGATATCCCTGAGATTTTTGAAGCCACATTCCATGAGATGGTGGATAAGCAAGCCATACTCAGTCCCGATTCAGTTGCTATCCATTCTTGGGATGGGTCGTTTACATACAAAGAGTTGGTGACGCACGCCAATAAATGGGCTAGACATCTCGTCGAATCAGTGCTCGTTCGACCTAATGATCTCGTTCATGTATGCTTTGAAAAGTCAAGATGGTACTTTGTAGCTATCTTGGCAGTCAACAAGGCTGGCGCCGCCTGGGTGCCACTTGATCCATCGCACCCTCAACAACGACATCAACAGATCATCAAACAAACGGGCTCTCAAGTTGTTCTCACGTCACCTCAAAACTCCAACCTATTCTTAAATGTGATTCAGAATACTGTCGAGATTTCAGCTGAGCTTGACGGCCAGTTGAAAGATGACCGGCCAGTTGATATGATTGTGTCCCCTCAGGATCCAGTATACGTCCTCTTTACTTCAGGGTCAACTGGCACGCCAAAGGGTCTGATAATGGAACATAGCTCTGGCATCACGAGTCTCATGTCGTTTGCGAAGAGGCTCAAGATAGAGCGGTCCGTTAGGACTCTCCAGTTTGCCCCCTTTGTGGTGGATTTCTCGATAGGCGAAATCTTTTTCTCTCTGTTTACCGGGATGAGTCTTTTTGTTCCCTCTGATACTGAAAGGCTTAATGATTTACCAGGGTTTATCAGAAAGCACAGCATCTCTTGGGCATTCCTAACCCCGTCATTTGCCCGCACTATTAAGCCTGGGGAGGTACCTACCCTAGAGCTCTTACTCTTAGCCGGCGAACAGGTCACCCAGGACCTCTTTGATACTTGGGTCCGGAGAGTAAGGTTCCTCAATGTCTGGGGGCCTGGAGAAGACTGTTTCCTCAGTTCATTGCACGAGTGGAGGTCTGATCAAGAATCCGTGTACACCGTTGGTAAACCAGCTGGTTCCTTCAGTTGGATCGTGGAACCAGATGATCATTCCAAATTGGCCCCATTCGGCACGGTCGGAGAAGTGATTATTCAAGGACCGACACTGATGAGAGAATATTTGGCGGACCCAGACAGAACGGCAGAGGCCATGGCAATCAGCCCTCCTTCCTGGGCGTTCAACTCTCCAGACAAACGTTGGAGCCGCTTTTATCGGACTGGCGACCTCTGCTATTACAGACACGATGGTACTCTGGCATTCTTTGCAAGGAAGGATACCCAGGTCAAGATTCGAGGTCTTCGTGTTGAGGTCAGCGAAGTAGAACATCAGATTAGATCAATTATTCCCCAGGGTTGCGAGACAGTGGTGGGAACATTGCGTGGAACCGGGGCTGTAAACCTCGTGGCATACATCTGCTTAGACCCAGGGGCGACGTCCTCAGGAGCCTCAAGCCACGCTCACGATGACCTGTTCTTGGCCCTGGATTCCAATGTGCAAACCCAAATGATTGAGCTGAAGAAGAAAGTTGGGGCTGCGCTTCCGCCATACATGGTTCCAACGCTGTACATTCCTTGCAAGACAATACCATCTGTTAGCGGCAAGGTTGACCGAAAGAGGCTTCAGGAGCAGACGCAGAGGCTAAACCAAGCCCAAATCTCAGAGTACGGGCTTCAAAATGTTGAGAAGCGCAAGCCTGAGACGGAACTCGAAATTAGGCTCCAAAAGATTTGGGCAGATGTGCTTAGCATTGACCCCGACTCAATCGGATGTGATGATAGCTTCCTTGCAATCGGCGGTGATTCAATCTCAGCCATTAATCTTATGACTGCTGCACGCGAAGACAACATCTTCATTACTGTAGATGAGATCTTCCGCCACTCTGATTTGTCCGGCATGGCCCTGCACGTTGGCAAGTCAGCTGTCTCACAAGCCCCTGTAACCGAGGTGAAGCCTTTTGAGTTGCTTGTCGGCGATGAAAGGGAACTAATCAAGAGCGATGGACTGCGCAAGCTCTATGGTATCCCAGGGGACTGCAATATCGAGGACGCGTTCCCTTGCTCGCCTCTACAGGAAGGCCTTATCGCACTGTCTGTGAAGCATCCAGGCTCATATATATCTAAATACGTATTCAAGCTCCCCAGCCACGTAAATATTGACCGGTTCAAAGCGGCTTGGGAGAAAGCAGTTCAAATGAACTGTAACTTGCGAACCCGTATTGTCCCTGCCGACCAACGCTCTCTTCAGATCTACATTACTGGTGATCAGGAGTGGGAAGACACGGAAGGCTTAGATCTGGACGCGTACATAAAAACAACTCGAACTTGGGAGATGGCGTATGGGTCTAAGCTGAGTCGCTATGCAGTTGTGAAGAACGGCTCTGGAGACAGCCATTTCGTCTGGATTGCGCATCATTCGATTATTGACGGCTGGTCTTTACAAATAACGTTCAGAGCTCTTCACGAGTACTATTGGAACAGCCCTGTTACCTCACTTCCATCGTATCCAGGGTTTATCAAGAATATCATGGAGCTTGACTCCGACGAGGCGAGCTCATTCTGGGCGCGAAAATTAGAAGGTGCCTCGCGTCCTTCGTTCCCCTCACCACATCTGGATACCAAACCCAACTTCGAGTTTGTGTACCAAGATATAAGCGTACCTGAAACCTTCTCTGGCTCCATCACTAAGGCTACCGTTGTACGAGCGGCGTGGGCACTTGTTCAGGCAAAACATTGTAACTCTGATGATATTTGCTTTGGAGCTACTCTATCCGGCCGTAATGCCTCACTTGTCGGCCTGCAGAATATGCCTGGCCCAGCCATCACGACAATCCCTGTTCGTATCAAACTTCAAGATCGGGGTAAATCCATCCAGGAGTTCCTTCATCAAGTACAGACTGAGGCAATCGAGATGTCAGCCTTCGAACAATTTGGTGTGCAGAATATTGCCAAGGTTAGCGATCATGCGAGGGATGCATGCCGATTCTCAACCCTCATGGTTATTCGACCAAAGCAGTATCTGCAAGAATCTGGGAACGACATTCTAATAACCACTGACGTGGAGATGAACATTACCGAGAAAGAGATGGTGAATTATTTCAATTATCCTCTCATCATCGAATCTGGGATACTAGACAACAAAATAAGCATCCGATTTGTTCATGATACGAATAGTCTGACGAAGGGTCTAGTAGAAGCCATTGCGCATCAAGTCGATGAAATCGCCAGGCAGCTCTTTAGTAACCTCTCACAAACGGTTGCAGATTTGGTCTTTTCTGGATCATGGGATCAGGAACACGCACTTAGACATCAAAACTTGATACCTTCCACTGACGTGTGTTCTCACGCGATGATACTTAAGCAGATCAGAGAGACACCAGACCTTCCTGCTATCGCGTCTTGGGATGGTACAATGACTTACAGGGAAGTTGGAGATTATGCTTCGAGACTGGCTGTGCATCTCCAGTCTCTTGGCGTTGGACCTGAGCAACTTGTGCCTATTTGCTTCCCCAAATCGATTTGGGCCGCAGTCTCCATGATAGCGATCAACTTGGCTGGTGCCGCATTTGTTCCATTAGACCCTACCACACCGGTGAACCGGCTCAAGACGATCATCGAGGATGTCCAGGCCAGCCTTGTCCTGTCATCAGAAGACTCTCGTCATATCGCTGAGCAGTTGGGTGCAAAACTACTGCCAGTGAACGAAGGGTTTGTTAAAGGTCTAGCTGCTGCCTCTGCGGCCGAGCTCACGGGTGCCGCCAAGTCATCGAATGCTAGCTTCGCAATCTTCACGTCCGGATCAACTGGGAAACCTAAGGGTATCCTGCATGACCATGACTCCCTATGCTCAGCTATTGCTGGCTACACCGACAAGATGAGTTTCGGACCTGGAACTCGAGTGTTTGCTTATTCTGCATACACATTTGATTGGGGCATAATGGATGTTTTCGGTCCCCTTTCCCGAGGTGCCTGTGTTTGCATTCCATCTGACTATCAGCGGTACAATGGCATCGCCGAAGCAATCAACGAGCTTCAAGCCAACTGGGCTTTCTTCACTCCGACAGTTGCTGGTCTGATTGATCCTGCGAGCGTGCCAACTCTCAAGAATATTGGCCTAGGAGGCGAAGCGATTTCGCAGCAGCTGGTCGATCGCTGGAGAGATTTTGTCACTCTTCACAATTTCTACGGACCAGCTGAAGCTACCATCAATGGTTATCAGACAGTCGGTAAATCAGACAACCCCAACAATATCGGTGGCCCAATATCATCCGCATGGTGGGTCGTCGAACCTGAGAACTTGAAGAAAACTGTGCCTGTCGGCTGCATCGGTGAGCTGCTCATCCAAGGACCACTGTTGGCTCGCGGCTACATCAACGGGGGCGAGCAAGCCGATGCTGCATGGTTAGATAATGTCGACTGGTTGCCAGGCAATACGCCTAGTCGAGCATACAGAACTGGAGACCTTGTGCGCCGCAATGCAGATGGCAGTTTTGATTTCATCGGGCGAAAAGATACACAAATCAAGCTCCACGGCCAGCGTGTAGAGCTTACTGAGATTGAGTCTCGCCTGGATGAGATCTTGCCTGAAGATATGACTTGCGTCATTGACACGATTCTGAATGACGAGACCAAGTCAAATACTTTAGTGGCCCTCATTTGGTATTCCAAGGGGCCTATTTCAACTCATCCTCAAATCGAATTAGTCTCAGAAGTCACAGAAGAGATGAGGAGCCTTATTGCTTCCATCGACTCTTCTCTGAATCATGTACTAGCGAGTTACATGGTCCCGAGCATGTACCTTATTTTCCAAGGTGTACCTGAGCGTCTTAGTTCTGGCAAGATTGATCGACGTAAACTCCGGTCGATTGCACACGATACGCATGCAAAGGATCGTCTGAAATTCTCACCCTCTGAGACAACAGGCGAGCCACCAGCCACAGAGAGAGAACTGAGACTCCGTGAGTTATGGGCACAAGTCCTCCGAATCGATGCGGAGGAGATCAAGCGTCACGATAGCTTTTTGAGAGCTGGCGGCGACTCTATCAGCGCTATTAGGTTGGTTACCCTGGCACATGAAAAAGGGCTTATTCTTGATGTTGCGACCGTTTTCCGAGATCCCAGACTTTCTGCTATGGCATCCGCGACTGATTCAACTATCCATGCTGTCGAATACAATGTTGAACCTTTTGGTCTTGCCGACCAGGACAAGATCGCCAACATCATCGTTGAAGCTCGAAAACAGTGCAATCTTTCTGGTGGAACAGCCATTGATGATATTTTCCCAGCTACCTATCTACAGCAGGGACTCATGGCTCTCACCGTCAAGCAGCCCGGGTCATACATTGCTAGGCATGCATATCAATTATCGAAGGACGTCGACATCCCGAGGTTCCAAGAGGCACTCCGAAAGACCGTTGAAACATGTACCAACTTGCGCACTCGCATAATCGATTTTGAGGGTCGGGCACTGCAAGTCGTGGTTCAGGATGACTATGAATGCGAAATGGCACCTAGACACGCGGACCTTAACTCTTTGATGGAATCTTCGAATAAGACCAGCATGACATACGGGACTCGATTGAACCGATTCATGCTTGCAAGAGGTAACAGTGGCATTTACTTCTTGTGGCTTAGCCATCATACTACCTTCGACGGCTGGAGTCTTGGAATTGTCATGTCTACCTTGAACAAATTCTACCAACGCATGGATGTTCCAGAAGTCAAGCCATATTCTTCGTTCGTCTCATATACCTTGGCAGTCGACAATGCTGCCACCGAAACTTATTGGGCTAGTCAATTGAGCGGCTCCCAAAAGGCGTCTTTTCCCTCGCAACAGCTGGCTCCTTCGGGCGTGACGCAAGTGTTCGCGAAGGAACTCACATTGCCTCAATCTGCTAGAAGCTCAATAACTCGTGCTACAGTTCTTCGAGCGGCATGGGCAATACTCCTTTCGAAGTACTGTGGAACAGAGAGTGTCACTTTCGGTGCCACTGTTTCTGGCCGAAATGCTCCTGTCCAAGGAATCGAGAATATTTCTGGTGCTATGATTGCGACGGTACCTATCCATATTCTCTTAAACCCTAAGACTTCCATTGGGAAGTTCCTAGAGGATGTGCAGAGGCAGTCGTCGGATATGATTGCATATGAACAATTCGGTTTACATAACATTTCAAAGATCAACGCTGATACCAAGGAAGGCTGCGACTTCTCAAGTTTGATCGTGATCCAGCCAGCCCAGAAGATGGGTCTAGGTGGTGGAAATGAGATAATGAACCCAGTCACTTCAGACGATAGACCCGTCGAGGAGTCTCTCCAGGGGTATTTCACCTATCCGCTGGTGATGCAAGCTGCATTGATCGATGACAAGATCGAATTGGCCCTTATTTACGACACAGGGGTGCTTAAACACATGCAAGTAGAGGCTCTTGGTTATCAACTCGAGAAGCTCGTTTCCGAGCTCCTGATAATCAGCAGCGACAAGCCGTTGAGGGACATCACAATGACATCGTCATGGGATATTGCAACCAGCATTTCTCGCAACCCTGTCCCAGAGGTCATTGAGTCTTGCATGCACCACGTTCTTGAGAAGCAAGTTGCCATTCGTCCAGACGCACCGGCTGTCTTTTCTTGGGATGGCCAGCTAAGTTATGGCGAGCTCAATGATGCCGCAAACCGTCTTGCATACCACCTTGTGCGGAAACATAATGTCCAAGTTGGCGACATCATCCACTTGTGCTTCGAAAAATCCATGTGGTACCTTGTCGCCATGTTAGCTTCGATGAAAGCAGGGGCAGTGTTTTCTCCCATGGACCCGGAGCATCCTGAACAGCGCAAGCAGTCGATTATCAACCGGACCCAGGCAAAGATTATCATTGTTTCTCCCCAACATGAGGCGATGTACAAGGATCTTATCGACACGGTCATTCCTTTATCTCCAAGCCTAGACGCTGAACTCGATCGCGTGGCAGATAATCCCATTACAGCTGTCTCTCCGGATGATGGTTGCTATGTTATGTTTACATCAGGAAGCACTGGAACTCCGAAGGGCTTTGTCACTACACATCGATCTCTGTGCACTGGACAGCATGCCTTGGCTAAGGTGACAAAATTAAGCTCAAGTGCTCGCATGCTTCAGTTTTCCAATTACGTGTTTGACTTTTCAATTGGCGAGATCTTCCAACCTATGATCAATGGTGGATGCGTCTGCGTCCCGTCGGAAGAAGTGCGATTCAACGGCATCGAAGGATTTATTCACACCGCACACATCAACAGCTTGTTAATAAGTCCAGCCTTTGCCAAGACGCTGCGTCCGTCTGAGATCCCGTCGGTTGACTTGGTCCTGCTTGGAGGAGACAATGTGCCCCATGACTTGTTCGAAACTTGGTTCGGAAAGGTTCGACTGTTGAATGCATGGGGTCCGTCCGAGACCTGCTTTGCTGCCTCTGCACACGAATATAGATCTATACAAGAATCACCCGCTTCAATTGGCTTGCCAGTAGGGGCATTCACGTGGATTGTAGACCCTGATGATCACACGAATCTTGCACCAATTGGCACGATCGGAGAAGTCCTTATCCAAGGACCTATAGTCTTTCAAGGGTATATGGGTGAGCCCGAGAAGACGAAAGCGGCCCTGGTGACAGATCTTGCTCCTTGGGCGCAACAGAGGGATCTACCCTTCAGCCGAGCATTCAAATCAGGTGACCTCGCGTTTTATAATGCCAACGGGGTGATAGAGTTTGTCGGCCGGAAGGATACACAAGTGAAGATTCGTGGTCTCAGAGTTGAATTGGGAGAAATCGAACACCAAGTTTCATCTATCTTGGAAGGCGTTTCTCAAACCGTCGCCGATGTCCATCGAACAGACGAGGCCATTCGCATTGTTCTTTACTTCTCATTCTCCGATGAAAGACGAAGTGTAGATGAAATATCTTCAACAGACTCAATGTTCTCTGATATTACGCCTGAGGTTGAACCCAAGCTCCAGGAGCTGATTGGAAAGTTGAAAATGGTTCTCCCAGGATACATGGTTCCATCAATCTTTGTTCCATGCAACTTTATGCCCATTGGCCGATCATCAAAGCTTGACCGTGCCCTACTGAAACGCCTTGTGGCAGAGCTCAACACGGATAGGCTTCAACACTATGCTCTTGCAAACAGTGTGAAGAGATCGCCAGAGTCTCCCATGGAATTCCGTCTGAGGTCGATCTGGGCATCAATTTTGAATCTGCCTGAAGACTCTATTGGGAGAGATGACAACTTCGTTCAGATTGGCGGTGACTCAGTCTCTGCTATCCACCTCGTCACTGCAGCCCGCGAGCTTGGCATCAAGCTGGCCGTGCAGAATGTCTTTGCTGACCCACGGCTGTTTATGGTTGCTTCCCATTGCGTTGAGATTGAGATCCCAACCGAATCATATGAAGATCTAGAACCATTTGAGCTGGTCCCCGACTCCCTCCAGGACATGGACTGGGAAAGTGAAGCAATTGAGTTGTGTGATCTCGACGATGAGCAGACAATTGAAAATGCCATGCCTGTCACGCCTTTCCAGGAGGGGTTGATGGCTCTTCTGATGAAGCAACCTGGTTCATACATTGCAAAATGGGTGTACCGTATTCCTGCCAATGTCGACATCCGTCGATTCCGCAATGCTTGGGCGAAGGTTGTCTTATTCTGCCGCAACTTGCGAACTCGTATCATCAACATTGGCCAAGTTCCATTGCAAGTAGTGGTTGGAAACGATACAGCCTGGGAGAATACTAAGAATATGGACCTACAGAAGTTCTTGGATCTACACAAAAATATGACGATGGCTCCCGGTACTCGGTTGAACAGGTGGGCTCTGATAAAAGAACCCACTGGCGAGAATTATTTCGTGTTAATCTGCCATCACGCTACTTATGACGGTTGGACGATGAGACTGATGCTACGGACTTTGGCCGAAGCTTACAAGCGATCCAAGGGACCTTGGCCCAAGCCATTTGACGGGTTCATTAAATACACAACGAAAATGAACAATGACCGCGCTCGGGAGTACTGGCTTGGTCAACTTCAAGATGCCAAGGCCGCCCCTTTCCCACCCGTGACACGCAACGTTGAGACGAAGACTGCAATCATGAACAAGCTAGTAGAGCTGCCGACATCCTCACACAATGCCATTACACAAGCTACAATCATGCGAGCAGCTTGGGCGTTAGTACTTTCTCAGTATAGTGAAATGGACGACATTTGCTTCGGTACTTCTGTTTCCGGTCGACAGGCATCTGTTCCTGGCATTGGCGAGATAGCCGGCCCTGTGGTGACTACGACACCAGTCCACGTGCGAATCGACAGGGGCATCTCTGTTGCTAGGTTTCTGCAAAGAATTCAATCCCAGGCTACTGAAATGATAAACTATGAGCAGTTCGGATTACAGAACATCCTGAAACTGGGTGACAATATAAAAGAAGCTTGCACGTTCAGTAGCTTACTTGTTATTCAACCTATGGAGAAGATGCTTGAGATGGGTAGTGATTCCGACGCAATTGTCATCCCAGTGGAAACTGGAAATGGGGATTCATCAAGCCTCGAGGGCTATTTCAGTTATCCTCTGGTTGTTCAGACTCTTGTAGCTTCGGACATGATTCGATTGAACGTGACCTACAACTCCTGTGAGTTGAGCGAGCTGCAAATTACAGGCTTGGTTAATCAGCTTGAGCACATTATCAAGACACTCACCGTGGAGACTTCGCGACCTTTGAGCGAAATCTCAATTGCCGGTGACTGGGATCTAAACCAAGCGATGGAGCTAAATAACGAGGTACCAAAAATCATCGATACTACTTTCCATGACTTAGTTGCGCAGCAAGCCATGATTCGACCGGACGCTGTTTCTATTCGAGCCAGTGACGCAACACTCACATACAGCGAGTTAGACACCTACGCCAATCATCTAGCACATCATCTGATCAACTCATTGAACGTCAAAAGAGGTGATCTCGTCCATGTTTGCTTCGAGAAATCAGCCTGGCATTTTGTTTCCATCTTGGCAATTAATAAGTCTGGTGCTGCGTGGGTTCCACTTGACCCATCTCACCCAACTCAGCGTCACCAACAGGTGGTTTCACAGACGGGGGCGGGCTTGATACTGTCATCGTCTCGATACATGAGCACTGTCTCGAGTTTGGTTGGCACTACTCTCGAGATCACGTCGAGTTTCCTCAACAACCTAGCCCTGGATAACGGTAGCAGAAACGTCCCAACTAGTATCGCTAGAGGATCTGATGCATGCTACGTCTTGTTCACATCCGGTAGCACAGGCACGCCAAAGGGTCTTGTGATGACACATCGATCCGTTTGCACAAGCCAAAAAGCGATTGGTGACAGACTCGGTTTGTCTCCAGAAGTCAACATGTTGCAGTTCGCAGCCTTTGTTTTCGACCTTTCCATAGGCGAAATTATAGGAGCTCTAATTGCAGGTGCTAGTGTCTGTGTACCATCTGACGAAACGAGATTGAACGATCTGACCGCATTCATTCGTGATACGAATGTAACTTGGGCGTATCTGACTCCATCTTTTGCTCGGACATTGACACCTGAATCAGTGCCGTCATTGGAGCTGATGCTATTCGCAGGAGAAGCAGTTGGCCAGGATGTTTTTGAAACATGGGTCACTACAAAAGTTCGGCTTGTGAATGGTTGGGGACCTGCAGAAACCTGTTGTTTTAGCACACTGCACGAGTGGAAGTCAATCGACGAATCCTCACTCACTTTGGGCAGGCCTATCGGAGGATTCTGCTGGATTGTCGACCCTGAGGACCATAACAGGCTTGCCCCCATAGGAACAATGGGCGAGATCGTGATTCAGGGGCCTACTATCTTGAAAGAGTACCTAGCAGATCCGGAGAGGACCGCGGCAACTACGAAGACAAGTTTGCCATCCTGGGTCCCGAAGTCCAAGGAGGAGAACTGGAGCCGCTTCTATAAGTCTGGTGATCTAGGGTTCTATAATGCTCAGGGTCTGATTGAATTTTCTACTCGCAAGGACACTCAAATCAAGATCCGCGGCCTTCGAGTTGAATTAGGTGAAGTTGAGCACCAAATCAAAGTGAACTTCCCTGCTGCTCAACAGGTTGCTGTTGATGTGTTTAATTCACCAGCCGGGACCACTCTCGTTGCCTACTTCTGCCTGACAAACAATAACCAAATATCTGGCGGATCGGACGACTGGACTGGCATTTTTGAACCTATTCCTTCTAGTATGCATGCGGATCTTACGTCTCTGACAAGCAAGCTTGACATTGTTCTGCCGCGGTACATGGTTCCTTCCATGTTCATACCATGTAGCTTCATGCCTTTCATTACATCTTCCAAGCTTGATAGGAAGGCTTTGAAGGCTCTGACCTTGGAGCTCAATGCCGAGAGTCTACAGCATTATTCCCTATCCGACTCAGCAAAAGCGATTCCTGAGTCAGCAATGGAAATCAAGATCCAAACCATCTGGGCCGAGCTACTCAAGATGCCTGCCGAGTCCATTGGAAAGGATGACAGCTTCCTGCGTATAGGCGGTGACTCGATCACGGCAATTCATTTCGTTAATGCAGCTCGTGAATCCGGCATAAATATCTCAGTACAGAACATTTTTGATGACCCTCGACTATCCGCCATTGCTGCTCGTGCAACGGAGATCGATTGTCAAACTGAGCTGCTAGAGTTGCAACCATTTGATCTCTTGGACGAATCTTTGCGATCATCGGTCCTAGAAGATGATGTTCGGAACATTTGCAACCTTACCGATGGACAAGAAATTGAAAATTCATTCCCAGTCACTCCCCTGCAGGAAGGCTTGATGGCATTGTCCGTTAAGCAGCCAGGATCCTACATCGCAAAGTGGATCTACCGCTTAGCAGAGAATATCGATCTTGATAAATTCCGCCGTGCCTTCGAGCATACGGTCCAGACATGTGGGAATTTACGAACCCGCATAGTTCGTGTTTCAGACACAACCGTTCAGCTTTATGTCAAGAACGACATCTCATGGGAGGAAACATCGGGAATGAGTCTTCTCGACTTTATGAAAGTGGCTGATGATATGAAAATGCAGTTTGGCTCACGCCTGAACCGCTATGCTATCGTCAGGGATGAAAGCTCAGGCCACAATTACTTTATCCTCATTGCTCACCATGCTTCCTATGATGGCTGGAGCATGCAACTGGTCTTAAGTGTCTTGTCTGATGCTTATAACGGCAATTTCAACGCGGTCGTAAAACCTTTTGACCACTTCATCCATTACTTGGCGAACTTAGACAAGGAAGACGGCCGTAACTTCTGGTTGAAGCAGCTTGAAAATTGTAACCCTGCCACATTCCCTAGTGTTTCACGAACGCCCGAAGCTCCTCTCACCAAGGTTCTCAACCAAAAGATGGAGGTTCCTGAGGTCGATGCTTCTATCACCAAAGCTACGATTGTCCGAGCTGCATGGGCGATTGTCTTGGCTAGATACTGTGACACCGACGACATTTGCTTCGGAACTTCTATTTCAGGGCGCCAAGCTCCTGTTTCTAATTTGGGGCAAATAGCAGGCCCAGCTGTCGCCACTCTGCCTATTCGGATTCGTCTGGATGGCTCCCTGTCAATTCATGAGTTCCTCCGGAAAGTCCAATCTCAGGCCACAGAGATGATTCCACACGAACAGTATGGTCTTCAAAATATTTCAAAATTAAACGACAATTTCAAAGAACTCTGCGACTTCTCGAGCTTGCTAGTCGTGCAGCCCTACCAGAAAATGGCTGAAATCGGCGGTGAGGCAGAGACTCTGTTGACCCCTCATGAGCTTGATGAGACAGATGCAGAATCTAGTCTGTCGGGATACTTCAGCATTCCGCTGGTTTTCCAAACCGTGTTGTATGATGACATGTTCAATCTCAACCTCACTTATGACTCAAACATCGTAACAGAGTTCCAAGCCGAGGCTCTCTTGAATCAAATCCAGCACCTTATCAATGATTTGCTCCATGCAACAGAAAGACCCCTTTCCGCTGTCTCACTTACTGGACAGTGGGACGAAGAGATTGCCCGCGCTTCAAATATGGAGACTCCTCAGATTGTCGAGTCAACCGTCCACAACATGATTGAAAGACAAGCGACTATGCGGCCCCGAGCTGTTGCTATACAAGCTCATGACTCAACTTTGACATATAAGGAGCTCAACGACAGCGCAAACAGGCTCGCTAGCTATCTAGTGTCTGAGAATCTGATCAAGCCTCGTGATTTCGTCCATGTTTGCTTTGAGAAGTCGGCTTGGCATTTCGTTGCTATTCTTGCTATCAATAAAGCAGGTGCGGCATGGGTCCCTCTCGATCCATCACATCCAAGGCAACGCCATGAGCAGATTGTTAGCCAAACTAAAGCCACGTTGGTCCTCGCTTCCGCTACCAATATGGCCATCTGCAAGGACCTTGCCAATACCGTTCTTGAGGTCTCTCAAGTACTTGATGATGACATGAAGAGTAATACCTCAGCCGATCACAAAGCTTTGAAGATAAGCGTGTCACCCCGAGACGCTGCTTACGTTCTATTCACCTCGGGTTCAACTGGCACACCAAAAGGCCTTGTCATGGAGCATGGTGCCGCGTGTACGAGCCAAGTGGCAACCGCCCGAAGACTTGGGCTTGACTCAAGTGTAAGAATGCTTCAATTCGCTGCGTTTGTCTTTGACCTGTCTATCGGTGAGATTCTCGGGCCGCTCATTAGCGGCGCTACACTCTGCGTGCCGTCAGATGCCGACAGAATGAACCGTTTGACTGATTACATTGGTGAAAATAACATCAACTGGGCATATCTGACCCCTGCATTCGTGCGTACCCTAAAGCCAGAAGATTTGCCCACGTTGGAGCTCCTTGTCCTGGCCGGTGAGGCAGTTGGACGTGACATTTTCGAAACCTGGATGAATAAATTGCGCTTTATTAACGCCTGGGGCCCGGCGGAGACGTGTTGTTTCAGTACCTTACACGAGTGGCAGAGCGAAACCGAGAGCCCAATGACGATCGGTACACCTGTGGGTGGCTTCTGCTGGCTCGTTGACCCTAATGATCCTCAAAAACTTGCACCTGTGGGCACATTAGGTGAGGCAGTAATACAGGGCCCGAATCTGCTCCGTGAATATTTGTATGATCCTGAGAGGACATCTGCATCAGTCTTAACTGAATTACCAAACTGGGCCCCAAACAGAGACCATGCCTCTTGGAACCGCTTTTATCTCACTGGTGATCTTTGTTTTTATAATTCCGACGGCATTCTCGAGTTCTCTTCTCGTAAGGATACCCAGATCAAAATAAGAGGTCTACGAGTGGAGGTCGAAGAAGTTGAACATCGCATTCGCCAGTTTATGCCCAGCTTACACCAAGTTGCTGTGGACGTATTTCATGGACCTGGCGGTGCTAACCTATTCGCTTATTTCTGCCTTGAAAACTCAACCAGAGTTGGCAGGCTGTCGGATGATTGGGATGACTTGTTTATCCCGATGAGCGACGCACTTCAAGTCGAGATCGCATCATTAGCAAGCCAGCTACGAACTGTTCTCCCTTCGTACATGGTTCCAACGACATTTATCCCATGTGCTTACATGCCGTTTATCACGTCTTCAAAGTTGGATCGCAAGACATTACGATCTAAAGCATCCAACCTTACGCAGGAAGATCTCGCACAATATTCTTTGCAGAACTCAAAGAAGCGCGAGCCAGAGACAGAAGTGGAACTAGCTCTTCAAAAAATCTGGGCTGAGGTTCTAAGAATACCTGCCAGTTCTATTGGCCGTGACGATAGTTTCCTTGCTATTGGCGGAGATTCAATTGCTGCTATTAACCTCATGACCACCGCTAGGGAACGTGGCATCTCCATTACCGCTGATGATGTATTCCGCTCTCCCCGATTACTGGATCTTGCTGTTCGGGCAGAGAACGCTCCTGTGCTTCCGAAATCACCAAGTGCAGAACTTCGTCCATTCGAACTACTTACAGATCTGGAGAGAGATCTCGTCCAAGGCGGAGAAATACATAGGCAATGTGGTTTACCGGCGGGAACAACAATTGAAGATGCATTCCCTTGTTCACCGCTTCAGGAGGGTTTGATAGCTTTGGCTGTCAAGCAGACTGGTTCCTATATCACGAAATATGTTTTCCAAATCTCAAAGCATATTGACCTCTCAAAGTTGAAAGCGTCGTGGGAGCATACAATCAGGACAAACGGTAATTTAAGGACAAGGATTATTCCATCAAAGGATCGGTCGATCCAGGTATTAGTCAAAGACGATATCAACTGGGAGACCAATCCCGGGTCTGATTTGGGAGCCTTTATCAAGGTCACGCAGCAATATGAAATGACCTTCGGATCCCGCCTCAGCCGATATTCGATCTTCACAGATGAGAAAGGAGATTCATATTTTGTTTGGATCGCCCATCACTCCATTATGGATGGATGGTCACTCCAACTTACATTCAGGACATTGTACGAACATTACTGGGAAGGTGCTTCTGGCCCCCTCCCTTCTTATGCTGGTTTTATCAAACACACACTCGGTCTCAACGGTGATGCCGCTGCTGCCTTCTGGTCGAACCAGCTAGAAGGGGCTTCTCGTTCTACCTTCCCCTCATCCATTGCTGACAGCACACTCAAGCCAACGTTCAAGTTCAAACATCACGAGATCTCCACGTCAGATGCAAGCCACACGTCCGCTACAACCGCAACTGTTCTTAGAGCCGCTTGGTCTATCTTGATGGCTCGCCATTCTAACACCAATGATGTTTGCTTCGGTGCTACTCTCTCGGGCCGCAATGCAGCACTTGAGGGACTCCAGAACATGCCAGGTCCTGCTATTGCAACGATTCCTGTTCGTGTCAAGTTAGACCACGGCACGCCAGCAAAACAATTCTTGGATGATGTTCAGATGCAAGCCACTGAGATGGCAGCTTATGAGCAGTTTGGCCTCCAAAAGATCGCCAGAGTTAGTTCGGATGCTCGGGATGCTTGTCAATTTTCTACCCTCATGGTGATTCGCCCCAAGCCGTTCCTTGAAGCAGGAAGTGAATTCACAATTTTGGAGATCGGCGAAGCTACAAAAATCACCGAAGAGGAAATGGTCAGTTACTTTAACTATCCATTAGTCTTGGAGGCAGATCTCTGGAAGGGACACATCAAAGTGCGACTTTGTTACGATATTCGTGCCTTGTCGACCGAGCTGGTTGATGCTCTTGGTGAGCAATTGGAGCTTGTTGTGAGACAACTGCTCACAAAGCCATCAGTTCCGATTGGAGAAATCAATCTCGTTGGGGAGTCTGACATGCAGCATGCTCTAAGTCATCAGAATATGAGGCCATCAACCAACCGGCTAATCCATGACATGATTCGTGAGCAAATTGCCAACACTCCCGACCTCCCCGCTATCACATCCTGGGATGGAGATATGAAGTATCACGAGCTCGGCTACTATGCAGAGCGTCTTGCCAGTCACTTGAAGACGCTTGGCGTCGGTCCAGAGGTGTTCGTGCCAATTTGCTTTCCCAAGTCCATGTGGGCTGTTGTCTCAATGATTGCTATCAACATGGCAGGTGGAGCGTTTGTTCCTCTCGATTTCAATTCACCAGCTGCACGATTGAGGACAATCCTAACCGATACAAACTCCAAGATCGTTCTCGCATCGCCCTCATGTGAGGAGCTAGCCAGTTCCTTGGAGGTTGATGTCATTCTTGTTGATGAAGCCTTCGTTCGAGGTCTTCTAGAGCCCGAAGAACTACCCGTGAAATCTTCTGCGACGTACCAAAACGCTAGCTTCGTCATGTTCACTTCGGGTTCAACGGGCAAGCCAAAGGGAATGGTCTTTGAACATCGCAATACCTGCTCAACGTCAAACAGCCATGGAGCAATCCAGGGCTGGGGTCCAGGAACAAGGGTGTTTACCTACTCGGCTTACACATTTGACATTGGTGTTATCGATGTTATGGTCTCCTTGTCACGCGGTGCCTGCCTCTGTATCCCCTCGGAATGGCAGCGTTACAACGATATCCACGGTGCAATCAATAAGATGCAGGCCAATTGGACGTTCTTCACTCCCACGCTCGCGAGACTTGTTAGCCCTGCACGGATTCCTACGATTCAAAACGTAGGATTAGGTGGCGAGAATGTGACAAAACAAGTCGTAGATAACTGGAAGGGTCACGCAACACTTCATAATCTGTACGGTCCTGCGGAAGCTTCAATCTGTGGTTGGATTGCCGACGTAGGTCTAATATCCAAGCCAAGCAACATCGGAATCCCATCCTCATGCGCCTGGTGGATCGTCAACCCCGAAAATCCTCGGCAACTCGTTCCCATTGGGTGTGTTGGAGAATTGATGATCCAAGGTCCTATGATGGCTCGCGGATACATTGGCGCCGATGAAAAAGCCCAGAAAGCATGGCTGCACAATGTTGATTGGCTTCCTGGAGACATGCCTAAGAAGGCGTATCTTACAGGAGATCTAATTCGCCGTCTTGCTGACGGCACCTTTGAATATTTGGGCCGGAAAGACGATCAGGTCAAGCATTACGGTCAGCGAGTTGAGCTGGGAGAGATCGAGTCTCACATTGAGGATGCTCTCCCCAGCAACATGAATGCCATCACTGACTTTATCCGGGAGGAGACAGGGTCGAACACTCTGGCGGCTTTAGTTTGGTACAACACCGGGGCTTCTGCAGATCTCCCGTCGCTTCAGCTCGCCGAGGTAGTTACAGACGAGATGAGAGACACGATGGCGAAGCTGCAAACTCACTTGAGTCGTGCCCTCCCGACCTACATGTTGCCCAGCCTTTACTTGTTTTTCAACGGAACCCCAGATAAGATGGCCTCTGGTAAGATTGATCGAAAGAAGCTTCGTGCTCTGGCCCGATCTGCAACAACCAAAGACAAGCTTCGATTTGCCAAGGGTGAGAAAGTGTTTGAGGACCCAGTAACCGAAACGGAATTCAAGATTCGTGACCTCTGGGCTCAAATTCTTTCCATCAATGCTGCCGATATTGGGAGGCACGATAGTTTCCTTCGAGTTGGCGGTGACTCTGTCAGCGCGATCAAACTGGTTTCTGCCGCAAACGAAATCGGAATTGCTCTCACCGTTGAGATGATCTTCAAGGACCCGAGACTTTCGGCAATCGCGGGCGGAAGTTCAAATGTGGACAACACATTGTACGACACAAAGCCATTCGAACTTCTTGTGCCGAGGGATATTGAGAACATTCTGTCAAGCATTCAAGAGCAGTGCAACCTCTCGGATCGGAACGCTATAGAGGACGTGTTCCCCTGTACCAAGATGCAAGAAGGGCTTCTGGCTCTGGCCTCGCGCAGCTCGGGATCTTACACTGCCCGTCAAATCTTACAACTCTCACCAGATGTAGATCTCACTGCTTTCAAATTGGCTTGCGAGGCAACTGTAGAATTGTGTGGTAATCTGCGGACGAAGATCGCACAAGTGGATGGCAACTCTTACCAGGCTGTCTTGAACGAGCCCCTCATGTGGCACAACACGGATAATCTTCCGCTCAATGAGTACTTGGACTTGGCACGCGGTATCAAGATGGGGTATGGAGTCCCCCTCAGTTACTTTGCTATCGTGGAGGAAGATGACAAGAACCGCTTCTTTGTTTGGACCGGCCACCATGCCATATACGATGGCTGGTGTATTCAGATCGTCCTCGGTACACTTTCTGAGGTCTATCACGGGCTCACTGTCTCTAAACCGTTACCATTCAGCCATTTCGTCAAGTTTGTCAATGACATGGACAATGAAGGTGCAAGCAAGTATTGGCGACACCAACTCCAGGATGCCCAGCCCGCATCATTCCCGCCACGAGGTCACAATGAGACCAATGGGAACCAATACTTCAGTACGACTGTACCTTGTCCTTCATCCACCGACAGTTCCATCACCAAAGCAACACTAATCAGGGCGGCCTGGGCTATTGTGCTTGCTCGACACTCAAACACTGACGATATTTGCTTTGGTGCCACTGTCTCGGGCCGTCAAGCTCCCATTCCGGGGATCGAGAGTTTATCTGGGCCTACTATTGCCACCGTCCCAATTCGCATCCGGCTGGACAAGAACATGAACACAAACTCATATCTCCACTCAGTTCAATCTCAAGCTATAGATATGACCCGGTACGAACAATATGGGTTACAAAATATCTCTAAGCTTGACACGGAGGCGAAGGACGTTTGCGACTTTTCGAGTTTATTTGTCATTCAACCAGCTCGGCAGTACGTCGATTCAGATGACGACTCGCTATTTGTGCCTTTGCAAGAAACTAAAATCACCATTGAGGAGTCTCTTGATGGATTCTCGGACTATCCTCTCATATGCCAAGTGATGCTTGGAGACGATTCCGTGGGCCTTGAGTACAGCTACAAGACAGGGTTGGTACATGAGGCTCAGCTTGTCGCTATTTCACACCAGCTCAGCCATGTGATTGAGCAACTTGCCAAGCAAACAGACACGGTGCTCTCTGATGTCTCAGTAACGGGGCAATGGGATCTCCTTCAAGCCCAAGCTTGGAATAAAGCTCCTCTCGCATCCGAGCTTTGCGCTCATGAATTGATCTCCCAGCATGCTGAGACTCGCCCAACAGCAGAGGCAATATACTCCTCAGAAATATCACTATCGTTTTCGGAGCTCCATGATTTGTCCACGAGACTTGCCACTCATCTCTCTTCTCTCGGTGTAGGACCAGATACAGCCGTGCCATTCTGTTATGAAAAGTCTCCTTGGGTTGTTGTCGCGATGGTAGCCATTATGAAGGCCGGGGGCTACTTCATCCCTCTTGATCCACAGCAGCCGGTAGATAGACTGAAGGAGTTGGTTAATGATGTCGGTGCCAAACACATTATTGTGTCCCCCGAGACGATCGATATATGTCGTGGCTTAGCTCCTACTCTCATCGAGCTATCTCAACAGACTATACACCAGCTTCCTGACACTCAAGATGGCTCGTCACAAGAGGTGACCGTTTCTCCAAGAAATGTGGCCTATCTTCTATTCACATCTGGCTCGACTGGAAGGCCTAAAGGTCTCATGGTGGAGCATGCCGCGCTCAGCGCCGCGGCTGTTCATGGTCACGGGAAGGAATATGGATATGATCATTCAACTCGCATGCTGCAGTTTTCACATTACGTCTTTGACGCCAGCATAACTGAGATTATATGCCTTCTGATACGAGGGGGCACGGTCTGTGTTCCTAACGAGCTCGAGCGGCTTCAGGGTACAGCAGAGTTCATGAACAAGGCTCGGGTCAACATGACGCTACTCACCCCGTCCTTTGCGAAGACATTGAACCCCACTAGCTTGCCGAACCTAAAGAGACTGATTCTTGGCGGAGAGCCTGTTACAAGAGACGTCATTGATAAGTGGTTTGACCACGTGGATGTGCTCAACGCTTATGGGCCTGCGGAAACTTGCGTCTGCTCTAATGTCTATCATTTCCAATCCAAAGATGACGTTCCCGGGATAATTGGACTCGGTGCTAACACAACTTGCTGGATTGTTGATCCCGTAAATCACCGACAGCTGGCACCCATCGGCTCCGTTGGTGAACTTCTACTCCAAGGCTTTGTCGCCCGCGGATATATCAATAATGAAACGCAAACCAGTAAAGTGTTCTTCGACACGGTCCCATGGCTTGGTCCATCTAAGCCGTCAAATGGTACCAGGTTTTACTTGACCGGAGATCTCGTTCGATATCAGCCCGATGGAACGCTGGAAATTCTTGGCCGCAAGGACACGCAACTCAAACTCCGAGGCCAAAGAATTGAACCGGGGGAGATTGAATACGCCATTAAGAAACTCCGCCCAGAGCTGGATCACATCGCTGTTGATATTGTCAAGACGGATCTAGGCGACTCTCTCGTTGCTTTCTTCCCCCAACCTAGCCTGGAAGCTGATAATACTAGCTTTTTCGGCACCCTCAATGCCGAGGAGCAGACAAGTATCCAACAACTGTCTTCCGATTTGAGTTCAACTCTCCCAAGGTATATGGTGCCTTCGCACTTTTTGCCAGTAAAGACCATGCCATTTATCAGCGCCATGAAGCTTGATAGGAAGAAACTTCGACAAATGACAACCACTCTTACGTCGCAGGAGCTATCATCTTTCACGTTGCAGCACACCAAAGCGGCGCCCACAACGGAATTGGAGTTCAAGTTGCGCGACATTTGGGCTAGAGTACTCAATATACCAGCTGACCGCATTGGTAAGAGTGACAGTTTCTTGCAGATTGGCGGCGATTCCATCTCCGCCATTCACCTAGTGTCACAAGCACAGACCGAAGGTATTGGGCTGAGTGTGCTAGACATATTCAAGGACTCCCGTCTTGAAACCATGGCCAGCTACTGTTCGACTCTTGGCTCTATTACGACAGACGACAAGATTAGTGCTTTCAGTCTACTCTCCGGTGAGCTTGCTGATATCGAGAAGACCAAGACAGCCATTCGCAAGACGTGTGCCTTGAAAGGAGAACAGACAGTGGAGGATGCATACCCCTGTACACCTCTTCAGGAGGGCCTCATAGCCCTCTCCGTCAAGCAGCCCGACTCTTATATTGCGAAGAATGCATTCAATCTATCTGCAGATGTCGACATTGAAAAGTTTAAGAGTGCCTGGGAGCGAGTCGTCAGCCTCTGTGCCAATCTACGGACCAGGATCTTAGAATCCAACGGGAATCACATCCAGGCAATCATTGAGAACGATGTCGAATGGGATACTTTCCACCCCTCCGATCTCTCGAAAGCATTGGAGTTGTCGGCGCAGGTCAGCATGGGTTACGGATCCCGGCTAAGTCGGTACAGCATTGGTCAGAATCCGGACAACAAGCAGTACTATTTCCTTTGGCTCTGCCATCATGCAGTTTTTGATGGCTGGACCATGAGTGTTGTGATGGATTTATTGTACCGGTCTTACTACGACCAGGAACTTCCTTCTATTCGTCCATACGCCAATTTCATATCTTATGTCATGGATATGGACCTAGCAGCAACTCAAGAGTATTGGAAAAAGTCACTACTCGGCGCACAAAAGACAGCATTCCCGCCCAACAAATCCTCCCAGAAACAGGGGCCCTCTCGCAGTTTTACCCAGTCGATCCAGTTCCCTAAATCGACTGCCACGTCCATAACCAAGGCAACAGTGCTACGAGCAGCCTGGGCTATTGTACTCTCTCGTTACTGCGAGACTAATGATGTTACGTTTGCAGCTACGGTTTCGGGTCGAAATGCTCCCGTAGTAGGCCTCGAGTCAACTCCTGGTACAGTCATCTCAACAATCCCTGTCCGCGTTCGACTAGATGAGGATCAAACGATCAAAGCGTTCCTGCAGTCCATCCAGTCACAGGCTTCAGATATGATTCCATACGAACAATTTGGTCTTCAGAACATCTCCAAATTGGGTCCCGATGCTAAGGAAGCTTGCGATTTCTCAAGTCTAATGGTTGTCCAACCTGTCCAACAAATGGGCCTCGCCGGAACAGTCAATGATCAACTACTCCTACCCGCAGTCACTACTATTGAAGGGAACGAAAGGTCTTTGCAAGGATACTTCAGCTACCCATTGGTTATCCAAGGTGCTCTGTCAGACCAAGGGGCTGAACTTTTCCTCACGTACGACTCTGGTCTTCTGCAGGAGCGCCAAGTCCTTGGACTTTCACAGCAACTTGCACAGGTTGTACAGCAATTAACTAACCATGGCCATGTCAAACTTGGCGATCTTTCAATGACATCGCCTTGGGACATCCAAGAGGCGAAACAGTTCAACTTGAATAGGACTCCTCAGATCGTTGACAGCTGTATCCACAAGGTCATTGAAGCGCAAGCGATGGCCCAACCTCAAGCTCCTGCAATTCATGCATGGGATTATCAACTGACGTATGCTGAGCTCAACGGGTATGCAAACCAGCTGGCCCATCATTTGATTCAGACGTTTGGAATCAAAGCTGGAGACGTTGTTCATGTCTGCTTCGATAAGTCAGCTTGGTATTATGTGTCTATCTTAGCTATCAACAAAGCTGGTGCCGTGTGGTCGCCTCTGGATCCCGCTCACCCAACACAACGCAAGCAATACCTCGTTGGTAGAACAGGCTCCGGGCTGGTTCTGGCATCAGAACATCTTCAGACCAGCTGTGCGGATCTAGTGCCGAATGTTCTTGCTATCACAGCTGATTTTATGCTTCGACTTCCACATGATGCAACCCAAGGCCCGAGCATCGAGACCTCCCCTGACGATATTGCTTATATTCTCTTTACCTCTGGCAGTACAGGTGTGCCTAAAGGCTTTGTTATGTCTCATCGCGCACTGTGCACCAGTCAAGCTGCGTTGTCCGGAAGACTTGGTTTGAACCAGAGAATCAGAATGTTGCAGTTTGCGTCCTATGTCTTTGACTTCTCAATTGGCGAGATCTTCCATTGTTTAGGATCTGGGGGCTGCCTTTGTGTTCCTTCAGAAGATGACCGATTGAACGATATAGGTCGGTTCATTCGCGATGCCAATATCAACTGCGCCTACCTAACACCGTCATTCGCGCGAACAATCAACCCCGAGCAGGTCCCATCGCTTGAAATGCTCGTTTTTGGCGGCGAGGCCGTAACTAGGGATGTATTTGATCAATGGTTTGGCAAGGTCCGATTGCTCAATGCTTATGGCCCCGGCGAGGCAAGTACTATTTCAACCATTTACGAGTACCAATCTAGCGAAGACTCTGCCGGCAATATCGGAACACCGATCGGATGCATGTGCTGGATTGTTGACCCTCAAGACTCTTCTCGACTTGCGCCTGTGGGCACCGCTGGAGAGCTCATTATTCAAGGACCTGGGCTTCTTTCTCACTACCTTGGAGACCCAGAGCGAACACAGGATTCGGTAATTGAACAAGTACAAGAGTGGGCTCATGACAGGCACAAGCCATTTATGGGAAGGGCCTTCAAATCTGGTGACCTATGTTTCTATCGACCGGACGGAAATATTGAATTCGCCAGTCGAAAAGATACTCAAGTCAAGATCAGAGGTCTCCGTGTCGAACTCGGTGAGATTGAGCATCATATACTCTCGCTTTTGGAGGGAGTATCTCAAGTTGTTGCGGATGTCGTTCGATCTGGAGATTCTTCCAATGTTGTGGCCTACTTTTCGTTCTCCGACTCTGCAAACGACGAATCGGCGGACCTATTCTCCGAAATCACACCAGAGCTTTCCTCTGCATTAACCAAGCTCGTGGGTGAACTGAAACTTGTTCTTCCAAGTTACGAGGTTCCCTCCATTTTTATTCCTTGCAACTACATTCCAGTCAATTCATCATCGAAACTTGATCGTAAGATATTAAAGGAACGTACCGACTTACTGGATCGAGAGAAGCTGCATCACTACTCTCTTGTTAGTTCTTCCAAACGATCAACCGAAACCGAAATGGAAGCTCGCCTGCAAGCTGTTTGGGCCTCCGTGCTTGGGCTATCAACAGACGCTATAGGTCGAGATGATAGCTTCCTGCAGATAGGTGGTGATTCCATTTCTGCAATTCACGCGGTTGCAGCTGCCAGAGAGGCTGGCATCGAGACGGCCGTCAACCACATTTTCAGGGATCCGCGACTCTTTATGGTTGCTTCCCTTGCCACTAATGTGAATGTTGAGGACGATAATGACAAGGAGAGCAGTAGCCAACCCTTCGGCATGATACCCACACAGCTTCGTGAGGTGGAATGGGCAAAGGAAGCTCGTAATCTTTGCCGCCTTCAGCCTGATGAGGTGATTGAAAACGCAATGCCAGTAACGCCGTTCCAGGAAGGTCTAATGGCCCTCGCTGTCAAGCAGCCTGGCTCCTACATCGGTCAATGGATATACAAGATACCTGATAACATTGATATCCCTCGCTTCAGGGCTGCTTGGGAACGAACTGTCAGTATCTGCAGCAACTTAAGGACAAGGATCATCAGTATCTCGCAAACGATTGTTCAGCTTATCATCAAGGACGACTTTACCTGGGAGCAGACTGAAAGGCTGGTTCTCTCCGAGTACATTGAGAAGTTGAGCAAGATGGAAATGACTCTTGGCACGCGACTCAATCGCTGGGCTCTGATCGAGGAACCATCAGGCAGCTACTTTGTACTTGCTGCTCACCATTCCACCTATGATGGCTGGACAATGCGACTGCTGCTTCGAACAGTGGTCGAGGCATATACCCAGACTGACATTGTTGGCCCAAAGTCATTTGACAGGTTCGTCAAGTATACTACATCCTTGGATCAAGATGCCGGCAAGCGCTATTGGCTGGACCAGCTCAAAGATGCCAGCCGGGCCACGTTCCCCAAATTCAGCCAGAACAAGTCTGAAGATAGTGAAGCCCAAGTCATCAATAAATCTATCTCTCTGCCGCCTTCGTCTCATACATCAATCACGAAGGCCACTATCATGAGAGCAGCTTGGTCGCTAATCCTAGCGCAATACTGCGATACGGATGATGTGTGCTTTGGCACATCAGTCTCTGGCCGTCAAGCTCCAGTCTCTGACATTACCGAGATCGCCGGACCGGTCGTGGCCACGGTTCCAGTCCGTATACGAATCGACCGACATACGTCCGTTTCAGACTTCCTGCATGCTGTTCAACTACAAGCAACTGATATGATAGCTCACGAGCAGTTCGGCCTTCAAAATATCCTGAAGCTCGACGACACAATCCGTGACGCATGTGCCTTCTCCAGTTTACTTGTTATTCAGCCGTATGAAAAGATGTCCGAAATGGGTAGTGAATCCGGTGCAATTTTAGTCCCATATGCTCAAGATGGGCAGTCTCAGTCCATGGATGGATATTTCAGCTTCCCGCTGGTTGTTCAAACACTCATCTCGGATCAACAAATTAAACTAAACTTGACCTACGAGTCAGCCTCATTGAGCGAACGAACCATGACTGGGTTGGCTAACCAGCTCGAGCATATCATCAAGAGCTTGGCCGCCGAAACAACCAAGACTCTTCAGGAGCTGACAATGGCCAGTCCATGGGATCATCAACAGGTGACGGATTACAATCAAGAAATTACTCCAGTCGTTGACTCGACTTTCCACGAACTGGTAACGGAACAAGCTCGAACTCGCCCCGACTCCATCGCAATTCAAACCTCTGAACTTGCGTTAACTTACCAGGAGCTGGATGAGTTGTCTGACAAACTTGCAGCCCATTTAACAACAACTTATGCAGTTTCACGAGGCGATTTTGTTCACGTCTGCTTTGAGAAATCTGCCTGGCACTTTGTATCCTTGCTAGCAATCAACAAAGCCGGCGCAGCTTGGGTTCCTCTGGATCCTTCTCATCCGCTTGAACGCCAGAAGCAGGTAGTGTCTCAGACGAAGGCGAAGTTGATTCTTACTTCAGCGCTACATGAGGTTACCGGTGCCAAACTCGTGGGAGAGGTTGTCGTAGTCACAGCTCAATTCCCCAACAGCCTTGCTGCCTCCGGTAGCTTCCAGGCAGCATCGTCGCCGGGAGACGCCTGCTACGCTCTGTTTACATCTGGTAGTACGGGAACACCAAAGGGTTTCGTTATGGAGCACCGGGCAGTCTGCACAAGTCAGAGAGCCATTGGCCACAGACTTGGCCTTACCCCTGAAGTGAATATGCTGCAGTTCGCAGCATTTGTGTTCGATCTATCAATTGGTGAGATCATTGGTCCTCTGATCACTGGCGCTACCATTTGTATTCCCTCGGATGAGGTTCGTATGAGTACTCAGAGTTTGGTTGACTTCATCTCCGAGCATCGGGTCAATTGGTCATACTTGACCCCGTCGTTTGCCCGAACCATCAAGCCCGAGTCGGTTCCTTCTCTTGAGCTTCTGCTTTTCGCTGGTGAAGCTGTTCCTCGAGACGTCTTTGAGACCTGGGTCACAAAGGTGCGTCTTATCAACGGATGGGGGCCCGCAGAGACGTGCTGCTTCAGCACCCTGCATGAATGGACCTCGGCAGACGAATCACCGCTTACCCTCGGACGACCTGTTGGTGGTCTCTGTTGGGTAGTTCAAGCAGATGATCCCCAGAAGCTCGCTCCGATAGGCACTCTTGGCGAGGTTGTTATACAAGGCCCAACTCTACTTCGAGAGTACTTGGCAGATCCAAAGAAAACGGCAGAAACTACCTTTACAGACATTCCTGGGTGGGCATACTCGGGAGACAAGCATTGGGGGCGTTTCTATAAGTCAGGCGATCTCTGCTTCTACAATTCCGATGGGCTCCTAGAGTTCGCGACACGAAAAGACACTCAGGTCAAGATTCGAGGCTTGCGTGTTGAGCTGGGTGAGATTGAACATCAGATTCTCTCCAATCTAACCACGGCCCGCCAAGTTGCTGTTGATGTTTTGAAGACTGATGTAGGGACCAGTTTGGTCTCGTACATCTGCTTCAGTAGCCAGAGCAGAATCTCGCAGCAGTCCAACGACTATCGGGATCTGTTTGCGCCAATTGACAGCACTCTTCACAGCGAACTGTCGGCAATGGTGAGCAGGCTGCAAATTGTCCTTCCCCGATATATGATCCCTACTTTCTTCGTCCCGTGCAACTACATGCCATTCATCACATCTTCGAAATTGGACAGGAAGACGCTCCGTGCCGAGGTCGGGAAGCTGGATCAGGCCCAGATACACGAATACGCCCTCCAATCAGGAGAGAAGGAGGCACCACAAACAGCTATGGAGGTCCAGATGCAAAGGCTGTGGTCGACAGTACTGAATCTCCCAACTGAGTCTATTGGGCGCGGCGACAGCTTCCTCGCCCTGGGAGGTGATTCAATCACTGCGATCAACCTCATGACCGCCGCCAGAGAACAAGGTATCGAAATCAGCGTCAACGATATTTTCCGTGACCCTCGGCTTTTAAGTGTTTCGCTTGTGGCAAATAGCTCGGCTGAGCCACTTGAAAAGTCAACCGACATTCAGCCCTTCGATCTCCTGTCCCCCGAAGAACGAAGTATAGTGCATAGCGGTGCTCTTCAAGCACAATGTGGCCTCCCCGAGTCATCGGGAATTGAGGACGCATTCCCTTGTTCCGCCCTGCAAGAGGGACTTATTGCTCTCTCGGTCAAACAAACGGGTTCATACATTACCAAGTATGTGCTCAAGATTCCGGAACATGTGGACCTAGCTCAATTCAGAGTTGCGTGGGATCAAACGGTGCAGCTTTGCACGAACTTGAGGACTCGCATCGTTGCTTCAAACAATCGCTCCCTTCAAGTAATTTTCAAAGGTGACGTTGCCTGGCAGTCCGCGGAGGGACTTGGAGTGAACGATTTCCTCAAGACAACGCAAGGTTACGAAATGACCTTCGGCTCTCAACTCAGCCGCCATGCAATGATCACGGAACAGGGTCAGACCCATTTTGTATGGATCACACATCATTCTATTGTCGACGGATGGTGCTTGCAGTTGATTTTCCGCACTCTTCATGAATGCTACTGGGGACAGCCACGCAACAGTCTCGCTCCGTATGCGGGCTTCATCAAGCATGTCCATAACTTGGATCTTGAGCAGGCCTCAGCCTTTTGGGCAAACCAGCTACAGGGAGCCTCACGCCCTTCGTTCCCTGCCAAGTCGAGTAGCGATGAGCCCAATTTCAAATTCTTGGATCACAACATCAGCACTCCTTCGATGGTGGGAAGCTCAGTCACGAAAGCCACTGTTCTCAGAGCTGGTTGGTCTGTTGTTCTCTCACAGCACTGCAACATCGACGATATTTGCTTCGGCGCCACACTGTCTGGCCGGAATGCGGCTGTGGATGGTTTGCAGGACATGCCGGGCCCTGCTATTGCAACGATTCCTATCCGCATCAAGATTGATCATGATGTTTCTGTGGCGAGCTTCCTGCAAGATGTCCAAGCCCAGTCCACTGAAATGACAGCTTGGGAGCAGTTTGGTCTGCAAAACATCGCCAGGGTCAGCAAGGATGCAAGAGATGCGTGCGAATTCACCACCTTGATGGTGATTCAACCCAAGCAGCATCTTGATACTGAGAGCAAGGGTGTCATCATTGATGGAAACGAGGGAGTAAAGACAACTGAACAAGAAATGGTCAACTATTTCAACTATCCCCTTGTTCTCGTTTCCAGCCTTTACAAAGACCACATCCATGTGAGCTTTGCTTACGACACGAATGTTTTATCACCAAAACTTGTCGAAGCTCTAGCTCATCAGCTTGATCATGTCATGCAACAGCTGTTTTCGAAGACTACGCACCCCGAGCCAATGAGGCAGCTTTCGCTTGTTGGGCCCCGGGATTTGGAGCATGCTGCGCGCCACCAGAACATGAAGCCATCCACTGATCGCTGCATCCACGAGATGATCCGAGAACAGATCAAAAAGACTCCGGATTTACCGGCTTTGACATCGTGGGATGGCGACATGACTTATGCAGAGCTTGGCCAACACTGTGAACGCCTAGCAAATTATCTGCTGTCTCTTGGTATTGGGCCTGAAGTTTTCGTCCCAATCTGCTTCAACAAGTCAATCTGGGCCGTTGTTTCAATGATCGCTATTAATATGGCTGGAGGAGCCTTCGTCCCACTGGACCCTTCGTCTCCTGTCGCGCGGTTAAAGGGTATCTTGGGCGACACCAACTCCACCATGGTGCTTGCTTCACCGGAGTGCTTCGATACCGCGAAAGCTCTGGATATCCCCGTACATGCCATCGACAAGGACGCAATCCTCAAGCTCCCCGAGCCAATCTCGCCTATCCAATCGTCCGTGACCTTCACCAACGCCAGCTTTGTCATGTTCACGTCAGGTTCCACCGGAAAGCCCAAGGGGATGATCTTCGAACACAGAAACATTTCATCTACTTCCAATAGTCACGGTGTGATACAGAAATGGGGCCCTGGAACTCGGGTCTTCACATACTCGGCGTATACATTTGATATCGGTGTGATTGACGTGATGGTATCACTTTCGCGAGGAGCCTGTCTCTGCATTCCGTCCGAGTGGCAACGCTACAATGACATACATGGAGCTATCAACTCCATGAAAGCCAATTGGTCTTTCTTCACGCCAACATTAGCAGGCCTCGTCAAGCCGTCTGAAATTCCGACGATTAAGAATGTAGGTCTCGGTGGTGAGAACGTCACCAAGCAAGTTGTGGATAACTGGCGTGGCCACGCTACATTGCACAATCTCTATGGGCCAGCCGAAGCGTCAATCTGCGGCTGGATTGCCGACGTTGGAATTGTTTCAAGGCCTAGTAATATCGGTGTCCCTTCATCGTGCGCTTGGTGGATCGTGAACCCTGAGGATCATACTCAGCTGGTCCCCGTTGGCTGTATCGGCGAGTTGATGATCCAGGGACCAATGCTCGCCCGAGGATATATCGGTGACGCCAACAGCAGCGTGTGGCTACACGATGTTGACTGGGTACCTGGTAATGCGCTCAAGAAAGCATATATAACTGGTGATCTTGTCCGTCGATTGGAAGACGGCACCTTTGAGTATCTAGGTCGAAAGGATACACAGATTAAGCTTCATGGTCAACGCGTGGAGCTTGGAGAGATTGAATCCCGCCTCGAAGTTGTTCTACCACATAATATGGCGTGTGTTGTGGATACAATCATCAACGAAGAAGCGCAAACGAACACCTTAGTGGCCCTCCTTTGGTATACCAGGGGTGAAACATCCGAAGCTCCTCAACTTGAGCTCGTTGATGACGTGTCTGACGAAATGCGTGCTCTTATTTCTGAGATTGACTCTTCATTGAGCCTTTCGCTTGCCACGTACATGGTCCCAAGCATGTACCTCATCTTCCAAGGAATGCCCGAAAGGAAGAGCTCCGGTAAGATCGACAGGCGAAAGCTACGTGCTTTAGCCCAGGATGCTCCAGCGAAAGAAAAGCTCAAGTTTTCTCCCGGAGGCGGAGAAACCGGTGCCCATGAGCCCGTAACTGATCGCGAGTACGAGCTCAGAGACTTGTGGGCTCAAGTCTTGAACATCAACGCCAATGACATCGGACGCCATGACAGCTTCCTTAGGGCAGGGGGCGATTCAATCAGCGCCATAAGACTGGTCACTCTTGCACGTGAGAAGGGCCTCAGTCTAGATGTGGCAAGCATTTTCAAGGACCCCCGACTGTCACCGATGGCGGCTGCTTGCGGCGTCATTGTTGATGCCGCGCCACCTCCCCAATGTGAGCCGTTTAGCCTGATTCCTGCTGACCGCAGGATTGATATCATGTCCGAAGCTGTCATTCAATGCGGTATACAGAACCAGAGTCAAATTGAGGACATATTGCCTTGCACCCAACTCCAAGACGGGCTTTTGGCACTCACGGTCAAGCAGCCGGGTTCCTATATTGCTAGACATGCTTTCCGTCTTCCTAGCACGGTTGATATTTCGCGCTTTGAGCGAGCTCTGAGGGAAACCGCTAATGTATGCGTCAATCTTCGAACAAGGGTTATCAAATGGAAGGATATGGCCTTCCAGGTTGTCATCAAGGATGATGTTGAATGGGATGGTATTCATACCGGAATGAATGCCACAGGTCTAATGAGAGCAACCAAGAACGTGAACATGACCTACGGCTCCAAGCTAAATCAGTTCAGTCTTGGTCAAGATGAGAGTGGGAAATGGTACTTCTTGTGGCTTACACATCATTCTGTGTTCGATGGTTGGAGCTTGGGGATTATCCTGGACACTCTGAAGAGGGCCTATGAAGGAAGCGCATTGCCCATCATCAGCCCATACGTCAACTTCATCGCATACACCCTCAGTGTTGATGAGTCGGCTGCCAGAGCCTTTTGGGGACAGCAACTACGGGATGCTCGGCGAGCACCTTTCCCATCGAAACGAGCAAATGCGGTTTCTTCCGATGACCCCATCACGGGTGTTCTTACCAAATCGCTCCCATTTTCACAATCAACCCGAACCTCCATCACCAGAGCCACAGTTCTTCGTGCTGCCTGGGCTATTCTTCTTGCAAGATACTGTGGCACCGACGATGTAACATTCGGTGCTACTGTCTCTGGCCGTAATGCTCCTGTGATTGGTATCGAAGACATTCCAGGGGCGATGATTGCCACATTGCCGATCCGTGTCCGTTTAGACTTCCAAAAATCTATCAAGGCCTTCTTAGAAGATATCCAACTTCAATCATCAGATATGATTGCATTTGAACAATTTGGTCTCCAGAATATTTCAAAGATAAGTCATGATGCGAAGGAGGCATGTGGCTTCTCCAGCCTGATTGTTATTCAGCCTGGGCAACAGAAGAGTTCAGTCGATGTAGCACCTGACACAGAAGACTTACTTGCCTCTGCTGGTTCAGAAGAGGATCTGGTGGAAAACTCTCTACAAGGTTACTTCAACTACCCCTTGGTCATGCAATGCGCATTACATGAGGACAAGATTGAGTTATACTTCTTTTACGAGACCAGTTATTTACAAAAGGCGGAAATGGAGGGTATGGGCTATCAATTTGAGCAGGTGGTTTCTGAACTTCTCTCCGAAGATAACCTCAGACACCTGAGCGAAGTCTCGATCGCTTCACCATGGGACATCAGCACCGCGATTGACCGGAATCAGACTCCTGACGTTGTCGAAGACTGTCTCCACAACATCATTGCCTCCAACGCAGTTCAACGACCTGAATCTCCGGCTGTGTATGCCTGGGACGGCGAGCTGACATACGCTCAGCTCGACGCTGCCTCCAACCGTCTCGCTCAGTATCTCGTCGACGAGTACAATGTCATGGTTGGTGATGTAGTTCATGTTTGTCTAGACAAGTCACTGTGGTACATTATTGCCATTCTCGCGATCAATAAAGCAGGCGCTGCATTCTCACCAATCGATCCAAGCCACCCGCTCCAACGGAAACAACAGATCGTTGAGCAAACTCAAGCGAAGATCATGCTCGTGTCACCCAAATACATCCAAGATGCAGCCCAGGTCATTGAACAAGTCATTCCGCTCGACGCTATGCTCGACGCGCGCTTGACACCAGTGACGAAGAGTCCTTCGACTGGGGTATCTCCCACGGACGTTGCGTACGTCCTGTTCACATCTGGCAGCACCGGGCGTCCAAAGGGTTTCCTGATTGAGCATCAGTCCATTTGCACGTCTCAACGCGCCCTCGCTGCCCGTGTTGGCCATGGGCCCGAAACCCGCATTCTTCAATTTGCAAACGTCATCTTTGATTTCTCTATTGGAGAGATCTTCCAGGCCTTGACAAGCGGTGGCTGTATTTGCATACCATCAGAGGAGATGCGGTTCAACAACATCCAGGAGTTCATCCGGCAAGCTGAGGTTAACTGTGCGTTGCTAAGCCCCTCATTCATTCGCACTCTCAAGCCTGAAGAAGTCCCATGTGTCAAAGCTCTCTTCTTCGCCGGTGAAGCAGTCCCGCAAGATCTCTTTGATGAATGGTTCGGCAAAGTGCGCCTATTCAATGTCTGGGGACCTGGTGAAGCCGCCTTTGCCTGCTCGGTCTATGAATACCAGTCCAAATACGACTCTCCTGCAACCATCGGAGAATCATTTGGTGCTTCGTGCTGGATCGTTGATCCTGATGATCCAACTCAACTCGCCCCAATCGGCACCGTGGGAGAGATCTTGATCCAGGGTGCTACTGTTCTCCGTGAGTACCTTGGAGATCCTGTCAAGACTCAAGCCTCAACACTTAGCCACACCCCTACTTGGGCGGCAAGTAAAGAAGTCGGGGTCCGAAGTCGATTCTTCAAATCAGGAGATTTGGCCATGTACAATGCCGAGGGGCAAATCGAGTTTGTTACCCGCAAGGACACCCAAGTCAAGATTCGTGGATTGCGAGTAGAGCTAGGCGAGGTTGAACATCACATACTCGCTCTCTTAGATGGAGTGAAACAAGTCGTCGTTGACGTGCTTCGCACCGAGGAGGTTCCAAAGTTGGTTGCGTATCTGGCCTTCTCCGACAGCAAACGCACCATGACTGAATCTGAAGAATTGTTCTCAGCAATCACATCTGAGATCGAGTCCAAACTTGTTGAGATGAGAGGCAGGCTTGAATTGATCGTTCCGAACTATATGATTCCGTCGGTCTTCATTCCATGCAACTTTATTCCGATCAGCAGCTCCTCTAAACTTGATCGAAAGATGCTGATCCATAAAACAACTGGCCTAACGCGTGAACAAATTCACCACTACTCTCTAGTTGATGCCGTAAAGAGAGCACCGGAGACAGCCATGGAAATTCGCATCCAGTCGATGTGGTCAACAGTCCTCAAACTTCCAATAGAATCCATCGGGCGCGACGATAGCTTCCTCCAAATCGGTGGCGACTCTATTCTCGCTATACAGCTGGTCTCCCTGGCTCGTGAGTCAGGGGTTTCCTTCAAGGTCAAAGACATTTTCGATGACTCTCGCCTGTCCACATTAGCGGCCAAGGCCACGGAAATCGATGGGGATATTGTGGAGGATATTATTGAGCCTTTTGAATTGATTTCGAACGAACAAAAGGAACTAGTACTTTCCAGAAACGTCAGAGAGAAATGCGCTCTGTCTGATGATCAACAAGTTATTGACGCGTACCCTTGCACGTCAATCCAGGAAGGTATGGTAGCCCTCGCGGAGAAGCAGCCAGGATCTCATATGGCCAAGTACATCTACCGCCTCGCCGATGATGTCGATGTCAATCGGTTCAAGTCTGCCTGGGAGAAGACTGTTCAAGTCTGTAGCAATCTACGAACTCGAATTGTTCAATTAAACGGAAAAGCAATCCAGCTAGTCCTTGACAGCGAGGCAGAATGGGATTTCCCCGACAAGAATGATGTTTCTTCATCCATCAATAGTATGTCTCAACCGTCAATGGGATTCGGAAGCCGTCTGAGTCGTCATGGCCTCGTTAGCAAGAATAACGTCAATTATTTCACATGGGTCATCCACCACTCGATCTACGATGGATGGTCCTCCCAGCTGATCCTACGGACCCTGTTTGCTCTGTATGAGAATAACCAGCCAGCATCTTTGTATCCCTACTCTAGCTTCATCAAGTACACCATGAGCGTCGGGGAAGATGCCTCACGCGAGTACTGGACCAGTCAACTGCAAGACTCAAAGCGATCCTCATGGCCGCCAATCGTACCTCGATCTGGGATACGGACAGATAACCCAACGAGGGTTGTAGAGAGAACAATTCACTTTCCCAAGACTACCAGCACGTCCATTACAAAGGCCACCATCGTTCGCGCAGCTTGGGCAATTGTGCTCGCCAAGTATTCCGAAACAAGTGATATCTGTTTTGGTACGAGTGTGTCTGGCCGTCAAGCCCCCGTTGCTCATCTTGGAGACATGCCTGGGCCGGCCATCGCAACAGTCCCAGTCCGTATCAAGCTTGATGGGCAGCAGTCAATTTACAACCATCTGAAGCAAGTCCAGAACCAGGCCATCGACATGGTTCCCTACGAGCAATATGGATTACAAAATATCTCCAAGTTGGGCCGTGACGCTGAAGAAGCGTGTGGCTTCTCTTCCTTGCTTGTCGTGCAACCTACGCAACAGTTGGCCAGCATTGGAGGCCAAGCGTACTCTATACTTGGAGCCGCAGATGATGCTGACAACATGAGTATGGAGGATTCCATGGAGGGCTATTTCACATATCCTCTAGTCTTCCAAGGCCGAATTTCAGAAGATGCGGCAGAGCTGATTGCCATCTACGATAGCGATATCCTGAGCGAGATGAGGATACTGGCTATGATCAGCCACTACAATTTTGTCGTGCAACAACTGATCACCGAAAGTGACAAGACGGTCGGCTCCATTAGCCTCGCGGGAGACTGGGATTTGCAAAAGTCTCTAGAGTGGAACAATCACCCGACCGAAGTGGTTGACCGCTGCTTCCATGAGATGTTCGAAGAACGAGCCGCGATCCAGCCTGAGGCGATGGCCATTGACTGTTGGGATGGAAAACTGACCTATGGCCAACTCAACAGCGCGGCAAACCGACTCGCCCATCACCTTTTGAGGTCTTACGATGTCAAGGCTCAAGATCTGATACATGTGTGCTTTGAAAAGTCTGCCTGGTACTACGTCTCCATTCTCGCCATTAACAAGGCCGGTGCTGCCTGGGTCCCTCTGGATCCCGCCCATCCTGAAGAGCGGAAGAGACAAGTGACAAAGCAGACAGAAGCCAAGCTTGCGCTTTCATCCCCCCAGAGCGCTCATTTGGTCTTGCCACTGGTCACCACAGTTGTGGAGGTTAGTTCGCAACTCGACCAAGAGATTCTCAATGCGCCCGACTGCAGCGATCAGAACCCAGACGTTGCCGTCTCCCCCAGTGATGTTGCATACGTGCTTTTTACATCGGGTAGCACGGGTACACCGAAGGGGTACATCAATGAACACAGATCATTGTGTACCAGTCAAACGAATATCCCTCGCAGCCTTGGTATTCCCGCTACCGCACGGACACTTCAATTTGCATCCTACGTAGTTGATTTCGCCATCGCTGAGCTTGCAAGTACATTGCTTCATGGCGGCTGTTTGTGTGTTCCTGACGACGAAACAAGAATGGATGGCCTCGTTAAATTCATCAACGACACCAACGTTACCTGGGTCTTCCTGACCCCATCGTTCTTCCAGACGATGCGCCCTGATCAACTGCCTAACCTCGAAGTGGTTGTACTTGCTGGTGAAGCCGTATCTCAAGACCTGCTCGATGCTTGGTTTGGCAAAGTTCGATTAATCAACCTCTGGGGCCCTGGTGAAGTTATCGTTGGAACAACATGGCATGAGTACACTTCTGTCAAAGACATCCCAACCAATATTGGTCGTCCTGTATGCGGCCATACATGGCTTGTTGATCCTGAGGATGCTACCAAACTGGCACCAATTGGGACAATCGGTGAAATTGTTATCCAAACACCCACAATGCTACGCGAGTATCTGAAGAACCCCGAGAAAACAAAAGAGGCAATCATGACAGACCTCCCGAGTTGGGTCCCACACCGTACCGAGCCATCGTGGGATCGTATATATAAGACAGGAGATCTGGCATACTATACTGCTGATGGTTGCCTTGATTTCGTATCACGGAAGGACACACAGGTGAAGATCCGCGGATTACGTGTTGAACTCGGTGAAGTTGAGCATCACATCCGCGAAACCCTTCCCGATGTACGACAAGTTGCTGTCGACGTGTTCAAGACGGACATAAGCGTAAACCTAGTTGCCTATTTCAGTTACAGTGATACAATGCGGCCGCAAGTCGCCGCTGATGTATTCCTTCCGCTTGACTCCAAGCTTCGAGAGGCCATCGCCGAGCTAGCAGGCAAGCTGGATGTTGTGCTTCCAGCATACGAGGTTCCAACAATGTACATTCCTTGCGCCTACATGCCAGCGAACGCCTCGGAGAAGTTGGATAGAATCGCATTGAAATCTCTGACATCCAATTTGAGTCAGGATCAACTAACAATGTATTCACTTTCCAGCACTGAGAAGCGAGCACCTGAGACAGATATGGAAAGGAACTTGCAACTTCTGTGGTCTCAGCTGCTTCGTGTGCCTCCCGAGCAGATCGGACGTGACGATAGTTTCCTTCGCATCGGAGGAGATTCGATCCTAGCAATCCAGCTTGCTTCGATGGCCCAAGAACAAGGGATACGGATCACGGTGGCCAACATTTTCAAAGACTCTCGCCTTTCTGCGCTCGCCAACGCAGCGGCTAGTGGCGCGGAGTATGCTGCCACTGATGTAAAATCTTTCAGTATGCTTCCAGGCGAGGTTTCTACTACAGATGTATCAGTTGAAATCCAGAAACAAGGCGGCCTGGCCAACCTTCCAGAGTTGGAGGACGCATTCCCAACGTATTCCTATCAAACGTCAATGATGGACCTTACCCACAAACTCGCAGGAGCGTACGTTACCAAGCGTGTGTGGAGACTTCCCAGTCACGTTGACGTGCAAAGGTTCAAAGAGGCATGGGATAGAACTGTGCAATACTTCCCTAATCTGAGAACCCGCATCCTTCTTGTGAATGGCTCGGAAATCCAGGCCGTTGTGAAGGGTAGGCAAGATTGGGAAGATTCAAAGGGATTAGGCGTCAGAGATTTCATCCACGAATCCGGCATCTCTTTCAACATGGGACGTGGCAGTTGCTTGTCTCGCTATGCCATTATTGAAGAAGCCGGGGAAACCTTCTTTATCTGGATTCAGCATCACACGATCATGGACGGCTGGTCTCTTAACATGCTTCTTGCCGGGGTTCACGCTATGTATCACGGTACAGTGCCCGCTCCAATCAACAGCTTCGCCAACTTTGTCCGATATGCCAATGGAATTGATCAAGATGCTGCCGCATCCTACTGGAAGAATACTCTGGAAGGTGTCAAACAAGTCACGTGGCCTAGGCCCATCACCCCTGAGACCCCTCTTCGTGGGGTTACAGACACCAACACGCGGACGATTCGTATCCCAGATAGCCTCGACTCTTCTCTAACTCTGGGAACCGTCGTTCTCGGTGCATGGGGCTTTGCTCTTAGACACTTTGACAAGAAAGATGACATTTGCTTCACTCGCACATCATCTGGCCGTCAGGCCCCTGTGCATGGAATTGACACCACGCCTGGCTTCTGCACTCAGGCTGTTCCTACACGCATCCGGTTCAATAAAGATCAAACTGTATTAAGCCTTCTCGTTGATCTACAGAATCAGTGCTCCGAGTCAGTCCCCTTTGAGCATTTTGGCACAAAGAAAATTGCAGAGATTCTGCCAGAGGCTGCGCCAGCCCTGCTTCAGTCCAGTAGTTTGATTATTCCACAGCCGGTCCGCGCTTCGGGAACTGGTGAAGAGACATCTGCAGCAAGTTTACTGGCTCCTGCGCTAGACAAATGGGCCGTGGATGATATCCTGGATGGGTTCAGACTGGTCCCTCTTTGCTCCAATTTCTTCCTGAAGGAAGACACGGTTGACATTGTTTCGAACTATAATAGGGAAGTCATAAGCAGCACCGAGGTTGAAGCGCTCTATGACTATCTCGAGGCGATCATTATTGGTATTTGCAGTCATTCAGATATGACAGTTGGCAATCTTCTTGAGATGTTGAACTTGAAATAACCACGAGTTGTTGCTTTCCCTGATTTCTATTTCGTTAGTTTATTCGCACTTTTGTTTGGTTTTTATTTCTATTTTCTTTTTTCTTTTCTTTTTCACTCTTTAAACATATTTAGGTAGACAACATCCTCATTTACGAAATTCCATAGGAATTTAAATATCTTCTCAAGTTTATTCAACTACAAAGATCCATTGGTTTATCCAAGTGCGATAGTCTTAACCTGTGTTGCCTATATTGAAACTCGCCATTTGATAATTACATTCTAAGGTGTCTTTGCTCTCCCATAAGATACCAAGGCTGGAACAGGACTTCATCCTCCGGAGGGTCCCGATTTTGGGGTGGCTCCCCAAAATTACACATGTACACTCTACCCAGCTCCCGATGTCCAAGTTGAACCCAGTACCCTTTTAAGCCCCCTGGACCATTTTTCAAAGATCTCCAGTGGCGCTCTTGCAAGTGTTGAAGATGGATTTGCTCAACCTCAACGTCTCCGGCTTCCACAGCTTGCCTTCTCCTTATCTCGTACTCCAAGCTACCAAGTGCAATTGTGCACTGTCTCAACTTGGGGCTGAGGTTGGAAATCATCCTATCAATCGGAGTCATTATCTCTCTCTCGGTGATTTTGATGGATTCGGCCTCATCCATGTAGACCTGGCGTCCGTTATGTTTCTTCGTGGGGGTCAAATCTCCCCACAACGCCATATAGAACGATGTGAGGTTAGGGAAAGTCGTAGGAATGGCTTCTAAAAACGCGTAGAACGTGCGCAGGTCATCGAGCGGACCAACAACAGAAGTATCCCATGCATATGGCTTGAAATACCAAACTAACTCCACTGATCTGATCGTAGATAGTCTTTGAGGAAGAAGAAGCTTGTCCAGGTGCAGGAGCATTTGCTTGCTGGCGGTGTGGATAGTGTTCGTACCATATAGCACATCGACACCCTCGCAGTATCTAAGACTCTCGGTCAGCTATATTCTTGATCCAGCCTGCAGATATCAGGAGGGGACCTACGCCTGTCGGCAACTTAGCAGCCATCCCATTGCTCCTACAAAACACTTGTGCGGCCGTTCACCAGGCCAAAGTTGACAAAAGTAGCCTTCAGCGCCACCGAGGCGGCAACGGTCCTCTGATGCATTGACCGCTCTATCTTTATACTTGTTGTGATCGTCGCTTCTGGTATCCCACGGCGGGTTTCGGTGGCAGTCGGAACTGCGCCAGATCCATCTTTTTGGCAATGAGGAATCGACTTTATACCTCGGCGTCTCTTGTCTTATCTCCAACTTTGTCTCCCGATTGTAATTTCCGTGGTTAGACAGATGTTTTATCGAGCCATCGAAATACGCTTTATTCAAGGGCAGTTCTGGGTGGTCAAAAGACAGGTCCATGTGGATAGTGTGCCCGCCAAATGCCTCGACAAGGATTCGGCGACGAATCTCAAATGGGAGCCTCTGGAAGAAGCTAGACTGGGCGGTCGCACCGGCGGCAGAGACGCGTAGATCCTCCCTAGACGACGACGGCGTAAGAGCTCGCGGCCTCTCAGCTGGTAAGGCTGGCACCGGTTCTGCCAGCTCAGGGATGTACCGAAGAAACACCTCCCGCGACTCTGACGCGTCCGCTGGTTGGGCATGGGCACTATCAGCTCCATGAATCCGTCGCCGAACCCATCTGGACAAGGATGCTCGCATATCAGCCAACTCCGCCCGGGCCTCCTAGGAAGACGATGTTCTTTGCTAGTTCTTGCCCTGCCGGGTCGGCTCCTGAGACGAACAAGCGCGACAAGATTGTTAGGTTGGTGAAATGCGAAGTTCCGATGGCCTAATCCAGTGTCCCTTTCGCGTACGTTATCTCACTTTGCCCATAGCTTCAGATCTTGTTACAACGGGGGGGACTACCATCTGTCTCCGGGAAAAAATTACAGAGGGTATTTGAACAGTGGTCGTTACTGCTGATTCGTCACGTGGCCTCTTTACAACGTGCGAATGGTTTAGTTGGAAGTGTGGATAAACCAGGGTGAGCACACCGAAACCCCCCTCCATCGGCCTCCAAGAGGCTTTATTGAGAACCATATATGCTAGTCACACTTGATCTTGTGTTCTCGAATAGCATCATAGATGATTTCTAACGGAGGAGTTTTGCACAATCAGCGACATGTCTGTACCATGCCCATCAGTCGGCCGGACTTGCCTCTTCTGGCAACCTCCATGGGTCCTTCAGGCGGTGTTTCTGGTATTGGGACTTTGGTTTAATAAAGAAGTGGAGTTGTCAAGGGTCTGAACAGCAAGCACAGCCTTCCTAACACTCCTCAAAGCTCTAATTTACTGGATGGGCTGATTTGTTTTATCCAGTCCGATAGTAACCTAAACACACCGGCATGCCAGGCAGCACACATCATATTTCTCTAGCTCAAGGCAGCGAGTGGCCGTGCAAACCACATACCATCATGCATCACAAGGAACGAAATCAAAACTGTTGAGGCGCACTTGGAATGACAGCTGTTGTTTTCTCAAATATGATTTCTTACTAGCAACAAATTTAAGTTTCGGCAGAAAGTTTTGAAGGTTTACTAGCTAGATTAGATATAGAATACGGTTTGCGCTGCAAGGATCGATCTCCAGAATGAGAGCCTTACTGGGCAGATCATTCCAAACAAAAGACTATGGCATTACACAAATTGCGGCCGTGAGTGATTGCACGGGGCCTCTAAAATGAGTGCCAAGAGACACGGCCTTCCAAGTCAAGTGCCAAGGATTACAGTGAGATGTGAAAATCCGGATTGTCTCCACAACAGCACCACAATAAGTATCAGATAACCCGTTCCTTCTACTCCGTCCAGAGCTATCAATCCCTCAATATTGATGGGGCTTAGAAGAAAACTCTATCACATATCTCACAAGACAGTGAAGGCTGTGAAGAAGTTACTTGAGACTATGCAGGGCTCGCGCGGTGCCTATATCTGAGACATTGCCTCACCTCATCTCAGGGTCCAGACTCTCAGCCCTCCCAGGCCAAAATCCCTGCGCCGTCAACCTTGCCTCAGACAGGGGTACAACTTCTTAAAGGGATTAAGATAACACTCCCCTCCGTTGGGCGATGAGAATAGCACACATCTCATCTCGGAATTTAAGGCCATCTCTTCTCCATTATCAATCTACGACTAGTGCATCCAGCGACTACTAAATGATGTTGTCGCTTGTCATCTTCTTCTTCTCAAGCCTTGCTCTGGCGGCGGACTATAGCGTTGAAGAACTTACAACCGCTTCCCAGGCTAGCATCCAAAGTTGCGTTGCCTCGGTTGCAAGTCAAGTCAGACCGCCTGAGCCGGTCAACACCCCCTTCAACCGATGGGTCACCAGCACATTCTCTATGCCTGCCTGTACTGTTACGGCGCCAGCTACGTACTCTGACGACTTTTTGAGCTATGATAAAGCTCTATCCACATGGCTTTCAACCGTTCAGTCTGTCGCCGACAAAATCAACACGAATTGTTTCTATGACACATTATCTTTCAGCTTTTCCAATTACTGTCCCACGTCACGCACTGTTTTGTTCACGCGTGCCCAAACGACCGGGACCACAACCTCGTGGGAGACGATCTCGACCACCTTACCTCCTTACCAAACACATGATACTATTTACATTGGCGCCGCAGGCCGCCGTGCTGATATCTCTCATCTTTTACCGATTGTAGTTCTCTCAACGACTATTATGGCCTTATTTCTCTGAGGCGCCGAGGTCAAAAAGCCTAGGAGCTGGTAGATAATATACATAGAATGTACATATCCAAACAATACCTACATATGAATAAATTACTCTACTGCAAATCTTGATTCGTTCTTCTTTTGTTTCGTTCATCATATTCTATCAATCCCTTCTACAGTTGACAGGCAGCTTATTTCTTTTAACCGTTCGGAATCGACAGCGGCCATGTCCATACTTTCAACGTGGCATGTAATCGGACAACTATTCCAGTGCAGGCTCCCCACACTTCAGGCCAAAAGGGAAAGCCCAAAGAAATCTTTTATGGGTGGGCAACGGTTTTGCCCTCTTATAGTTATTGTTGCCTTCTGAACATGGGAAGTTGTCTCCGAGGCAGTTTTGGGTCGGTTGATGTGTTCTGTTGTGCGACTCTCATGCCACGCCTTCTCGTTTACAGACCTTTTGCATTTCTTACACTTAAAACATATCTTGGTAAGGAAGTCAGTTCTCCTCTTCATTAGGATACATTCAAAACCTTCCATATCAACTCATCATGAGACGCCTTATTGCCATTCTAGCCAATTGGAGCATTTCACGGTTTCAATACCCGACACACTATGAGAGCGATTTTCAGGATAGATCATTGAAGACGTGCCAGGGACTCTTTAAAATTGGTTTGAGGTGCCTGCCATTGAAACAAGACAAGTTCCATTATCCAGCTTCAACAAAGTCGTACAGATCATGAACATATGGCACGCGCTAAGTTGCATATATTTAGAGGGTTCTATTCTGAAAAGAAAAAGATATTTGACAACAAATTTCGTCTGCGATTTCCGAAACCATAGGTTGATGTGCCACTGGTAAGGCGAGAAACAACGATTTTTGTGTTCCTTCAGATTGTCAATCATCAAGAGAGATCGAACTCGTGGACCCAAGGTCATTCTAAGATTGATAAATCTTCCGAAGGGTTTCGACAAGCTCAGTAGTTCCTCTCACAGTGCCTTCCTCCTCCTCGAAGGTCCCGACCATGATCCCACCAGGCAGCGCGGCTGTTGTCATATCCACCATCTCCTGAACGACCGAAGGAGGCGCTCGCTCGGCAAAGAACGAAGCCAGTTGGTCTGGAGAAATAACAATGGCCTCAACTGCCTTTCCAGTTATCTCCTCAAGAGCGCTCTTCACGTCAAGGGAACTGTAATGTCTCGGCCCATAAAGGTTGAAGAAATGCGGATTGAATGGAAGCGGCTGGCCCACTTCGAGTAGTTTCTGGGCACACACCGTCCCAATGTCTTCGATGCTAATCTATTAACAGAGTCAGATAATGCTTCAAATTTCGGGGATTTCTTGCGATCGACATACCATTGGAATCTTATGACTCTCTGGAGAGATGGGGGTATAGAACACTGGTGGATCAAGCTCCAGTGTCTGGAATGCGTGCTGCCAATTCTCTTGGAAGTAACCAGGTCGCGGGACGACGACTTCCGCAACGCTGTCCTTCAGGATTTGATCCGAAATATAGTTGACTCGTAGAAGTCCCTGTTACTTTTAGTTTTAAATATCCAAGACATGAGTGTTGAGCTAAAACTTACAATATCCCTGTCATACTGAGAGCCCATGCTCGAGAACAAGACCAGCCTCCTGACTGAAGCTGCCTTTACCAGGGCCTCCTTCACATTCTCAGCATGCTTTCTGGCAGCTTCACCCACGTCGGACCCGTCGTATACAGGTGGTGGGATATAAAAGACGGCATCCGAGCCACTGAAGTCCAACGAAGGGCCTGATGTAATGTCCCCTTGACTTGCAACGAACTTTGGATGACTTTTGAACTCAGATGGTACTTTGGTTACATCTCTGTATATACCGACAACTCTGGTTGTTTTGTCATCCGAAAGTAAGGCGGATATCGTCGCCTTACCAGCTTGGGTGGAAGCAGGAATAACTGTAAGTTGGACCATCGTGTTGGTGGTTGAAGTTTGGGGCGATTGGAGCTATTGTGTCTGAAGATGGGAATGCCAGCTATTATTGTTCGGGGAGCACCTACAATATATAGCTCTCTTTATCCTCTTACTCAGTAAAATCATTAGAAATTCAATATTGAATTTGACCCGTGGCACAAGACGGAGTCCGTGGCTTAGGCTGTCATTGTCCCGTTTCCCGAACTAAGTTGACTCATGCCTCCGCATAGTCCGCAAGTCCGCCTCAAGCCACATTCAGTCAGTAAATGTACATAATTCCGATTTTTACTTTCTCGAAAGAATCAAATATTCAAATACTTAGGTGGGATGATTTCTGTAATCCTCTCTTGCTTTTTGTTATGATGCTTGGTGGAGTCTTGAACAAGATCCGCGGATTTATTATAATCTCCACGCACAAAATCAAAGATAAAAAGCCAGAAATGAGTGTTTTTAGCGACGAATACCAGCCGCAGGCCAACATCCGAAAGGGTAAGAGAAGGCGCTCCTAGGATTGTAGGCCGTTTATTAGAATGAGATCTTTACTTTTGCACATCAAGGATGAAGATTTGAAATGAGGATCTCAATCAAGGTTCTCAATCACCTGGCCTCCCAGCAGAGCGACTCACAGAGGGAACTCCCTGTAGGCCCCCTCGTGGATTAGGCACAGGATGTGATATCAAGCTTTGCCTTGTAACTCAGAATCCGATACTGGTTTGGCCCTGTGGCATCATCCGCATGAGCAGCAAGATTGAGTAGTGGTTTCAAAGGTTAACTAAAGAACAGGGATTAAGCCTGCTGTATTGTCAGCCAACAGTCAGAGGCAGAGTAGAAAATCAGTGGCCTTAAGTCTGATTAAAGGCGAAGAATGAGGATGTTTATTCCTGTGTTGTGATGAATGAGCCTTTGACGTACAAACAGGGTAATCGGGTCGTCCTAGCCTTGGTACTATTCTTAGGGCTTATGAAGTAACCGCATCAGGATCCAAGATCCCAGGTACATTGAAGATCAATAGAGCTGGGCTAGGCCGATATTAA